CAGCATCCAGAGTGAAAGGTGAGCTCTGAGGTGAACCACTCCCTGCGGATAATCTTCAGGAAGACAGCGGACCTGGCTGACCCGACTTTGGGATTTCTGGATAGTCTTTGTTTTCATTTTTCTAGCAGTTTTATTCTACCTTTATACAAGTATAACCATAACCCTCAGATTGGTACTGGGAGAACTTCTCTGCCCTTGCTTCTCTAAACTGCTGTTACGAAGCCCCTTGGGGAATATGATGATAATACACCCCAATTTTCATTGCCCCTCCTCCCCCCACCCCCTTTCAGTAGGAAATAGCTAGAGTGGTCCGTGACCTTATCCCCAAGACCCGAGTCTTCTGTAATCCCAAAGGCTAACAAGAGGCAGGAAACGAGAAGGAAAATAGGGGACAACGCTGGGGGCTTTCAGCCTTGTTCAGGATCTAGTTAAACAGGAATCTTACAAGCCCATTCTGACTGACTTGGGTGGAACTACAAAGCCCACCCCAGGGGTCCGCCACTAAATATATATTATATATACATCTCAATATCAAACCTCCCACATTGGCAGATCAGAATCCCCGGGACTAGCAGCGCTGCATAATAAAGGCTTTCTTTCCTGATTCCCCCGAGTGCTGGCTGATCATCCTCCTGGGCCATTTGAAGAATTGCGGCCACAACAGAAGAATCGCCATCTTAGCCCCCTGCCGCGCCCTCACGGTGGCCCTGACACGTAGAACCTGGTGCACAGGGTGCTCGCAGGAGCCTCAGGAGTTCCTGGCAGGCGACAGCAGCAGCCTCGTTCTTCATTTCTATGCTGGGGCGCTCCCACCATCATGCCATCTCAGTGTGGCAGCTTGACTTGGAGCCATATCTACAAAAGTCCAAAGGGACAGTAGGTAAGAGCTTTATAGTGGGTGTGGAACATGTTGATAAAGTGGAGACAACTGATGTGACGCTGGCCTAATTCCATCGGACTGCTTCCTCTCCGAAGCTCCAAATGGGTCCCAATGAGGGGTGAGGAGGAAATCTTATTGCAGATAAGCACATGGCAGGAAAGGCACTTACTTGAATGTCTGTCCTTTAAACTGATTCCTGCAGTGCCCATCCTTGACTGCAACTCTTTTTGAAGCCATTAGAACGATGGGCAGTGTTACATCAAAGGAATGGGAACTGCCCTTGGCTTTCCCTTAATTTTATTTTTGAAAAAACACCTATTGTCTTAGAAGTTTTGGCATTCCTATACTTTCTGCCTGTAAAGTGGAATCTGTAATAAGCACAATACCTTCAAATTTGGGGCTCTGTGTTCAAGCTGAACACACACTGGGATTTTTATTAATACCTTTAGGAAGTGGAAAAAGCAAGTCACTGAAGTGCTGAGGAGGCTGTTTACAACCAAATAAGCTAGCAACAGTTAAGAACAGATCTGAGCTCCAACCTCTCAGATGGAAGTCTGTAAAGAAGACTGATGCCGGTGTGTGTGTGTGTGTGTGTGTGTGTGTGTGCACGCGCGCTTACAGAAGAGGGACAGGACACCGGAAGAGTCCTCATGTGACTTTGGAAGGGGCAGGAGATAGCTACTTCACTGTTGCTTACTTTTCCCAACATGATGGATAGGGAACAAGGAAAAAAGAGCCACAACCATGCAATGTGGAATGTGGTCTTGGGGCATAGGTCCACTCAAGTGGGAGGGTTATGTCTCCCAGAAGTCCCTTTCCTCTCCCTGCGGCTGCCCACACACATCCGGGAAGCTCAGAATGCAGAGAGGCTGGAATTTAGAGATGGATCAGACTAGCACTTGAGCCAAACTTAATAGCCAAACTTCTGCAAGCTGAGATCTCTAGCAGGTGCTCCTGAAAGATACATTTACAACTATTAAAAAACTACACAAAGTTTAGGGAACTACGAGACCTCAGTTTTTACAAAGTCTGGGGATTATTAGACCTCAGTTCTGCTTTCTTTTTCCTCCCCTAAAGAACTGGCTTAAAAACAATCCCCCCACACCCCCCCTGGATGGTGAATAGTAGGTATTTATCTGGAAAAAAAAAAAAAGTACCTGGACTATTGCATTTAATCATGTATTGTAATTGTGTTACTCTACCTTTTTGCATCAGAGACAGATATACAATGAACATTCAGTTATCACACATTGCACACTAGTAGTAATTCTTCAGGCCTGTTACATAACCACCAAACAGGTATTGAATTCTGCAATATAGTACAAAAGTCCACAATCAATCCAGTCTTAGCCAGTATCTTCAATTTACTTCTGTTGCTGTACAAATAATTGGCCATTTCTAGGGCTTACAAGTTAATAACAGGACAAAAAAATATACATTGCACTGACACAAAAAGTCAGCCGTGTTAATAGTCATGCAACAAGTAACCAAACTTGCTGAAATTAAAAATACTTTCTAAAAACAGTTGTAACAGCATAAATATTTTATACACAAGTCATTTACCAAAACAAAATGTATTTAAATGATACAAAGCCAAAATAAGTTTCTACCAACTTTATACATAAGAAAGTGCAAAATAACTTATCTAGAGTGTTTTGCTATTACCCAGACGGATGGCCGCTATGGGCAGCTATTCTCTTCCAAAGCATGACATCATAGTAGCACACCACACACGCGTTAGGACACATGGACAGATACATGGCGAGATGGGCGGATGGATGAACAACGGAACGATGGAGGTCAAGCAGGAGCCCTGTGAGGCGCTCTCAGACAGAGAATCGGACCACATGGATGTGGATGTGCAGGCTGAGAACAGAGGTTGGCGGACAAATTTACATGGAACGCAGGAAGACATTCAGAGAAACGAGTTTATGCACGTGAGTGTACTTGTATATGTGAGTGATCTGTGATTTCTGCATTGGACACAAACACACACACCAAACCCCACTGAACAGAACACTTGCCCACAGCACCAGCTGCCAGAGGAAATACTATCAACAAGAGTTTTGGTTTCCATCTTCTGGTCAAGGAAGTTGTGTCGGAAAGTTTAAAAGTGTTCATCCCATATAACTTCATATTACAAAGAGGAATAACCTTTAAGTAACTACATACACTCATTCATATATTCAAGTCTTCAAAGAACACCTCTGCCATTGGGTTGGGGGTAAACATAGTTCCTGTACACAAGGAGGACGCTTCTTTGAAAAAGTGTAGAATAACACTGCTACAACTCATCTATGGGGCCGGGCAGGGACGGAGCCCTCAATTATGCCACAGTATGATTTCCTGCAAGGGGTGAACATCCAGTATTATTCGTTAGAACTAAAGTAAGATGGGGCGGAGGGGGGGCATGGGAGGAGTAAGACACAGAAAGGAAAACAGAACACAACTCTTCTTCAAGTTAAGGTATTAATGCCAATAATCCTTTTTATTAACTGCTATATTTGAACTTTTAGAAATGGAAGTGTTTTAATCAATTCTGATATGTAATCACCAATATAGACTGTAGGCTCAAACCTGGGTAAATAAAGGTGTAAATTTAGTAAGCATAAGGCACTAAAGCAGCCTTTATATTTTCTCTTGGAGACCTAGTTATCAGGAAGAACAAATTTGTTCTTAAGCTGGTTTCAACCTGTTCGGTACAAGATTGCTGTTGTACCAATGCCTATTTTTGAACGCGTGTGCATATGTGTGCATTTTAGTGCATAAGTGTGCCTGTCACCAGGGCCTGAAGATGAAGACTCGGAAAGCCGAAGCCACTGTCCTGTGCACGGTACCTCCATGGGGTATGAAGGCCTGTCCTTCCTTCCTTGGGCCATAAAGGATTCTACATTTTTCAAATCACTGGGCTTTTAGAATTGCTCATAATATTATCACTAAATATCTGAAAATGTTAAAATCTAGATTAATTGTTTCATTTGTTTTATATATATACATATTTATGTACATAACACACATTTTTAAAAAATCCCACCACCAAAGCCATTCTTCTGTAAACTAAGCTTATCTCTTAGCCCCTACCAGCTTTAGTCTCCCTGGATCTGTGTGTTCTGTTGCCAACTAGTAGAACAAATTAAATAACTAAATATTAAAATACTGTAATTATATTCATAGCAAAAAACAAAAAAATAGACATTGATACAGTATAAATCTCACTGTTTTCAGGTAGATGGCATTAAATGGTAAAGGTTAATTATAAGCAGTTCTGACATGATCCAGTTTTACAACAAGGTTTATATGTTAATTCTGTACACCTTTTTTTTTTCCACCCTTTTTTGAAAATAAGCTATAGTAGAACTTTTAGTGTCACCAAAGACACATACTTACTATGTACTATGCAAGAGAAGTTAATTTGGGTTACATGCAATTATATTGCCATTAGTTGAGTCAGGGCTGTTTCCGCATCGCACCCATCCCCTGACCGCCTCTGAGCAATGCTAAGGTTTGCGATGACCAAATGGCAGTCCAAACAGAAGCTCCCCAGGGGCCTTGTGACATCAGACCAACACTGAGATGGTGTGAGCCCGGTGCAAGATGCTCCGCTATTCCCAGGTATCTTAGGGCTGGACTCCTTCTCTCCCTCACTGTTCCTAGGGAAGGCCCACGTTATTTTGGTTACTAGCCTAGTTTAAGTGAAGGTACTCTGGGCCAATTTGAAAAAAACCATAACAAAACCAAAAAACATTGAGCACACAGGCTGGATTTGAAAGGGGCGGGGGAAGACCACAGATAATCCCTTTGAGGATTTAAAAAAAAACATGTTTATAATTAATGGGTGAGAGATGTCAGACAAACCATAAGAAGTTCATTGAGTAAGTGGTTTAGTTTGAAGTCTCATGTTACAGGCAGTGAAGTCCTTATTTAGAAAAAAGGCATTTATACCTATTTACAATATACACAGTTACTTGCAAAGAAGTCAGATTTACAACCATTTGCTAAAAGCCTTTTTTTTTGTTTTTTTGTTATTGGTTTTTCCAAATAAGGATGAGCAGCTCTATAAAAATGATACACACACACACACACAAAAAAAAAACAACCACAAAAACAAATAAACAAAAACAAACAAACAGTGACTAAGTGAGGATTTCCCCTTGGAGACAGTGATGTTAACAGGGAGAAGCGGATATTGACAATGTTGCTCCTAAGAACCACCTCCTATTCTTCTTGTGCTGGTCACCAGAACAGTGTCTGTCCCGTTACCGTATTTTTCACCCGTTTATCCAATGATCCCTTTGAATTCAGTACTCCGAGCATGGTGTGAGCGATGTGTAAACGGAGACGATCTGATGCCTTTCCGAGTGGGGCGGGGAGCCGGGAGGGTCTACAGCCGTGGTCTCCAGTCAGCTTGGAATCTTCAACAGTTCCGAGGCCCATCTTCTGAACCCCTCTCATGCTGTAAGTTGTAGTAACAGTTCTGACAAACTCGCACTGGGGATGAGATTTTCAAGCGTTTGATTTCTGATTGAAACCGACTGCACCTGAAGGAAAGGCAAAATCCAGTAATTATATTTCCTCTCCATGTTTGATCACTGGGCTGAGAAACACTCATGTGAAAATCAGAAGGAAATCTTGCGGCATAATGCCAAAAACCACATAATGCCAGGTGAATGCCAAAGACTGGTTTGTGTCATGTGCTTGACAAGGGACCAAAAGAAATGCTGTATTGTTTGTCAGTCTATGAAGAAAAGAAATATTAAATCAAAGTGAGCTATTTATTTGACTGAGGAGAATTACAAAGAACTAAGATTCTCCTACAGGATGAAGCCAAGGGGTCTGGGCAGCTGTGTGGCCACTCTTCCTGGGCAGGACCGCTCCCCATGCCCTGTGAACTCAGAAGTATGCCAATATCTTTACCTGGAGCTTGGCTTTTTCTCTTGGCAGACCTACTAACCTTTTTAAAAGACACTTTGGCCCTGCCCGGTGTGGCTCAGTTGGTTGAACATGGTGATGTTCAACCATGCACTAAAAGATCACTGTTCAATAGTGATCTGGATAGTCAGGGCATATGCCAGGATTGTGAGCTTGATCTCCAGTAGGGGGCATGCAGAAGGCAGCCAATTGATGTTTCTTCTTCCCTCCCCCTATTCTTCTCTTTAAAATCAATACAAACATATATTTTTTGGTCATTATCAAGTTCCTTTGGGCATTTAAACACTTGGTTTGATCCACGCCTTATTTGTTTTTTTAAATAAATAGTTTGGCTTTTATGTTTGGTGCAACTGTTTTCATTTTCTGTTTATTTTGATAGAATTCCCTAAAGAAGATTATACTTAGGAAATGTTCAAGTTCTTTTAAAAGTATTCCTGTTCCTGGAATAAAGCAGTGCATGACCTTGGACATGGCATTTACTCATTTCAAGCTTGGCTTCTCACAATATTAAAGCACGAATTCTATTTCCTCTATTAATCTATCAGTACAATGTCCAGGGAATAAATGGGCTTAAAGTAGTTTTAAAGGGGTTTAAAGCAGTTACTGGACTCTGAGAAGAACCTCAGGAGTGCTGACAAGCTCTCTCAGCGACCGAAGGGCATGGACTTCAGGGCGGGCCACACCCTCCGGCACAGCTCTGCCTTCTGCGCCTGCTCTGTCATCATCAATCACTATTTGGTCAGTTTTTCACATAAGGTCTCCATCCAACAGTTGATAGCAATAGATACTTTAAATAATTACTTACATTTAAACAATATTTTGAAAATTAAACTACAAAGAACAGATGTGTGCCAGTGTACACGCAGGGGTGTTCACTGTTACTGGGTTTTACAGAGTGGGCTCCTCAGAATACAGAGCCACAGTCCAGAACCCTCTCCCAGCCTCCTGGGAAGTCCCAAAAGGAATGGCTGAAATGACATTTGGGCACCTCATCTCGAATCAGACTTCCCCAAAGAAAAGCTTAAATACATTAAGGTGAAAAAAATAAAAATCAACAATTACAAATGCCTTCTGTTGAATATCTATACAGCCAGACTCTGCACATGACAGTTTATAAACCTCATACAATGATTTCATTTAATCCTCTCAACACCTCTTATGAAGTAAGGGGTGACCATCCACATTTTACAAATGAAGCCACTGAAGCTCAGAGGGTAACTCGCCTGGGATGACACATGACAGCAGTCCTGTGAGCGTTTGGTCAGTACAACCAAAAGACCACGCCTCTTCCGGTAACCAGCACCCACAAAAGTCTCAATAACTGGCTCAAAAACAATGATACAATTCGTGTTCTCTGTGAAAGTATCTCTGTAGCCAGCTACAGAAGGTGCTATATTTAAGTAAAACTGCAAATCCACAAAGCATAACATGGTACTGTTTTGGAGACAATATGGAGAAGAGGAAAAAATTGGTGAGGGTGAAAAGAAGACTTAAATGTTTTATATAGAAATACAGTGAAATATTAACAACTTCCCATTCTGAGTCCTGGGTGACCCGGTATGACAGAAATATCTCACAACTGTAACAATAAAGAACAGAAAGAAAGTGAAGTCAGGGTTAGACTGACAGCACACGGCAGTGAGGCCCAGGAGCAATCAGAATGTATGCGCTGAGCATAATGGACATTATGAGAACATAACCCCCAGGAATTCAAAAAGGGTGCATCGCATCTTACTTTTGGCAGAAGAGCTGGCCGCAGTTCCTGCAATGGTGCCGTCTTTCTGTGAGAGAAAACCGCACCGAGCAGCCCGAGCAGCTGTCCCCGCCTTCATCCTTCACCCAGTGGTCGGCAGCAGAGCGGCCAGGCTGGTCACTCACAGACCAGCTGAACACCCGGCCTCGACTGTCACCCACCAGGATCCTACTGTGATCCCTGCAGGAGACACAGCACAGAGCCCCTCAGGGACGGCTCCAGCACAGCCACGTGGCTGAAGGTCTTTCTGTTACTCTGCGGCTCTCTGGTTTTCGGGGGGCGGGGGGGGGTGGGGGGTGGGGAAGGAGTGTGGTGGTGGGGGTGTGTGTTGGGGTTGGGGTCGTGTGTAGGAAGATACAAAAAGAGAACTGGGCCGAAACCGGTTTGGCTCAATGGATAGAGCGTTGGCCTGCAGACTGAAAGGTCTCAGGTTCAATTCTGGTCAAGGGCATGTACCTTGGGTGCGGGCACATCCCTAGTAGGGGATGTGCAAGAGGCAACAAATAGATGATTCTCTCTCATCGATGTTTCTAACTCTCTATCCCTCTCTCTTCCTCTCTGTAAAAAATCAATAAAATCTATTAAAAAAAAAAAAAACCACAAAAAACTGGGCCTGAATTTATACTTCCATCATAACTCTCTTTGGATCAAATCTTGCTGTATCTTGGAAGTACAGAGAAGGCAAAGCTGTTTTTTGTTTGTTTAATTCAGCAATCAAATCTACAAACTTCTGATTTGTCTTTTTGAGCCATAGTATGAACTGAAATCTGTTTTCCCTGAAGACTGTGGGCCCCGGCTCCGCAGCGGACTCAGCTGGACGAGCAGCTGGAAAGGGCCCGACACTCACTTGGAGACGCCCAGGGCCGTGATCTCTGCGGGGTGCGCGTTGTCCTTCCGATCAAAGGCCGTGTGCATCGTCAGCTTACTCCTGAACACCAGCTGCCGCTCCCACCGGTACCCTGCAGCGGAACACAGGACAGACTGAAGCGAGGGAGCCAACGTGTGCTAGGTGTACCCTAACATGGTGCCCTCAAAAGATAGGGTGCTGCAACGTACAGTTACAGCAGCTTTTCCAGCTCTCAGCATCTGCTGCCTCAGCTGAAGGTAGAGCAATCTAGCTTAACACCGACCCTGGGCCAGGTTGGAGAACGCCTCATTTACAAAGACGAATACAGAGAAGGGGAAATTTTCCATGCAAGAAGATAACTTCTCCAACTGAGGATGTTGCCTCTATCTCAGTCAAAGCAAAGTTACCTGTGAATACAGTTTTATTTATCTGTAACCAATAATTTGCCTATTCAAAAACTCTCATGATTTGTGAATGAATGAGGTTTTTGTTTTGAACTTTTCTTTCAAAAATGCCAAACATACTGTAACACCATTTGGGATATAATCTCTACATCCACTTTCCATAAGAAGACATTTCAGAGGCCTCTGTGGGTGGCCCAGGTCATAGGGACAGGGCTCAGATGCAGCCAGACCCCGTTGCCCTATCCACTAGCACGCAGACCACCCACAAAGAGCCCGACACAGACCCCTGACTTCCAATTACCAGGTTTCAATCTGCTGTAATTCCGAACTTCCATGGGAGTGGGGTGAGGGTGAGGGTGGTTAAGGGGACCTTGCAAGTGGACTCGGGTCTGGCCCTCTGAATAGTTCACAAATATGAAGCCATCTTTCTCATCCAGACTGAGCTGGTCAGACCAGCGCCTGGAGTCATCGGAGCCGCTGTCGGTGCACCAGGCGGCCGTGGCTCTGCAGGAGGCTGCCCGGGGCCTGAGGCTGGTGCTGGGGGGCTGGCTGGGCACATCCTTGGGATCCTGGCTGACGGTCTGCTCATCAGCATCTGAGTCGCTACTGTCCTCATCCTGGGCTTCCTGTCCTGTCATAGGGAGGATTAGAAAACACATGTATGTTAGAGTTAGACCCAGCTGTGTCCTACTGGTGGTCATTCCTCTATCAGCTGAGACACAGTAGACATAGTATTTTAACATAATAAAAAATTGCCAGAATTTCCAACTGGATTACATACAGGAAAAAACCCCTGGCAGAATTTCTGAGTTTTCAGAACGCTTTGGCCAAAACATTCATTCTCTCACAATCTGGCCAAAGCCTTTGTGAATTTCTCACTATCTGCCTCACACTCTCTAATGGTTTCATCCACACAGCCTGGCTCCTTGTGGCTTATTATGCACATGCCATTGGCTCGACCTAGAGCCATCTTCCCAATCTGTGTGTTTCCATGTATTATATATATATATATATTATTTTTTTTTCAAGGCATGGCTTACACACTTTGTTCTCTGAAATTTACCTGGTTCCTGTAGCAGAAAGTAATTCTCTCTCCAGTGGACTCCTTGTTACCTTTGGACAGTCTTTCTATAGGACAGTGGTCAGCTCAACAGGAGGGGCCCAAACATAGTGCCTTCCACATGCAGTCAACATAAATGACCACACAGACGAATTATTGAAGCAAGCTTTCATTTAGTAAGCTTTTTGGTTCTTTTCCATTTCCATTTCCTCACCTCAACTTCCTAGCAATAAAGTCTACTGGAGGGAAAATTTACAAAAAACCAGCATATGTAACTGGAAAAGAGGAGTGAAAGCAGGAATAAGTATGCAAGCACTAACTCATTACACATACATATTTTTTAGCAAGACAAATACTTCATTGGCCTCCCTCTGCTCTTAACAGCAGTAGTCTAGCTGGCTAATTTAAGTGGATTTTTTTTCACCCTAATGGCTTGGGATTATGAACTTTCAGGTCTCCAAACAAGCAGTCTTGGAAACAGCTTTGATTTCCAGGGAACCACTGTCTTGTCTTCACTTTCACCCAGGAAACTACCCTCAACTCCCAACTTCTGCACCGTCCAAAGTCAACCCATCCCATGGGCTGCTCTCCACTCTCTGCCAAACCCTGTCTACACCATGTCTCTCCTCCTGAGTTTGACCCCTTCCTCCATTCCACTATCCCATCTCATCTTCCACTGTTCTTCACTGAAAAGTGTTATTAAAGGGAATGTGACCACTTCTCACTGGACTTAATCCAATATCTGACACAAAACTGAACTCTTATGTCCCAGACACTCAGATGGCCTTTTCAGTGGAGCCGCAGTTGACTATGTAGAAATTTACATGCATTAAATTAATACAAGCATTAAACAGCCCTGTCCCTCAGATCATTCATTTTCTGGCAAACAAAGTAAAAACTAATTTCAACTTACAAAGAGAAGTGATTTGGGCCTTTCTGATAACAAGCCTTTTTCCTTAGTAACTCCCTCATGTTGTCAAACTCACACTGAACTCCCAGTGCCCAAAAAATTAACCACAGAAAAACAGTCAAAAGGTCAAACCTGAAACACTTTCTGGGAAGACTCTTGCAAAAATTGTTCTAAATAAAAGGGGGGTGAGTTCTCTGGACATGAGCGACCCAACCCAGATCTCAGCTTGGTTTTACAGCCAGTCATTCTGCATAGCGGGGGTGGGGGACGTCCGGCCTGCAGGGCATGAAAGGCCCACAGAATCCCAAGCATTAGGGGTGAATTGGTTAAACGTGTGACTAGATATAGCAGGCTATGGTGATTTTGTATGGCCCAAGAATGATGTTATAAATACCCACATGGAGCTTGGCAGAAAAGGGTTCCCCACCCCTGCTACATAGGAATCAGCTATCTCTATAGTTCACTGGAAAACGTTAAAGTGCTTCACAGATAACAGACGACAGGCTTCTGTCTGAACAAATACCCTTCCTGTGCAGGCCCAGGGCAGGGACACTGCTCGCCTCTGTTCAGTTTACAAACCCTATGCCACCCTGACATTCCTACTGAGCCCGCCAAGTGTCGGGCGGAACGGACATGGGTTGAGGTGCGGGTCGTCTTACTTGTCCAGTTCCTCGACCTCTAGGTCCTCCTTCGTAGCTTAGAACGGGAAGCCCAAGCCTGTGGTGCTCAAAGAACCTGGTAACTTTTTACACCGGGAGGCGGAGCCATCTCCAAGGCCCTCACCACTGAGCGCTGCCCAGGGAGCCAGAGGAAGCCCAGCGTGCGCCCGGCCCACTCAGGCTCTGGTCTATGCTGTTTGATGACGTTTATACACAACAACTTCAAAAAACAGGAAAACGCTTACATAACGTTTTAGGAAACATAAGTACCTATTTGTGCTTCTGGACAGTCTTCCTGCATTTCCAGGGCTTCTGTGGGCTCTGGAGCTGGTGTTTCAGGAACTTGCAAAAACTCCATCCTCCAAAACTGAATTCAAACAACATGCATGTTACTGGGTGAAGACGGGGCCTCGGGGTTAAACAGGTAACCTAATTTCTGTTACTGCGTATAACTAAATTTCCCTGTATTTTAAAGAATGTGGCAGAGGACTAACCTCACATACACAATGCTTCCCATGCTGGGTTTGAGGAGGTCCTAAAGGGTGTTTCATGGTGGAGGAAAAGGACTGTGGTCAGTAAAGTTTGAGAAACATGGTTCAACTAAGTACTGTTTTGTTTCCTAAACTAGTAAAAATATCGGAGAGCTTTGCATACACTAATACATACACTGGATCTCTAAGAAGGCATTCTGCAAGAGCGGTCCCCTCACGTATTCGGCACCGGAGCTTGGCACAATGCCTCATGCCCCCAGACAGAGCTGCTGCCTAAGGTGCAGGGTGTGGCAGGTGAGTGGCTGACTGCAGCCTCATTGTGGCAGGCTCAGCCGACTGTGACTAACAGGGCAGCAATCAGCTGTCCTATGCTTTCACAGCATGCAATTAAAGAAAAGAAGCACAAAGACAAATCTCCCAAGAGAAAAAAAACAATATTTAGAACAGACCCCACAAAGGAAAACACTGTGGATCCCATTTTCTGTAGAGGCCCAACAGAGACAGCTAAGAGAAGGTGGACTACCTCAGAATCAGGGGATCATGCAGGACTGCAGGCACAGAGTGGGTGACCTCGGGCCTCGGATTCTCTGTAGCACAGAGACAGTCCCTGTCTTCCCTAAGAAGTCATTCGTAGACTCAACAGCCAGTACTGGCAGTTTGTACGTGTACCAACGCAAGGTGCCATGGAAACCATGCTTAACGGCCTAGGTGTGTCACATGGTCAGGTGGTTAGAAGCACCGCCTCCTTGATGGGAAGAGCAGCATCACTGACGTGCCCATGTCTGAGACAGTGGCTCAGGCCTGTCTGAGTCGGAGTGAGAGCCTCCAGACCACATCACAACCTGTGCAGGTGCCCTTCCGTGACGGCTCTCCACGGTTGCAGCTGCATGAGGGCAGTGGGCGTCTGACACGCTTTTCTCACGGCTGACTTACCCGGACCACCCCATCCGAGTGTCCTGTGACTATGACATTCTGGGTGTCCCACTCGTTCATCTCAGACACGCAGCAGCAGACGATCTGCTGGCTCCTCCCCGTGAAGGTGTTCACACTCACGACGGGGTTCCCGTTGATGCTCCACACGTGGATGTAGGTGCCCGCACAGGACACAATGTCCCCCTGGAAGGCAAGGAGACTCTCAAGTACGGCATACTGGTTCCAGAAGCAAATGAAATCCCTGGCCAAACTCTCAAAACCCCTTTCAGTCCTGTGACCAGTGACTGGGTAATTTCTGAGGAAACCTGGAATTCAGTGCTGGCTGACTTAAAAAAATACTCCACACAGAGGCCTTTTTAAGAATTCAAGGCTAAGTGGCTGCAGCCAAGGGGACCTCATGGAAAGTACAGGAGGACTTCTGCGCCGTCTGTGCCCAGCATGGTGCTGAGTTAGGCTTTGCTCCATGCCAAAGCCATCTGAGAGGTGAACAACCCCTCTCCCTCCCATTGTTTACAAAACCGATTCACTCCTTTTTTTTAGGGGCGAGAACCCACCCCCACTTAATCTTACAAAGTGCGTCCAATGAGAACCACAGGGTCAAAGGAAAACTCTGCAGCCTGGATACAACTGCCTCTCTCTTCAAGAAAGGAAAAGATGACATCTTGGTAACAGTGTAATACACTATTTAAAAATTTGTATTCACAGTAGGGTGGGGGAATGAGAAAAAGAAGAGATGAAAACTGGTATATAAGTACTAGGCAAATGAAATAAACCCTGCCTGCTAATGCTGATAATTTAGGTTTCATGAGCTCTGAAGACAAAAAAGTCTTCCCCTCAAATTTTACCAGGCTGGGGTCCACCCAACGTGATGAGAAGACAGCTCACGACTGCTCAGGGAATTAAGCATCTTCCCGAAGCATCTCTTGCTTCCATTACTAGTTACTGGGGTGGACCTTCAGACGGTCCATCGCGAGCTGTGCGTTTAGCCAGTACCAGCCCTGCTTTAGAGAGGACGAAGGAAGTGTGAAAGCTGAAGGGCCTGCTTACGGTCACAGAGTGAAGATGTGAACCCAGTTCTCTGGCCCTGAAGCCTGGACACCACACCACACTGGCTCTCTTCCCTGGCAGCCTGACTGTCACGATGCTCAGACTGAGTTTAGAACCTACTACTATTCTTCCTGCTCCCCCACCAAAATGGCAAAAACCCAAATAAAAAGGATTCTCAGCAAAGCACTGCTGTCTGCCTCTGTATCGGCCACTGAATACCAAATCGTCTGACAACGAAAGCCAGCCTCTCCTTCCTGTACTGAGCAAGGCTTTGTCGATGACCCCAGGGCACCTCCATCAGAGAGCATTAGACCAGCCCCGTGGTTATGGGGTGAACATAAGACGAGGGACCGAAAGGCAGCAGCAAGGCAGCATAGGCCCAAAATGTAGACTGAAGTAAAGCAGACTTAAACTGGTGCAAAAATATAATACTAATAGAAATCTTTTAAATGAGATTTTTCCCCTATGAATTATTAAGAGGTTCTAAAAGCATCTCACAAGAATAAAACCAAACACTTTCCACAGTGTTTGCAGCAACTATTGCAATCCAGTGGGTATATATTGCAATCCAATGGCTCAAATAACTACTGACTATAAGCAAAATTCTCAGTATTTAAGTCACGAACCCCAAAGCAAGTTGCTCGGAACAGTGCTTGGCTCAGAGCAGCGCTGCTGGCCCAGAGTTCTGGTGCACTGGCACATCAGTAAAACTTAGGCATAGATGTTTGCAGGACCAGCCCTAGGTGCTCTTCTGCAAATATCTTAAACCTTTCCAATACACCAAAACACAAATTTAACTCTTACCCCTGCACACACCCCACCCACTGCCAACCCTGGTTACTCTTGCTCCATTCTATTGTAAGTTCCATTCACCAGAACTGAATTTGTATCTTTTTCCTTTTCCTTTGAATGACTACAAGATATGCGACTAAAAGCATCATACTTAGTATCTTCTGGTAGAAACTAAAGATGCAGCCCTCAGAAGGAAAGCTGTCTGCGCAGGCAGGCGATGGTATGATGTGGCTAGGGCTCTGTCACACAGGATGACTCTATGGGGAGAGGTGGGAATGGGCAGATGCGGCTAAGAAGGGAGGAGGCTTGGGAGCTCTGGTTGCTTTGCAAGACTGTAGTGCACATGTGTCAAACACAAGGCCCGCGGGCCAAATCCGTCCCGCCAGGCCTTGCAATGTGGCCCGCACCGCGCTGTCATCACTGCACTCCACTGCGTTTCCATCACAATGACAGTTTATGACTGTTCAGTAAACCATTCGGCCCGCGATTTAGGCTGGATTTTAGATTTTGGCCCCTTCTCTGATTTGAGTTCGACACCCCTACTGTAGTGCATGCGTGGGCATACGGATGTGGTAACCTGTCCCTTGGACACAGAGACCTCGGCCTTTGTAAACTTACCTCTAACTCCCCTACTTATCAACGCACCTTAGTGACTACCCTCTCCTTTCCCCACTTAGGCAGACCTGGTCTGCATCAGGGCTCCCAGGCCATTGCATTTATTTATCCCAACTCATTTCATTTGTCCTTGGAAATAATATCCTTGGAAAACTTTGAAATCTGTTTTAAGAATCTATAGTAATAAAAGCATAATATGCCAATTAGACCAGATGACCTTCCGGATGAAGTTGGGGCTGCGAGGGAAGCCGGTGCTGGCAGCCAGGGGAAGGAAGGCCTACTCTTGCACGAATTTTGTGCATCAGGCCACTAGTAGTTCTGTAACAATGTTTGTTTGTTTTTGGTTTAAGTACCCAAATGTTATTTTTTTCCACTTTACATAATAAATAATTTGAATATATTTCATAAAAATTTCAACACAATTGTAACATTCTCAACAAATTCTACATTTTCCTTGTTTTTAAAGACCACCTATTCTAGAATGTTTTGTTTTGAATCAAGTCTTGCTCTTTAAAGTATGCAGTACTGAATGAATTTTAAGACAGAACTGCTAAAGTACAAACTTTAACATCCATTTGCTTTTACAAACAACACATAAATCAAGAAAATGAGTCCTTAACAACCAAGAGAACAGTCAGAGTCATCTTTTATTTATGTTGGCTAGACTTGCTTGTTTTCATAAACATAAACCGAGAGGACAATTTACTACTTACTGTTAATTCATTGATACAAAGAGCAGAAACCGGAGCTCGGTGGCCTCGGAGCTGGGTTAGGAATGACAGTTTGTTCAGATCCCAGATGATGCAGGTTCGGTCACGGGACCCGCTGACGATGATATGATAGGCAAATGAAGCTGTGGCACACGTGACGGTGTCGGTGTGGCCAAGCAAGGCCTACAAAGGAGAACAGAAAGCCCAGGCTGATCACTGGGACTGTGCAGCTGAGGGGACGGCAGACCCTAGAAGCACCAGGAAATGGCAGCACATGTGCTGGGATGAACACTGGGCGCAACGTCTAGAAAAGTCTTCATTCTGCTCCTGCCGACTGTCCTCGCCTTGTCCCATTGGTAGGGCAGGGAGCAACCTGAAGGGCTTTGGAGGCTGCAGTCTCTGTTTTTATATTACTTCTTTCCTGGACTTGGGTCAGTACCTTGGAAGGGAGAATGGTACTACAGCCCAATATGGTTTCTATCTACCATTTCTATGTGGAGATGTACTGATTATGGCCCCAGAATACAGAATTTCAGCTCTGAATCTATTCTTCCATGCCATCAATTCCTGTTAAGTTCATTGTAAGGAATTACAATTGCATTAATTAAAAAAAAATGTACAAACTGTGAGAATTGCATGGTTGTGGCACATGGTCACAAAAGATTAAGTGAAAATGTGGCTTTTGTGTGCTTGTTGAGTTGTCACTAAACAGGAGACACAGACATCTGTGCCCCACAGGGACTCCTTTTGCAAACTGGATACAGAGCAGAAACTTCTCTTTCTTGCTGGAACAGGAAGAGAAGCAGGACCCATGGAAATGGCAATACAGGCAAGTAATTATTTTGAAGAAAATACAGTTAGGAGTTCCTACCAGAAATCTGAGTTTACTATTTAAGTAATGAAATGGCTTAAAATTTTGGTCATGTAGACATCTTTATTATATTCTTATTAAACCACAGGAGGCTGTTTTAAATAGGAAGCACTTTTTACTGAGGGTTGCTGGCTTACTAGTTCCAAAGCCCACTTTCTAAATGGGAAAAATTGTAAGCAGGCATCTGGAGCAGCAAACTACACTGTCAACCTGTCTGTCTTCTTATGTCAGGATTGCACCCCTTACATGGCTTACCTTCAGACTCGGCAGCCAAGGAAGTTCTGGCCATATAGATGGTTGTTGGAATATAAGTATAAGGGGTTCAATTCTTTCCACAGGTATTTTGTTTGAGTTTGGCTTTAAAATAAGCTTTGGAGCCACAGAGAACTTTATATCCTGGCTTTACCACTGGGAGTGACTTGACTATGTGTCTCTAAGCCGTGGTTTCTCTGGTGTAATGAGAACTAATAACTACCTTGTATAACGGTGACAACTGATGTACATTTTTCAAACATTCAGCACACTCCCCGAAACATAGTAGGTGCTCAATAAATGGAAGAAATTGTTACACTGATTTTCAAATTTGTATAATAAAAATACTTAGATGTATACTACACTAAAAACCAGCAACTGTGTGATAAAATAACTCACAAATCAAATGCTAAAAGATGATTGCTTAATCATAAAAGGATTCTTGCTTTAAGTGAAAATTTAGGATAGTCAGTACTTAAGAAGTTATAAAAAAATACTTGTTATTACCATCATCAATAGTTCTACTGAATATGTTCAGGAGTTTGTTATATCTTTAGGGATATGATAAATGAGGAAAGAGAAAGACAAAGGAATCAAAGATTTAATGGTCCAACTGAACGAAAATCGCCAAGAAAGGAAAATAATATTGAATCAATAGCACTAATATAATCTGGTTTGTAAAATTTCAATTTACATATAAAATTTGAGAAATATTTATGATACTTAAGTTTATTTTAAAATATACTACCTTAAGACAGCATGCCTCAGATTTTTTAAAAAAGACTCTCATAGATAATTTTTAGAAATAGTATTTCTGATTTCACTTCCTTTACTTTTTAGATTCATTTCTAGCAAAAGAACATACATATTTTTGATTTTGTCCATTATTAAATTAAGGAAGTTTTAGTTTCTCTAGAGCAAGCATGTCAAATTCAAAGGCTAACATGGGCCAAATAAAGAAGATTTAAGTTTATGTGGGCCACAAAAAAACAAAAGCTTCAATTTCCATATAAACATAGGTTCATTTTGATAGAGACATGCTGAAATAAATGAGTAATTGTTAACATAAAATAGAACATTTTAATAAAAATATTTTTTCTTGAACATTAACTTACCAGACACTGAATAACTGTACAAATTAATAAGCATAACACAAATAAACCTACTTTTCTTATTCTCCAAAAGCAAAATATTTCCTATTGTGCACACCAAACAAGTCAGTCCAAGACCAATGATGTGGCAATCGGCTGCTAAAATATTCCCTGTTAGTATTCATGGAGAGAAATGGTGTGCCTGTGTGTAAGGCGTGTAAGGAAATGAATATAACATGGTTATAGTAATCAGTCATTAGTAAAAATTGTAGTTCATTATTAATAATTTTGTATAACAGGATATCATAAAAATTAAGTTACAAAGTTTTTATTAAAACGTTTCTTACGTGCTGTTATATTGGCTGGGCCGCAAAATTATTCACTGTGGGCCACATGCGGCCTGGGGGCCGAGAGTTTGACATGCTTGCTCTAGCGTGTAGGCAGTTGAATGGGGTGTCTTTCACTTATTCTGTTACCTGTTTGAGAGTGAGGGTCTTGGCCTTTTCTTTTGAGGTGCCCATCTCCCACACACACACAACGGTGCTTGTTCCACCTGTGATGACCAGCCTGGGGTTGGGGCAGATGGCGCACAGAATCTGGCCCCACTCAGACAAACATTCATAGACAGTCACGGCCTGTAAAATATAGCAGATGTTGAGACACAGGCCATCAACTACCATGAGTGTTGGAAACACAATGAGCACACCACGCGAAGGACAAAGGTCTCTAGCAGGTCCTCATAGGCAAACGACAGGACATTCTGGGCTGGTTTCAATTTAGCATCCTTTCTGTAGAAGCTCTATTCTGAGCTACCCTCTATGGCCTCCTAACTATAGTTGCTGCCAAAGGAGGCTCTCTGGCTGTAAGAAATGCTGACTGCCTGGCTGGCTAGGACCTCTTAGAGCAGTGTTTCCCAAAATGTGGTATGCGTACCCCCAGGGGTATGGGAAGAGTTTGGTGGGGGTATGCGTTGCACCGGAGTTTGGAGGGGATATGCACTGCACCGTGCTTAGCTGCGCCTAATTCTATGTTCTCATGAGTACGAGGGGTACTCAGCGTTACGAAAATTATAGAAGGGGTAAACATATGTCAAAAGTTTGGGAAACACTGTCTTAGGGGAATTCTTTGAGTGGGAGGGAAACTGCTAGTCCCCAGAATACAATTTGTCCCTAGAGGCTTGTTCTGTAGGAAGCATGACTAGTCAGTCCACTCGCTCCTTTTCCTGCTCTAAGGCAGAGAGCTCTCCCTTCCTCTGGGCCGTGGAGGACCAGCTGACAAGCCCTTGGCCTGGGCTTTCTCCACCCCAATGAAGAAGGATACCCAGCCATGAAAGAGCAAGATGGAATAATGAATGAGAAAGAAACGATGCAAACCTTGTCTGACTCATAGGTTCCCAGCCTGCAGCTGAGGTCTGAGTAGCCCCAGGCGAAGGTTTTGTTCCAGGTAGGTGGGATAAGCACCTTGTTCTGTTCTACTGCCAGAATGCCTTTGTCTGTGCACACTATTTGTCCCACAGGCTCCTTGAGTTCTATGCAAAGTGAATCAAAACGTTACAACAGGGGCAGGGAAAATGAACTTCATTACTTTATAGGGGATGATAAAGTAATCCCAAATATTCACACAAGCATCTTGACAACAGGCCCTGAGAGGAGGAGCGTGGTCTCAGTCCCCCAAGCTCAGCTGGATGATGCTGGCCTTGACCAGTGCTCTCCAGGCTTCCCTTCCAGCCTTGCTGTCTGTGCTCCCAGCAGCCAGGCCTGCATTCCTCATCTCTAGGGCTGTGCAGGGGGATCTGGGATGCTCCCAGCATGCCACACATAGACTGAACCAATCTAGATCTTTGGCACCTCTCACGTCATAGCTATCCCATACTCCCTGAAAAGGCCATGGTGCTCCCCGAGAGGCCCAGGTTCCTTGCTCTGCCCAAATGCTGCCAACCACACCAGCACTCCAGAACCCTTGCTGAGCATGCTACGCCCAGACTTCGTGATCCCCAAGGACCACCAGGTAGCCGAGTCCGATGCAATAAACAAAAGAGCCTGTACCATGCTAGCATGGGCTCCTCCCACCCACGCCGGCAGCATGGCGGAAGAGAGAGCGAACTTCTCCCAGTCCAGGGGTTTTACTCCGGTCGGTGGTGATGTCACTGCCTCGGCTAACCCTGATTGGTTGGGTGAGGGCTAGGGATAACTCCGCCCTGCGGGGCGGAGTTGGGAGCTCATCCTCGCCCAGCCCTGCCCTCTCAAGCAGAGGCTGGAGCTGGCGCAGGGAGGCAGATAGCCTGGAGCTGGTGGCTAATCCAATTAACCAGACTTTGAAGTGCCAATATTTGGATTTTTTTAGATGATAACTTCAAGACTTTGCAAAATTATTTTTTATTTTTTTATTATAAGGGGGGAGGGCAATCCACTTGCAAAAGTATTTGTAGCTATCTCAAAATGCTTTTAATTGGCATATTAAAAATGCAGTCTTCTGACCATTATTTATAAATTGGCAGAATATGTATAAACGAAGGTGGCAGAAGTTTTTCTACATGTATAATATAAAAGGTGAGCTACAGAGTTAGTACTTTGGAATTTCCAGTATCTTAGCAGGAGGAAGAAACCATTTGATTCTTTTTGGTAGGAAACCCAACAGGCCAAAACAGAAACATAGAAGGAGAAAATTTAATGGATATTTGGTGATTTAACACAAAAATACAGCACTCATTACAAATTACACTCTTGTCATAAAGCAAAGTTGTTATTGCTCAACTAGGATTCTTAAATAACCCCACAGAACCATGAATTAGAGGCTTATTCCCATCATCTTACCTTTGACAGGTGTCAGAGAAGGCCGCAAGTTGTCTAGATGATGGAAAAAGATCTTGTCACCTGTACAGCCTGGAGGGACAGAGACTCCCCCATTGTCTCCATTGAGCCGACTCCTCACTCGCTTTGGTGGATGAGGTTTCTTAAATAGCTGGTATGAGAGAATATGATACATTTTACAATGAGCCCTATTACACGCCAGGTACTATGTTATTTCACTTAAGCCTCATAACAACCAGCAGGTGCTGCATTACAAATTCTGAGGAAAGGAACGATAAGAGGCTCAGAGGCTGCCAGAGCTCTCCCAGCTTAGGAAGCAGGGACAGGGCTACAACAGTATAGTTTGTGTCACCATCGTGTACAATGATTTCCTAAGTTTTCCAAAGTCAATCAATTTACTCAAACTATAGACAACTGACAATTATTTTCCGATGGTGTTTAAAGATGAACTAATTCTTTATTATATCGACACCACTCTGCCACCGAGGGCAAGCAGACACTGTTTATTGTGCTATTTCTGGCTTCAGGTGGTTTTTCTCTGTGCAACATCATTTTGGTCTCTTAGGTGTTGCTAATTTGCTGAAAATGTAAACATTGTTGCCTTCCTTTTACTTTGCCATGTTGTAAAGGAAGAAAGAAAAAAAATCATTATTCAAAAAATATTAATGTACATTTGAAATGACTATTTTTCAAATAGTGTTCATTTTCAAAATAAGCATTGAGCTATTTCCATCAGAAAACTGCTGAGGAAGATATTAGGGAAAGCTTAGTGCAGTGGTTCTCAACCTTTCTAATGCCGCGACCCTTTAATACAGTTCCTCATGTTGTGGTGACCCCCAACCATAAAATTATTTTCGTTGCTACTTCATAACTGCAATTTTGCTACTGTTATGAATTGTAATGTAAATATCTGTGTTTTCTGATGGTCTTAGGTGACCCTGATAGTGGTTCTCAGCCTGGCCTGCACCCTCTCTAATCTGGGACCCCTCGAAGGATGTCCTACTGCCAAATTACAGGGATCAGGCCTAAACCAGGAGTCAGACATCCCTTTCACAATCTGGGACTGCTGGCTCTAGCCACTCACCTGCCTGCCTGCCTGACTGCCCCTAACCACTCCGCTTTTTAGCCTATCTCTCCTACCCACTGGTCTGCTCACTCCAAGCCGTCCTCCCCCTCGGCTGTCCTGACCTCCAACTGACCCCCAACTGGCACCCCTGCTGGGCTGCTTACCCCCAGTGGCCCCTGCCACCCCATCCTGGCCTGATCACATCCCGGTGACCCAAGGTCCCAGCCCCTCCTTTTTTTATCTTTTTTTTTTTTTTTCCAGCGCCTGCCTGAGCGGAGGCTAGAGCCAGCTGGAAGCAAGTACCTAGGATTTATTTATCTTCTATATTAAAACTTTGTAGCCTTGAGCAGAGGCCAGGGCCAGCCAGGGTGGGTGGGAAGCTTGGCATCCTCCATCGCTGGGGCAACCCAAACCTCCTGCTTGCTCCAGTTCCATGGCTGGCCACCATCTTAGTTGGGTTAATTTGCATACTCACTCCTGATTGGCTTTTGGGCATGGCTTGTGGGTGTAGCGGAATGATGGTTAATTTGCCTGTTTCTCTTTTATAAGTGTAGACAGAAATTAATAATGACCCAAGGCTCTGAAGTTGTATAAAAAGACCCACACACTTGGAAGCATGTTTATGAATGAACATTTACTAAGAACTTTTATATGAGGATCTCAGGACAGAATCAGGCAAGGGTATAGAAAGAGACATGGATACGATGACCAGGAAGTTTAGCTTTCTTTAGGACTGCTACACTTGAGAGTACTCTATATCAATCACTAGAATAGGGGTGTCGAACTCAATCAGAGAAGGGGCCAAAATCTAAAATCCAGCCTAAATTGCGGGCCGAATGGTTTACTGAACAGTCATAAACTGTCATTGTGATGGAAACGCAGCGGAGTGCAGTGATGACAGCGCGGTGCAGGCCACATTGCAAGGCCTGGCGGGACGGATTTGGCCCGCGGGCCTTGTGTTTGACACATGTGCACTAGAATATCCTAGAAATACATTATTATCTGGACTCTATCTTCTAGACTGCTTACCTCTTATACTCAAAAGTAGAAGAAACATCCTATATTGTAGAGAGCACCTGGGAAAGACCCCTGAGCTGATGGTCATCTAAGTCCAGTGGTGACCTGCAGAGCCAAGCTCTGGAAACATACCTCGTCAGAGGCAGGTGTGTTGTCAGCCTGACCTTCAGCTCAGGTGCCAGGACATGGGTTTCATTATCTAAATCTAGCCAAGCACCAGGAACAAACACGATTATTCGGGCCCACCCAGAAATGACAATTGCAAAGAAGCCACAAGAATGCATATAATTTCCTTTGTCTAGGGCTGTAGTAAAACTTCCTGGTATTTTGCTGTATAAAATAAACACACTGTATCAGCTCTGGAAAACTGTCTCTCCATTAGAGGACAGCTGTCCCACCTGGCCCCAGCCTTTTCCTTCTATCTCTGTGTCCGTCTCTTTCTTTCATTTTCTTAATCCCCAGCTGCCCCTACTCAGAAACTGGACCTCTCTCTAGCCGCGCTGGACATGGAAAAGAGAGAAATATTTATATTACATTTATGTATCTTATTTTTTAAAAATGTTTTTATTAATTTTAGAGGGAGAGAGAGAAAATCATTGATGGGCTACCTCCTGCACACCCTCTATTGAGGATTGAGCCTGAAACCTGGGCATGTGCCCTTACTGTGGACCCCTGAGTACTTGGGACGACACTCAATTTACTGAGCCTCATCAGCAAGAACTATCTTAATTAATTTTGTTCAGAATATTTTTTTCCAGAGGGTATGAAGCATTGTTTCTGTGCTTAAAACCCTCTGCAGAAAAAAAAAAAAAAAAAAAAAAAAAGGCTTAGCTAAGAGTCTTCAGCTGTGATTAGTGTTTATCAACAAGCATTTCACTTTATAGTAAACTTGGTTCCTTCACTGCGGGATCAGATTGCACCAGGAAGAGTAGTTAGAGGCTGTCCTACTCTCTGTTCCTCACAGCTTTTCCATGTACAAAGACAAGCCATTGTTCTGTGTTCCCAGCTGTCAACCCTGGGAACCACTAGGTTGGTTAACCTACAAAAAGGGAGTCCAGGAGATAGCTGAAGCAGGAACAGAGAAGGATAATTGAGGTCAAAGTGTGGGCACTTGGGGAAAATGGATGGTCTGACCGGCCCAGTGCTGGTAATTGCTGGTGCACCTGCCCTCCAGGTGTGTCCTGGACAATGGGAAGGAAATAACGGAGGGAGTCTCTTAAGGAGTTTTGATCCTTACTGAAGGGATTAGAGCAGTTGGTGCAGGTTGGGCCCAGGCACTCCCATGGCAGGTAGTCTCACATCACTTATCATACTCCTTTAATTCATACTACCTATTCCTGAACTACTTACTACAAGAGCTCCATAGGTGGCCCTCTGCTCCTAATTTGGCTCTGCTACAATGTGTGTGTGTTTGTGTTTGTGTGTGTGTGTGTGTGTGTGTGTGTGTGTGTGTGTACGCACACATGTGTCCATGACTGTGGCCAGAATGATCCTTAAAATCTAGATATGACCATGTTATGTCTCTACTTAGACTCAGCAGTGGCTCATCACTGGCCTCCGGACACAACCCCCTCTCTGCGGATACTGTGCCCCAGATCCCACCTGCTGTCCTGACCAGGCTCTCCTGACCTCTTGCCAGGTCTTGTGCAGGTACAGGAAAGCACACTCTGCACTGACCTGCGAGGAAAACTCTCTATGAACAACAACATTTCTATTTATTTGTATGTAAAAGGGAGGAGAAAGCAATACTTTTGGAACCTATTGGGTGATATTTATGGTCCTTTATTGAAAACTTAGTCTATGGTCATTGATCATCTAAAGAAACGTTACAGCCCTTTAAAACTGAACCTGAGAACATTGATGATAAACCATCCATACCTGTTTAGGAATCTGACCGAAGTTGTTGATAAACCCTATTGTGGCTGTCTCTTTCAGTGGGTCGTTTATGTTGTAGATATCCACTTGACCCTCATAAAACAGATGGTGGAAGACGTTTACAGCTTCTACTGCGGCAGGGCCTTGCTGTTTGTAGCCAAAGATTAAGTCAATCCATTCATGCAAATGGGCACTCACATAATCACATTCCAAAGCCTGTAATTCAAAGCAAAGGTTCAGTCACCGGCTGACATTTATTAATTGCTCAGAAAGGAGAAAAAAAATCGGCCAGTGAGCAATAGGAATTAAAATAACTAAAAATTATAAAAACAATCTTAGTAACTTGATCAAATGGGTGATACATTGCTCAAGGTCCTCTCTTCATACTGTGGCCAATGACCCAGTGAGATCCAAGTTCAACTGCCAAGTGTACCCCCATTACCTCTCGGTGGACTCTGATGAATTCTCGGGGGTCCCCTTTGGCCCAGGGTGGGAGGATAACATCTCCAAGCTTGGTGCCATTTTGTTTACAGCCTGTGCAGTGGGATACATTAAAATAATAATGAGAAAACTATGATAAATAATAACTTCAGGTTAACGTAACAGAGAAACAGTGGGTTTAGATTCATTATCAGAACCATGAAATCTTACCACCAGGACCCTCAGAGATCATCTATTCTGCTATTTTCTTAAGTCTGATCCTTAGTGTACTTCCTCAGAGAGGTTTGTTAAGTGTTAGCAAAATGGAGGGGTGCTCACTGTCAAGTGACTTCAGGAAATGCTGAGCTATGCAAAGTTGGGTGTTTCTTTTCTGCAGGACTCCTCAGACACATGGCATTTCTCTAGGAGGGATATTACAACATGTCTGAAACTTAACTGACCACAGGAGTCCTTAATGAAACATTTTATGGGGCTACTGTTTTGAGTTTGGAAAAACCCCTCAAATTTAATCCCCTGAGAATGGAAGACCATTAACATTTCTCTAAACAAGCGGTTGCCAACTGGTGGTCCATGGACCACTGTTCTGTGAGGTCCGAAAGGTTGGCTACTGCTGCTCTAAACTCTGCCTTTTTTAGGCTTTTCCAGAATGCTTCATGCTTAGTGAGTTATCAGTAGTTAGCTAGTACTGAAATTCTTATCTTAATGCTCTGACAAAATTTTGCCATTTGCACGGAGAAGGCTATTGAGAGAACTCCCAACGCCTCAGCTACGTTCATTCTGCTCTTAAGAAGAAAGGAGCTGCAGGCTCCCCTCTGGCCTGGGCTCTGGTCAGGGAGCCTGCAGGAGGCAACCAATCCATGTGTTTCTTTCACATCGATGTTTTTCTCTGTCTTTCCCTTTGTTTACATCTCTCTAAAAATCAATGGAAAAATCTCTTTTGGGGGGAGCAAGAGGAGGAGGAAGAGGAGGAGGAAGAGAAAGAAGAGGAGGAAGAGGAGGAAGAGGAAGAGGAAATGAAAGTGCCACTGTCTCCTTGAGATATTTGGAATACATGGGGCTTCTCATATTTCTGATTCATTACTTCTTCAGAGAGCTCTAAAGACCTGATATGTATTTTTACTATAAAGACTCTTATTAAAGAAATAAAATCTGAAACACAACCTTTTGCTGTTAGTGTATCATTTAACAGAAAAAAACAAAAAACAAAACCCACATTTGGAAAGACTACCAGTGACCTGGCAGAAACAGAAGCATCATGTTGTGATAATGCACACCTAGTGATATTTATTCCACATGTTATTGTATTTTAATATGTTGTTAAAAATAATGTATTCTGTTAATTTAAGTGATAGTCAGATAATCTCTAATGTATTAAAGAAACCATTTACTATGAAATCTATCCACAACAAAATACATTAAATGAAACTGGTATCTAAGGAAACAAGTTCTTTTTTTTCCTTTTTAAAAATAACACCAAAAAGTTAACTTGAGCTTAGAGTTTTGCTAGGTACAAATCAGATGATCATTATAAAAAATGACTTGATAAACAAAAATGTTGCTCACTAGCTTCACAGCAGTTGGTTAAATAGCTGCATTAGAAATTTTCACAGAGAAGGTCAATTGTTCAAATTTTAGAACACAAAGACAGTTCCAAGTAGTGGCCAACAAAAACATTTTCCTTAGAAGCAATCTTGTTTTCATCATTGTTATTGGATGGGCTTGTTTACAATGTGATATTAAGTGAAAGATACACAAATCAGTTTATTGTTTAAAGGAATGTCTTGACTAACTGCCATAAGACTTAAGAAAAAAATATAAGAATCAACTTTTTACAACTCCCCCTTTCACACCCTCCAGGCCTAATTTTTTGATAATGAAAAATAACAATTCTCAGGCTATTTCAAGTATAATCTGCTTTTTAATTTTTTTCTCATAATCCCTAAATAATTATGTGATGTAATTGTTACTTAATCAGCACTATCTGCAGTCCTAAACATACTTAAAGGAAACAAGTCTCCTAGTAAAGCAATGCTCGGTGTATCTAATCCTGCCTCTGAAGCGCCCCTCCAAGTACTCCCAGGGTGTGAGGACAAGAAGACCAGGGGTGCGTGTCACTCATTGCAGAAGCAGGGAAAAACTCCAGTGTTTTTGCTTTTAAACCATTTACCATCTTTTCTGGGCAAAGAGTAAACTGTATTCTATTACTTTCTTTTTATGGAAGTGAAATTCACATAGCATAAAATTAACTATTTTAAGGTGAACAACTCAGTGGTATTTAGTATGTTTACAATGTTGTGCAATCGTAACCTCTCTAGTCCCAAAACATTCTCATCACCCCAAAAAGAAACTTTGTGCCCATTAAGCAGTTGCTCCCATTCCTCTCACCCCCTGTCCCTGGAAACCACCTCCTCAGGATATTCCACATATATGGAATCAAAGCATTTTGTGACCTTCTGTATCTAGCTTCTCTCACTTAGTCTAATGTTCTGAGATTTATCCATGTTGCATTTATTGATACGTCATACTTTATGACTGAATAATATTCTATTACACATATACCGGAGGCCCGGTGCACGGGTTTGTGCATCGGTGGGGTCCCTGGGCCTGGCCGGTGGGGACTGGGCCAAACTGGCTCTCCGGCATCCCCCGCGGGGTCCCGGACTTCCAGAGGGCGGTTCTCGGGTGACGCACGTGGAACCAGGCTCCCGCCTCTCTGGTTCCAGGTACATTACCTGAGCCACAAAGCTGCCAAGTCACCGCAGCAGCTCAGCAGCTCCTGTGATGAGTGTCTTCCCCCTGGTGGTGATTGTGCATCATAGCTACCTGTCAGACATTCCAATGGGGGGTTGCTTAAGCTTCTATACATAGATTCCACAGTTTGTTCACTGATAGACTCGTGGGCTGCTTCTACCATTTGGATACTACAGACAGTGCCTCTTTGAACATGAGGGTACATGCACTTGATGCCCTGTTCCAGTTCTCTGGGACATATACCCAGGAGTGGAAATGCTGGGTCATATGATAATTCTGTTTAACTTTTTGAGAAACTTCCGCACTGCTTTCCACAGAGGCTGAACTATTTTACATTCCCATAAGCAACGAACAAGGTTCTAATTTTTCCACAGTCCTTGATGTTTTCTGTGAGTGCACATTTTTGTTCTTTTTACATTATAAGCCATATTTACAATAGATGTACCGTGGCACCTCACTGTGGTTTTGATTTGCATTTCCCTAGTGACTACTGATACTGAACATCTTTCATGTGCTTATTGGGCATTTGACTAACTTCTATTCAGGTCCTTTTGCCTATTTTAAAATTAAATTGCTCATCTTTTTGTTGTCGAACAGTAAGTTTTCCATATTTTGGACAATAGGCCCTTATAAGACACATCGGTTTCTTCTATGAAGGTTTTCTTTTCACTTTCTGCATAATGTCTTCCAATGCAGAAAGTTTAAAATTTTGATCAATTTCAGTTCTCTTTTGTTGTTGTTACTTGTGCTTTTGATATTCTATCTAAGAATCCATTGCCTAATACAAAATCGTGAAGATTTAATCCTATGCTTTTCTCTTACAGTTTTATGGCTTTAGGTCTTACAAGCAAATAGTGTTTTATATAGTCTGTGATTTCATGGAAGAAAGATGATTTCTTATGAAGGTGAGTGTGACAGAGACACACAGTCCTTTTTTTTATTACTCATGTGAAAGTGGATAATTTGGCTGGGTTTGTAAGTAGTCTGGCTAAAACATTTTTGCAACACTGACTATTATAATGGATCCAGTGTTTTTCAAAGATCGAGGGTATCTTTTTCTTTACCTTTCCATATTTGTGTCTTGGAAAGTGATGTCCCTGGGGAAGAGAGTTCTCCTCTAAAGGAGAACTAAGTAAACCTTATTAGTGTTATATTTAACACTAATGTGTAGCCATATGCAAATGCTGTGTATGTATCAGCTGTTTTTCCTTATTTATTAGCCATTCTATTCCTTCCAGTAACCATCACTCCAACTCCGAATCCTAGAACTTGGTATCTTTAGTTACTCTTGGGTGAGGATCAGAAGTAATGAGACTCAACTACAGGACTTCTGCTGGGGCTACTCAAAGAACCTTATTATCTTTTCTAGTGGACCTGGAGCTGTAATTTTATAAAGTTAGGACTGCTGATGGATAAATTAAGTTAAAATTGTCTTTAAAAAAATCACTCAAATAATTAGATATGAATAGTTTTCTAAATTTTCTGTTAATGAAACATTTTGAGGTAGCATAGTAATGATTTATATGTTGAACTCTTAAATACAGCATAAAGTACAAGGTATAAAAAACATAAAACAGAAGAATATCTGGCAGAAATTTCTTACAGTGGAAACAATGGAATTATTATATGTTTTAAAAGAAATAACCAAAAACATAGATCAGCAAACTGTGTTCCAAGAAACTGTAACCAAAGTCAAATCAATTTCCTGTAGCTGCTAGATAACACACGGAGCAGAAAACTGATGAAATTTCTCTCCTTTTTGTAAATGGTGATTTGGTTCTGTTTTTCTAGAAACCCTGGCAGGGTAAGAAAAGGAATTTACTTATAGTTACTATGAAATTCTAGTTTTAAAATATATTGCATGTAAGCTGAGAATGTCTCAAGCAATTCATAAGATTAAAACAATACATGAAAATTTGGATACACCACTCTTGGCTACTAATGGGTTTCAATTGTGATAATTTTCAAATAAATTTTTTTTTTATCTCATGTTCATTTTCATTGACATAACAATGTTCTGACCAGTAGATATAATCTGGGTCAATTTATAAACGTTTCCCAGACTCTAGGCTTGAAGCAGCCATTTTTCTTTTTCTCTTAATCGCAGACACCCAATTATAGTAAACAGCGGTAGCGGATACCACAAGGCCATCTCCTCAGTGTGTACTGCAATCTTTAGAAAAGTGACTTATTTCTACCAATGTCTTCCCGGATGGCATTTCTGAGACCGTGCCACCGCTCTACGTACCCAGATCAAAGTTGTTGGAATTGAACAGGAATTCTGGTAAGTAAAAAAACTCTGGGATCAGTTCTTTTACGTCTGCCATGTTGTGCTTGGATGCTGAATACCAGGCCTCCCGCACACTGTGGAACATCCGGTCAGCCAGGTCAAAGTGGCCTCCCTGTGGGCAGAAAGAGAAGGCACCGCCCTATTAGAGAAGCATTCCCACCTCACAGCTTCAGTCAGGCTCAAGGGCTTGAAAACCCTAAGTAGAAGTTTGGTGACCTTTCCATTTCCCATCATCTTATGTCAAATACACTACATTTTAAATGATCATCCCCCCAAATTAATCTCATTAATTATTTCTGGGGTATTCTTTACAAAGGGTGCTCAATGTATATGTTTTGTGATCAGTGAAATCCAAATGTAAAGACTTTAAAAAACCATTTAAAAAAATACTAGTTTTTAGAGCGAGGCAAGACAATAGGGAATATTAATTCTTCCTTATTTTGATGATGCTCTCTTAAAGATTGTGGTCATTTACAGATGGAGATGCTCCAGGTATATATGCGCTTGACTAAATTCATAAATAATATTACACTGAAGTTCTCACACCAATGAGAACTAAGTGGAGAACTATGAAGGTGATAAAAAATATATAGGTTGATAAAACAAATTCAAATAGAAATGGGATTTCTTTTATCCACCACCCCCTTCCTCAATCAAGCTCTTTATGCTACATTTTAAGGGAACACAGAGTAACAGTCTCCATGATGAAGGTCACTGTGGCCATCAAGGGCTTCCATAATCTGGCCTCTAGGACTCCCCACACTTACTCTGCTCCAGACACATTGGCCTCCTTGCTGTTCCTGAGGCATCTCAAGCATACACTTGACTTAGGGCCTTGCCTGGGCTGTGCCCTTTGCCTAAAACACACTTTCACCAGGCACTGGAATGATTAACTCCTTTCCTCAGAGTTTTTGTTCATATGTTACCTTTTAAAGAAGACTCACTCTGATCCTTCCTTAAAACTGCATTGTGCCCGGCCAATGTGGGACAGTGATTGAGCATCAGCCTATGAACCAGAGGTCATGATTCAATTCCTGGTCAGGGCACATACCCAGGTTGCAGGCTCAATCCCCAGCGTGGGGCATGCAGGGGGCAGCCGATCAATGATTCTCTCTCATCACTGATGATTCTATCTCTCTCCCCCACCTCCCTTCCTCTCTGAAATCAATAAAAATATATATTTTAAAAATCTGCATTGACATCTTCCCTGCCTCCATTCTCCTTTCCCTGATCTTTATTTTTTTGACAACATTTATCACATTCTAAAACACTTTACAATACATTCATTCTGTTTGACTGGCTCCCTCAACCAAAATAGTATATAAGCTCCACACTTTATTCATTAAAGTACTGCAAGCAGCAGAATACTGTCTGAATGAATGAAAGAGAATGTGGAGAAACACAGTTATAATTAAGAAAAAAGCAAATGAGACAGACTAATTACTTTTTTTTTTTTTTTTTTTTTTTTAATGTTTGTTGAATTTAACCAGTTAAAGCTGAATTCCATATGCCTGGCCAGAAAGCATATGCTACTTGCTTATTTGACTAAAGGATCCTGGCACTTGTTTATTATAAACAACTTCTAGTTTATTCATCAATTTTGATATAGTAAAATTTCACTTTAATTATGTTTTGATTATGGGTCCTCTTATAATGCAAGATAATATTATTTTTTTTTTAAAGCAACAATTTTCAATAGAAAGAAGGCCTGTGCAGAATGGGACAATTCTGAATTTAGAGTTTTACCTGCAGCCGTAAGAATATCTGTGTAAAAGGCTCCATCCTCACTAGGTATGAAGCCACAATCATGGCAGATGAATAGTGGGTCCCATAGTGGTAGGCTGGAGTTTCTCCTGCTCAAAAAATTACAGCAAAATTGAAAACAAAAGAGTAAACATAAAAAATAAAACTGCTATTAATAGGCTTAAAAATGCTGATGATACTAAATACAGCTAGTGCTGGCGTTTGTAGCATGAAAACTGTGGTGACAATGCTCCCCTCACTTACATTTTGGGCAGTAATGAAATGTCAGTATTATTTGATGCCTTTCCAATCAAACTTAGCATATTTAGTAATTCCTGTTTTGAGGCTAATTGTAATGGATAACAATGAAGAGCAAAACATCTCCACTAAAGCCGGGTATTTATTGACTTGCAGATACTTTTCATTAGGTTCTTTCTGGCTCTGCATCATCATATTTCCCTAAATTGTTTATGAATATTATGCAATTTTTACTATTCTTATTGGCAGGGGGGAAGAGTCCAGCCCTGGCAGGTATGCTCAGTGGCTAGATTGTCAGCCCATGCACCGAAGGATCGTGGGTTCAATTCCCGGTCAAGGGCATGTACCTGGGTTGCAGGTTCGATCCCTGGCTGTGGTCAGGGCTGTGTGGGAAGCCACCAACCAATGTGTCTCTCTCACATCAATGTTTCTCTATCTCCCTCCCTTTCACTCTTTCTAAAAATCAATGGAAAAACAAGAGTTCACATAGGGAATACTGTTAGGCTTAGGGAACCCCCCCCCTTTTGTTTTGCATATTTTCAGGGAATACATAATAAACATTAAACATAATAATAAATAAGTAAACTGAAGTGTTTCAGAAGGTAGTCAATTTTCATTTTTAAATGCAAAAGGGTTCTAAAAATGAGTCAATAAATGAAAGAGTAATTCCGGACCTACATATGAGTCAAGGTAAAGGAACATTATGATGGGAAATTTCTGCCCTGTGCCAAACAGCATACCTTACTTAGTTTTCTGCCAGTACCTGACAGGCCACTTAAAAGAATCCCTTCTATGCATGGCCATCAATTGGCATGCAAAACCAGATTTTCTACTCTGATAGTTGTATAGATGTGTGCATATGTAACAGACAGAGATAATGACATATAAGCAACTGACGGAAAGATGCAAGGAGGTCAGATCACTAAATTAATGGCTTACTTTTGAAGAAAAGTTACTTACCATTAGGGTCTTCCCAGTCTTTATATCGCTTCTTATATTGAGCTAATCGTTCATCTGTCTGTGCTCCCATTGGCTTCGCCAGGTTTCTAAATGTCTTGGGATTAGTAAGATCGACCTCCTAAAATACAAAATAAACCTAGTTCCACATTGCCATACACCCTCTATGCCCACGGATGCAGATATAGTGGCTACACTTGACAATGGTGATTTGTAAAAACGTGCTAATATTTTTTGGGTCTCATGGAAGAACTGGACTCCATGCAGCTGCTGGTCATTCACACTTTATAGAGGGGCACAGGACAGTTTGTTAAGTGGCTCGGTTTGAAGACAACTGCTTTGGAAATTAAGTTTTGACAGAGAACGGCACTCAGGACCCATATCTAGAGATGAAGAGGAAGGAGAAGGGACAATCCTTTCCAGTTTTGGCAAGGACACAGCAGAAGACTGTGGATACAAAAGCTTCAATTCATCTTTATCCTCCGTCACCCACATTCCTAGAGGATCAAATCCCCTCTCTGTTCTCTTCCCCACCTCCCCTGTTTCACGCTGACCTTACTTCAGAGCATTTCCTTCATAGAGGCGATTGGGAAGTGACATAAAATAGAACACTCGGGAATTCATTCTCCTCTAAAAGGCATTAGACTAGGCCAAGGGACCGTCACCGAGACGGAATCTTTCAGTCTGCCACAGAGTATTTTAAAAGATCATCTCTAGTTAACCTAACTCATATATTTGAAAGGAAATCTGAATTTACCTCCCGAAGGTTTTAAAAGTAGAAATTTGAAATATGCACCTGTGGGATATTTAATTTGTATTCTTTTAATAGGGCATTATAACCAACCAATTTTGCCAACTTGTACTTTAAAAGTCTTGGGCAGGAGAAATTGATATACATTTATAAATATAAGTCAAATTAGTACATTTGTCCCCTCAAAATTTATATGCAGAATACCTCATTAATATTTTTTTGGTTAATTCAACAACAATTAAAGTGTATGCTAAGTGCCAGGCATTACTGTAAAGGTTGGGAATTGAGAGACACATAAAATAGTCTTTGCGCTCAAGGACCTCACAATCAAGTAGGGTCAAACACAAATCATGATGATAACATGACACAGTCTCAGGACAGTGATACCCGGTGTGTCCTGCAGGGTGGAATGGAGCTAGCCAGGTGAATGTGTAATGAGAGAGAAGGTGTGCATGAGCACTGGGAGAATGCCACACTAGGAGTGTAGCACATGCAGAGCAACTGAAAGATGTCAAGGAGATGGACAGGTGGCCCAAATAGCAATCCTAGGAGCACACAAAGGACAGATTCCTAGGAACTACTTTGTAAAGGGTACAGTACTGAGGCTTTTAAATTCTCTCCAAATCGTGATAATGATTCACTGAATCATTTTAAAGAGGGATGACTCAAGTAGATTTGTGTCTGACACTGACCACAGTACAGAGAGCAGAGAGACATCCATCAGTGGATACAAATTAATCACCACTTAAGGAAACCAAATAGAGGTTATGAATTAATACCCAAGAAGTTGGTCAATTATCCACATTCTGTACAAGTCCAATCTAAAGCTCTTCTCATCTTCTTGGAATAAGTGCCTGCTGAGAACTTTAAACTATAAAACATCTAAGCCAATGCAGTATCTCTTAATTACTTTTGAAAATGAGTTCCACTTATACCAAATGACTCGAGATTTACCTCTGAGTCGTAATCTGCAAGGATCCAAGGAAACACAGGATATTGCATGAGGTCATTGTACGATCTGCCGGCCAAAGTGTTCAAGTGCATCAAATACTGGAAGTTGCTGATTTCACCTCTCTTGGGAAACAGAGGTAAGGGTTCATTTTAGAGCAATCGATTACATCCTTTATGTTCACTTTTTAAAATGTATATGCAAAATGACAATTTTAAAATGTAACGAACAATTTCTTTCATACAGATTTCAGAACATCAAAACTTTTTCTAAAAAGAACAAAAACAAGACATTTTATCTATGGTACATATTTTATGGGTTATTAAAGTGCCTTTTTAACTGTATGACTTGCACCCTCTATACTAGTAAAAGAGTAATATGCAAATTGACCGTACCTTCACAATGACCACCAGCCAATCAGGAGTGTGTATGATGGGTTAATTTGCATATGCAGACGCCAAGTGGCATTTTGCACCACCCCAGCCGCAGCGAAGGCGGTGCTGGCAGACAGGGTAAGGAAGGCCCATATTTGCACAAATCTTTGTGCACTGGGCCTCTAGTCTAACTATAAATTACAAAGGAAGCTTCCATTTTCATTGAACTTACCTCCCATCTCTGAGTGACAGACTTCTCTCCAACCAAAGTACTAAGCAATCCAGACCTGAAATCAATAAATAATTACATTGTAGACAGAAGAATTTTAAATGACTAATTTAGAGTTGACAATTTTAAGTCTCCTGGTCCAGGAATTTTTCAGACTTCGGAGGACCTATTAGTGGGTCATAAAATCAATTTCATCTTCTTAAATATGAAGTAACATGGAAGTGAACGGAAGAACACAGAACATTGGAAGGCATCACATACAGTAATGAAAGTATTTTCAGTGAATTCAGTCTTAGCTACCTCAGTTTGTATGTTGTGGGATACAATGTAGAATATATATTTTACTGTGGGTTATGGCAAAAGAGTTTTAAAAACAATTATCTAGTACAACCTTCTGCCTTTTCCACTAATCATTATGTAAAAAGATTTAAAAACATTATGTTGGAAAAACAATTAATATATAATATTTTGTACACAGTAGATACACAGCATATTTTCTAATAGAGATGTTGAAAGTGAATGAGAATATAAATTATTTTGACAGGAAAGTCATTGCTGTTCAGGTTATTTAAAATTGTGGACATTTTTTGATAGCAGCCTTTTCTAGAATGCTGTAAAATCCTTATTTAAAAAATATTTTTATTTATTTCAGAGGAAGGGAAAGGGAGAGAGAAGACAGAAACATCAGTAATGATAGAGAATCACTGACCCCTTCTCCCCCCAGCTGGGAATTGAGCCTGGGGGCAACTGGACATGTGCTTTGACCAGGAATCGAACTGTGACCTCCTTGGTTCATAGGTTGATGCTCAACCAAGGAGCCACACAGGCTGGGCTAAAATCCTTCTTTAGGTTTACCAACTTTATAACATTGGTAATTATATATGTATTTTAATATATTTTATTGAGTTTTTACAGGGAGGAAGAGAAAGGGATAAAAAGCTAGAAACATTAATGAGAGAGAAACATTGATCAGCTGCCTCTTGCACACCCTCTACTGGGGATGTGCCTGCAACCAAGGTACATGCCCTTGACCAGAATCAAACTTGGGACCTTTCAGTCCACAGGCCAATGCTCTATCCACTGAGCTAAGCTGGTTTCAGCTGATAATTATATTTTGAAGATTGCAAAGTGGCTGTCAAACCAGTAAGCAAACACTTAACTACATATTTTATTGTATTTTATTAATTATGAAATTAATAGATTCAGCTCGAGGGCATAGATACCACTTTCCACTTACAGAAAAATTCTTCTTTCCAATAGGAAAACTGAATGTATAGGATGCTCTCCCTGGAAAAAAGAGCTATGATCACCCCTCAACCTTATAAGAAGGGAACAATTGGAAAGAAGATTAAAGTTGGAAATGAATATCTGCTTCTTGCATTTGAGCTTTTAGAAGTTCTTCAAGAACTACCAACTCAGCACAAAAAGAGGCAAGAACAATGAAAACAGGAAGTTGAAGATGATGAGGGCAGATGAAAATACTAGCAATTTGATTATAAGTAGAAAAAGGCTGGATGTACTCTAGAGGAGCCTTTCACTACCTTTTTTTATATTAACAACACACGTGATTAGGAGCAAAACATGCTTTTGAGGCTAATAAAAGCATGTAGTTAGCATTTGTATTTGCTAAATCTCGGCTAAAGAAAAATAAAAGCAGCAACCTAAAGAGAAATACACGAATTTAATATATTTAGATATACACATACTGGACTCAAGTTTTATTTACAAATTACATAATCTCCAGTAGTTTTAAGTCATTTTTTTGCAGGTTGTAATAATTAATTTATAGTCCTGCTTCTCTTCCAGTGGATTATAAAGGACCACAGTTCTGAGTGACTGTGAATGGAGCTGGCTGTGTGGATTCTTAAAATATCTACATCATCCAGAAGGAGTTTCTAAGAGTAAAAGCAGCTGAAAAGAGCACAAGGAAGCACTGGTAGGTGTCAACATATAAAAACAGAAGTTTTATTTTAAATGTGAAAAAACAAAACCAAGAGGAAACCTGGGCTATTTGTGAAAAATATGACAAGCATAGGAGTAATAATTTATTATTATTGAAAAACCCCATACAAATTGATAAGAACTCAAGAGGAGGGGTTAATTGTTTAAACTACAATACTATGATGATCATTTCACAATATATATAAATATCAAATCATTATATTGTACATCTGAAACTAATATGTTATATGTCAATTATATTTCAATTTAAAGAAAAATATCAAACCACCACCAACAACCACCTCAGAAAAAAAAATGGGCAAAAGTTTTAGATAATCCCCAAATGATGATTTTAAGTGGCTAACAAACATTTACTGAGTTCTAGCACTAATAATAAGAGGCATGTTCATTTAAAATATGAAAAAAACCACTTTATAAAATCGGTAAAAAATTTAAAAAATATAAAGAGTTGAGAAGCATCTTATGTAGGCAATTAAACTTATCCACAAATGATGGAATACAAACGTGAATATTTTTATGGAAATTAAGTTGGTTTTGTGTATCAAATGCCTTCAAATTCATTCCCCTTATTTTACTGAGAGGACTTTACCCTAAAAAAATAATCAGGAATCACATTTGCATTATCATTAGAGGGGAACATGATAAAAATGAAATATGCACAAATAAAATAATGTTTTACATATAAGTTGAATAGGTAGCTAATAAAAGTAATGTTTCTGAAGAATTTTTTTTAAAGCAGGTGAAACCATTACATATAACACTGAATGGAAGAAGCAAAATAGAAATATGTATGGTACGAACTTAATTATGCATATAGGAATATATGCATGCTTAAAAGACTCCAAGAAAATTGATCAAAATGGGAGCACTGATTTGACCTGAGTGATCATGCACACATTTTCTTTTTTCCTTCTAGTTTTCAGTAATCAAACAATTTTGTGCAACATCAGGAAGAGAAAACACTCATCTGAAATATTAAATAATGCTGTCCAGATACAAACATCATAATTTCACTATTAAATTATAATGCAAGAAGCAAACACATACCCTTGCTCCACACTTGTATTTGGTCTTTGCCCAGACACAGACTCGGAACTGTCAGTTAGAGATGGAACTACAGCCAAAAACCTGGAAAATTTAAAAATAGCATAAAAGTAAAAGTGAAGTTTCAGTCAGGGTCTAATGAGAGCCTGAGAAAGAATGGATGATTCATTTATATCTTGTTTCATTTACCCCTCCACTCCCCAACAAATGGCAGGTAGTGGGAACACATAATAGTTAGAACACTGTTAGGATAAGGTGGTTGCTTCTGCAGCCAAATAATAAAAGTCCACAGCAACATCAATCGTTTGGCCTTTTACATATGCTGTCATGTTGCAGGAAGCAAAGGCCTTGCAGCATGGATTCACAGGAATTGAACCAACTTAATGAAGTCCCAGAGAGTGATTAACAGCTAACTATGCACATGATAGCAAGTAATCCTGACAGCTAAAACCACAGAACAGACACATCACTACATAAATGAAGACCCACACAAGGTAAGAAACTTTATGTGATCATCTTATAATTTTTGTCAGAGTTGCTTATAATGTCAACACACATTTTTTAAAGGCAAAGAGAATTGTGTAGAAATTCTTGGAATGAATATAGACCTTGAATGTAGCACAGATATAGAAATATCTCACAGAAAGAAAAACTCATCTCCTTGTAATGGATTCCAGTTATGAAGAGAAAATAATTTCCTGGTGCTGAAAATAATAGCACTCTTAGAGATTAACAGGGTAGGTAACTGAAATTTCAGTCACTTTACTTAGCTCTTCCCATACATGAAGGAGATTCTGATTTGCCAATCAATACTCACAACCACTGCACCTGAAGACCCGCCCTCATGCTCACTGCTAACTAATGTTACTGTACCGTAGCGATTAGCAATGCCGCTTGGCATTCGTTATTCCTCATGAAATGACTTGAAACAGAAAACTTCTTTTCCTAGAAGGCCTGCAGGATCTACACTACTCTTCAAGGAGTAAGATAAAGTCTCTCCTATCTATGATCAGTGCATAAAGCCTTATTATTCATACATCCAACAGAAATATCTTCAAATGCCATGGATATGTACTGTGAAGCTTGTAAAGTAAATTTTAAATATATTTTTATCCAAAATAAAATAGGGTTATATAATAGTAAGTGCTTTATTTGTACTACTTTCCCAACGGTGAAGATATCCAACGTCCCTTCCAAGGCCAGAGAAAGTCTCATATGAGTGTAATTTCTAAGGAAACTTGGTTTCTCTGTTCAATATGAAGAAAGTCTATTTGGAACTTGAAATATTATTATTTTTATTATTTAATATATTTTATTGATTTTTTACAGAGAGGAAGGGAGAGGGACAGAGAGTTAGAAACATCGATCAGCTGCCTCCTGCACACCCCCCACTGGGGACGTGACCACAACCAAGGTACATGCCCTTGACCGGAATCGAATCCAGGACCTTTCATTCCGCAGGCCGATGCTAGTCACTGAGCCAAACCAGTTAGGGCTGAAGTATTATTTTTGAAGCTATACTTCACCATCCTTTTATATTTAGAGATTCAGGACTTAGTGATGAAAGTAGCTTTGGATAGTAACTATAAGTTGCTAGAAGAAAAAATGGCATTTCAAAATAAAATAGCATCCTTACAAAAGCTAGTTAGAAGAATCATTTTTATAGAGGTTGACAAAAAATGAGACAAATATTTTCTTCAAAGAAATTAACTCACTGATCTAAATTCTAGATTTTTAAAAACTAGCTAAACTGGTAGTTTCCCTTTCATCTCTTCCCATGATAGCATTATCAAGTATTCCTAATAAGCAATACCTCTGATAGACTTTATTTCTAATTCCTTTCTGAAAAGCAAGGAGGTAATTCCGTCCATCTCCAGAGAAAACTTCCACAGCAATAGGCTGAAATGATCAGAGAAAAAAAGACATAAAGAAAACACAAATATTAACTTTTCCACCATCAATTTCTACGAATTTGAAAAAGTTAACCCATTCAAGAACACTTAGTCATAAATCCCCAGCAGATTCAATTACAAAGTAAACAGAGCCACTTTGTTTCAAATGTGTTCTCAACTTTTAAAAAAAATATCTCATAATAGAATGGTAAAATAAAAAAGTTATAATAACAAAGATGTAATTTTTATATTAAAAGGCAATTATAATGTTGATTTGGATAGCTACAGATAAGGATGGATGACCAAGATATCACTAAGTTTTAGGTGGTATTTTTATTTTTAAAGAAGATGCATTATACAGAGTTATGCACCGTGTGACGTCATACTAGTAACCAAATTTAAGGAATAATCTATAAAATACTCTTAGGGATAATGCAGATCCTGCAGTGAGTTTTCGTGGCATGCATCAGTTTTAAAATAATACATCCTCTGAATAAAGGAACATGACTAAATACTGGGTACTACTAAGTCAACCCACCTGCAGAAGATACCTCCTTTTATGTACCTCTCTGATATCTTCATACGCAAAAATGCTGCACGTTCTCTTGAGCTGGCTGGGGCCTTGCCTGGCTCCTCTAGGAATAATTGGCTCATGCATACTATAGGCAGCCAAAGGAAAAAGAGATGAACAAAAACACAGTGAGAGATAAATTCAGAGTTCGACAAAAGCTATTATTCTCAACATATATGAATAGAAGGGAGAATATTCACTTAAAAATATATTTAAGAAACTGATTTGTCAGCTACTCAGCACACAAGCAACCTCCTCTGATGAAGTTAATTTTTAAATTCCATTATTGCTATCAGGGCCAACTTATCCATCAGACATAGTGCCTAGATCTACATACTTTCAGGAGCCAAGAAAATGTTTTAATTTCTTTTAAAACCAGAAGAACAAAATTAAACTTTTAGGCAGAAGAAAAATGTTTTAAGATATAATATGGATATATTCATCTTTAAACCAAGAATCATAAAATATAAATTTTAATGTTTTTATATGGAGAAAGGGGCCCATAAATTCATAATGTGGCCCTAATTGTTGCTGAAAGTGACTATATGAAATATCTCCTAGGAATGAATTGCAGAGATCAAGTCTACATTCAATAGTGTTAGGTGTTCAAAACGGCAAAGGAAGAGAAAAATGTGTTGAATTTCTAAGCCTTTAGCTTTTCATCTTCCTTCTAACTTGTCTGCCTTTGGGTTTTCCGCTACCAATTATCACTTCCCTCACAGAACTGGCAGAAGAAAGGAAGACGGGTAGGACTCGGCTCACTGCTGCCTGAGCCTTGGTCCACACCACTTCCAGGAAACCCAGGGCATGGACACTCACCCTGCTAGAGGGTTGGCAGTGGCCTGCGTCTTCCCTGCAACTGTGCTTGTACTAAACATTTTTAAAAAGAACAATTTGGAAATTCAGAATAAGTTTATAAACATATATTCGGTCTAGTAATAATTAATGTCGTTTTCTAATACTTTTTAAAATCTAATTTATTTAAACAATACAACAAAATTTAATCAACAATATAGTTGCCGTTGTTTTCTACTACTTGTGCCCAACGCTCAGGAAGCATTTTAATCCCTCTGTTGTAAAATTCTTGTGATTTTGATGCAAAAAATTCGGTCAATGCATTTTTGAGGCATTCTTCATTATTAAATTTTTTTCCAAGAAGAAAGTTTTGCAAAGAACGAAACAAATGGTAATCGGAAGGGGCAATATCAGGAGAATATGCAGGTTGAGGGAGAACTTCCCATTCCAACTGGCGCAGTTTTTCAGCAGTGATTCTTGCAGTATGCGGTCGTGCATTATCATGGTGAAGAATTACGCCCTTCCGATTAATCAGCATGGGTTCTTTTTCTCTTAAAGCTTGGGCTAACCTTTCCAATTGGGCACTATACACTGCACTTGTAATGGTTTGGGTAGATGGTAAAAGTTCATAATGAAGAATTCCTTTAAAATTCCACCAAACACACAACATCACTTTTTTCGCATGCAAGTCAGGTTTTGGCGTGGGCTGCGGAGCCTAATTTTTGTCCAACTATTGAGGCTGCCTTTTCAAATTAACATACAGCACCCATTCTTCATCTCCTGTAACAATTTGCTCTAAAAACGGCAAACGGTTTTGACGAGAGAGGAGCGAACTGCAAATTGTGACTCTTTGATTACGGTTGTTGTCGGTCAACTCATGAGGAACCCATTTTCCAAACTTTTGGACTTTGCCAAGTGCACGCAATTGATTGGAAATTGATTTTTGTGAACAATTTAAAGTTGTCGCAAGCTCTTGTTGGGTAATTTGAGGATTTTGCACCAAAAGAGCTTGAAGAGCTTCTTGATCAAAATTGGACACACGGCCTCGACCACTCTTGTCATCTAACGAAAAATTTCCCTCGCGAAATTTCTCAAACCAACGCTGGCATTTTCTGGCGCTAACTGCATCTTGACCAAGAGCACTACAGATGTTTTTTGCAGCCTCACTTGCTTTTCTTCCTAATTGGAACTCGTAAAGCATGCAGTGCCGAATATGCTCTTCATCCGCCATCTTCTTAGCCCTAGTTTTGCAACAAAAACCAAACCAAACACAAACTTTTTCAAGCAAAACTTGTTAATTGCACTTCACACGTTCTGTAGATACCACGTGTTTGAAGGTTATGTCAATACAAGTGAACGCCAAGCAAGATTTTAAACGAATGTTTAAAAACGACATTAATTATTACTAGACCTAATAGATTATAATATAAGAAATTTGGTGTCTAATATTATGAATTCAGTCAAAATTTTAGTTTTCATTTTGAAATATAAAGCCATTTTTTCCTTTATTATTTTTAAATAACTATTACCCTTGTGGATGTTTAACATGGATGCACACAAACTGAGAGGTAACATTATTTGAAACACAACTCCTGGATTAAAAAACACGATGTGAGCCAAAACCGGTTTGGCTCAGCAGTAGAGCATAGGTCTGCAGACTGAAAGGTCCCAGGTTCGATTCTGGTCAAGGGCATGTACATTGGTTGCGGGCACATCCCCGGAAGGGGGTGTGCAAGAGGCAGCTGGTCGATGTTTCTCTCTCATCGACGTTTCTAGCTCTCTATCCCTCTCCCTTCCTCTCTGTAAGAAAAATCAATAAAATATATTAAAAAAAAAAACCAAAAAAACAAAACACGATGTGAATAATACTGTTTTCTGTAGCGAGCTGTACTGTATGTCTCTGAATTCATCTACTTACTTTGGAGGTAAAGTTTCAATGTCTCTTATTTCCCTTGTTGCTGTCATTGTAAATCCATCAATCACATAAAAATGCTCTTTACCAAAGAGAAGCATCCCCTCACTGGTATCCAGGCCCTGGACTCTAGCACAACGGTACATGTGTTGGATCTATAAAGAAAAAACATAACATTCATTAACATAGATTTAAAAAAATTTATATAACTGAAACAAAATGTTCTAAAACATGGATTTAATGGGAGAATAGGATTTTACCAAGGTCCCTCTGTGAAGGCATCCCCTGAGCCAAGCATAGTAAACGAGGGTAAGCATATTAAAGAGAATCTGCTTAGACAGAAGTCTGATTTGTAGTTGATCTCAGTAAAAAGAAACAACCATTTAGTCATATCCATCCCCCCTTCCCCATGCATCATCCATTTCTCTCAATATGTGCCAGGCACATATGTACCAGGTTCCACAGGTGATGAACAAGTTTAATGATGAGGGATACAGACAGAAAACTTGGCAGGAAAGGGAACTGAGGCATACATGTAAACAGATTAGGACTGAGCCAAGATGATACAAAGTGAAAAAGGTCTGGGGAGCCTAACAATCCTGAGTGAATTCCTGGTTTTGTTACTTATTGTAGATCTAACTGAGTTCCCTAATTCCTCTGGGCCTCTGTGTCCTGTTTGTAAATTTCAAATGCACACTGGCTTGTTGTTAGAGCAAGATAATTTACATAATCCTGTTTGCCATTGTTGGCTGTTTTCTCTTCCACACAGCTCACTTTTCCTTTTTCCATAACAACTCCTGGAACTAGAACTGGGAATTGGTCCCTGTCTGCTCCCACCTGGATCCTGCCTGCCTGGCCGACTGTTGTGCCATTGTGAAAAGCCCAAATTGGCATAAGTTACATTTTCCTCAGAGAAGGAAGGAATCACTGAATCTCTCAATGTATGTATTGTTTTCTTTCCAATGAGCAGGATCTGTTCTTATTAAAAGTTCTTTCTTGTTTAAACTCAGTTCAACATGAGTCAAGGAAAAAGATCAACAACTAAACCAAAGGCAAACAAATGTCAAATAAATGTCAGTTTGAATATACTTCCTGTACTACTAAATCTTAAAACAGCAAAAACTGTAGTCATGAGATTAAAAGTTTAACAAGTGACAGCATTAGAAAGTAATTTTCTAAAATATGCAAATGTAAGTCAATTTTCATAGCCACATTTGAACTACTTCAATAAAATGGTAGAATGTTACAGGAAAAATATTGATGCACTTTTAAACTACCTTTAGTGTAGTGTAACATACATACAGAAAAATGTTTTTCATAAATGCACAGCTTGGACTTTCAAATGCTAAATATGCCGCCACCGGCATCCTAATGAAGAAATACAACATTCCCAGACTTCAGAGCTTTCTTGTGTTTCCTTCATACTTAATGAACTTTTGCAGGTATATGGTTTTAAAAAATATTCTCATTCCACATTAATAAGGCCATACATTTGGACACAATTTTAAAAATTAAATATTAATTCTTGGTTACTACTTCAGAGTGGGCCAGATTTCAAGTGTTATTCCAAGATCTAATATAATAGACAAAAGACCATCCTTTAAACAGTTGATGTTCACTAATCCTCCCTCCCTCCCTTACTCCCTCCCTCTTTTTACTCAACCAAACATCCTTCACTGAAAGGTTTTAGGGTGTCTGCTAAGTGAGTGGAGCTGTACAGCAGTAGGGTGGGAATAAGCAGCACTGCGGCCTATCCTGTGTCTGTCTCCTTGGCTAGAGGGAGAGACAGGCACAGGAACAAATAATCAGCCCCTGAAAAAATAGAGTAATAGATACAAGGCACTATACAAGCATAAAAGAGGGTATCTAACCAAGCCTGAGTTGGCAAGACAATCAAGAAACATTTCCTACATTTAAGTATTAAAGACATCCAAATAAATTAGACTGTATCACTGGGAGTTACAAAGAGAGGTTATGCAAATGATGGAGAGAGGCATTTTGGCAGGGAAGAGAATGAGTTAAGTGTAGAATGAAGAAATAACATCATGGGTGTAGTAAATGGCAAGACAAACAATGCTGCTGGGGGCTCAGGTTACAAGGCAGGGTCAGTAAGATGAGCTTGGAGAGATGGGAAAAGTGCAGGAGGATGAAATAGAAAGGCAAAGTAATGTTCTATGAGTGAGAAGGCTGGGGAGATGGCACAGACTGGCTGAAGCTTCTTGTAGGTATCACAAGAGTTATGAAGTTGAAAAAGTTCTAAGTCAGAATGGGTTGTGCACATGGATTTGGAATAGAAAATTATAGCAAGAACTGCATCCAATAAAGGAAATAGAGGAAGATGGTGAATTAGGTGTCAATTGTTAATTCTGTGTCTGATGAAACCTCATGCTGTTTTATGTAATCAGCTAGGTCAGAAAATCCTAAAGATGAGCAAAGTCAAGTACTGAACCCAAAAGGTGGTTTAATACTGTTTCATAAGAGAAGCTGAAATATTTACCTTCTGTCAACCAGTCTTTTAAACTGGAAACAAGTTCCTTACATACAATCCTTACTTTTTAGAAGCACAGTACCTTTTCTCCGTCCTCTAGGAGGCGAAGTAGGGTGGCGTTGTCCGTTTTCTCCTCCTCTTCTATAGAGCCACTCTCAGCAATCTGGTCTTGTAACTGCTCCTGGTTCTCCTCATCGCCTCCATCAGGTGCAGATCGGGACCGTTTCAGAGGAGGCTTGACCAGACCTACAGGATAATAAGCAAGAGGGCCATGTGACCTTGCCATTTGGGAAGCAGTTTAGTCTCATGCAGCCCCTCCAATACATCTCCAATTTGAGGTAACTCAGGAAGATAGAGGAGGAAACACAGTTCAGCGGTTAACAACATAGACTGTGAAGTTAAATGGCTGTGTGACCTTTGAGAATTATTTGCCCTCTCTGTATCTCAGTTTTCTTACCTATAAAACTGGAATAGGAATACTGCCTATCTTAGAGAACTGTTGGAGGACAAATGAGGTAACTCATGTAATAAAAGCACTGAACATTATTGTTATAGATAGTAAATTCTAAATAAGTACCAGACAATGATAAAGAGAGTTTAGCATCATTAATGGTAAGAATGGTGTTGCTTATGGACAGGTGTCATTGAGGAGATACCATGAATAAATGATTAATTCCTACCAGAAACAAAAGTAAAGATAATAATTTATAAACATGATTATAACAGATCCCACCTACTTAGACTGCCCTTGAGGACTATTTTAAGACTTAGGTTATAAGTGGCAGTATGGTCATTCATACATCTTATTATCAGGCCACGAAGAATAAGAACAGAATTCTTTATAATACAGGGATAAATCATTTAATTTGCAGATTAAGGAAACACTTTACAGCCTACATTTGGATAACTTTATTAATAATCACAGGAGATGACATTAAAATCAGTGAATGAGATCCCAAAATATGAGAACCACTAAAAATACACTCTAACTCCCAACATTTAATTAAATTAATAGTCTTAGTTATACCAAAGAAAAGTCATGTTGCACCTACCAGTGATAGTTGCTTTAAGAATTTTGAAAAGCATTAAGTCAGCCTGTTAGAGGCTCTGCTTTGCCTTAATAAGAACCTTATTTTCACATATAAAAGAACACAATAAGTAAGCATGAGAGATTAAGTCCTGCTGGGAACATCCACAAGGGGAAAGCTTACAGCTGCATTATTTTTAATTGGTGAATCAAAAACTCCAACTCTATGTCTAGAATAACACCTTGTGTATTACAGTAGAGGCACTGTATTTGTGATTTTAGCTCTATTAGAGATTAGGAAAATGAAATCAAGAGAAGTGAAGAGGCCATGAACCAAACACAAGTTGACTGCCTCACTGTGTGAATTATATCATGGGGCTTATACCCAGTGATACAGCTTTAGAGTATCTCTAATTTTGCTGGTGCATTGTCAAGAAAATTAGAAGGTTGTAAACTGTTCAACTACTGAAAGTTTCAAGGATTCAATGAAAAATTTATATTAATTATGAAGTGCTTAGTGAGAATCATTATGAGAAAATAGGTATCCTATATAATAAAGAGGTAATATGCAAATTGACCATCACTCACTCACACACAAGATGGCCACAAGATGGCTGGCAGGGGAGGGCAGCTGTGGGTGATCAGGCTGGCAGGGGAGGGCAGTTGGGGGAAACCAGGCCTGCAGGGGAGAGCAGTTGGGGGCAACCAGTCCTGCAGGGGAGGGCATTTAGGGGTGACCTGGCTAGCAAGGGAGGCAGTTAGGGGCAACCGGGCCTCCGGGGGAGGGCAGTTAGGGATGACTGGACTGACAGGGGAAAGGAGTGGGGGGACTGGGCCAGCAGGGGAGGATGCTTGGGGGCAATCGGGCTGGCAGGGGAGCAGTTAGGCATCAATCAGGCTGGCAGAAGAGTGGTTAGGGGGTGATCAGGCTGACAGGCAGAAGTGGTTAGGGGCGATCAGGCAAGCAGGAAGGGGAGTGGTTAGGAACCAGCAGTCCCAGATTGTGAGAGGGATGCAGGCTGGGCTGAGGGACACTCCCCCTCAGTACATAAATTTCATGCACCAGGCCTTTAGTATTATAATAATAGGAGAAATGACTCACAATTTTCTATAGTGTTTTTGGTCAAGATGGTCATATACTTTTTGTTTTTAATCTATAAGATGTGAAACTGATTTTTAATTTATATTTCTTAATTAAATATGCCAAGATTTTGAATTTATGATGAAGCAGAAGCTTAAAGAAGTTAAAATAATGGCTTGATTTATTCAGTATTGGACTGAATCCCCATGTTGTGCTAGTCATGCTAAAAGCTACAAAGTGAGACGAAAAATAATCTTTGCCTCTGAGAAACTGATAATTTAGAAAAACACAAAACAGTGAAAAATCACTGAAACTGCTGTGAGAGAGGTGAGCAAAGTTACTGGTGGACAGGAAAAGTTGAAAAAGTTCCAGAGAAGAATGACTGGATTATTCCCTGGTCTCTTTAAGACTGGGGAGGGTCTGTTAAGGTCTAAATCATGGAGAAGCTGTAGAAAGGAGTGAGAGTGCAACCTATGTAAAAGTAAAGAATCAACAAGCCCATGGCCATTTTAGTTCAATTTACCATACGTATATTTTACTAAGTTCTTAAAAGTACAGATTTGGCCGAGACCAGTTTGGCTCAATGGATAGAGCGTCGGCTTGGGGACTGAAGGGTCCCGGGTTCGATTCCGGTCAAGGGCATGTACCCTGGTTGCGGGCATATCCCCATTAGAGGGTGTGCAAGAGGCAGCTGATCGATGACTCTCTCTCATCGATGTTTCTAACTATCTCTCTCCCTTCCTCTCTGTACAAAATCAATAAAATATATTAAAAAAAAAAAGTACAGATTTGGAATAATCATAGGAAAAAAGACTATTACTATTTACTGTTGGCTAACATGCACTGTTAGTAGTGGTTTTAAACTTATAAATTCTTATTTAGTTATCAGTTAACTGACAATATCAGGTGCCATAAGAATTCTGCAAAATACAAAAAAAAACAAAAACAAAAAAAAAAGAACCATCAAGTCAACGGGCATATTGTATTCATTTGCAGGCAATAAGAAAGAGCCAGTTGCTGTAAAAGTTCAGATGCAGAAATTAATTTTTAAGAAGAATGAGATGGCATAATATTTATAGATACCTTTAAGGCCGGACCTACTGTTCACAGTTGCTCCTATTTTCATATACAATCAAATATGAGGAATGCTCTAATGATTTCAGATTGAAACCCAGAAGGAGGCTGACCTTTGACTTTGGCAATAGTGTCTTCACCGTGCTCTGGCTCTTGCTGAGCAGCTTCACCTTCTGAACTCTCTACAATGGCATCTTGGACAATGGTGGGATTGCCAGAGGCTAGTCGCATGTAGTATTCTTTGCTGTCATAACTTATGGCTCTTCTGTACCTAGCAGGTTTCTAAGAAATAACAAGAGAAAATAACTCAAGTAATTGTCTTCAAGAATTAAAATATAAGCTTCCCAAGGGAAAGTATGGTGTCAAGACTTCTTTACATATTACCTTTTTCCTAGGGATTTTTAATGGACTGTATATATACACAGTAATTCCATAGATTACTGGGGTTAAGTTTCTTTATTTTTAAATTTCATTGATTTTTAAAAGACATATGTAAAACAATATTAGGAGTTTTGTTCTTTCCGAAATAGAAATGAACCATCTCTAGTCAAATAAATTTTCATATTAGCACAGTATGGGCTCACTGATGAATCAGAAAACTTCCCTATACAGTAGTGTGAAGAGAATGCCCAGTGTTGGAGAGCATCAAGTTACAAGGAGCCTGGAATGTTGCTTCCGCCCCAAGTAAAGTACATAGGTCAGGCCTAACGGGCCAGCCCTTCAGTTGGAGGCATCTGCACAAGTGTTTACTTAGATACTTAGAGATAGAAACTCAGAACTGCCCTGGTCTTTAGAATATTCCCAGTCTCACTAGAACTCTGAAAATGGCCCAAACCTTCAGAGAGTCCTGGCCAACATGGACTCAACCTTTACATGTATAAAGGCCAGATGGTGCTCTCTGGCTAGTCTGCCACTTCAAGCTAGTATCTCCAATTTGCTAAAACATCCTCATTATTGTGTAGAATATGATCCACAAACTTACTGAGTATATCAAGAACATATATAAGTCAATTTAGAAGAAGAAATTTATTACCTGCAACATTGGAAAATATTTAATTTTTTTGGGCATGAAACAAGAACATTTATTTTTCAGAATAATTAATATTTACCCTAAAAATATGTTCTCCAATTAACCTAAATCTCCCCCTGCCACACATACACCTAATACAATGAAAACATTAAGGTCTAAAAGTTCCTACAAAAAAAGTAAAACCAGAGTGAGAAGTTTACATATATAAAAGTCCTCAATCAGACCCAGACTTTGGATTAACAATTAGAAAAGGATAGGGTTTAAAACATGTTTTTAAATGCTCTCTTTGTAAACATTTACTTTGCCTTTCCTATTAATAAGAGTATCTAATTTAAAATATTCTATCGGCCTACTCTTCAAGCTCAAGTAGTCAATATGTATTGTTTACAATAATGCTTATTTTAAGCAAGACATTAAAAAAATAATTTCAAACTGAAGTGGAAAATTGTGTCCAATTAGTTGGAGTATTTAGATGAAAATACTGAATCAATTTGAGATAAAAGTATACCTAACTAAAGCCACACTGGCCTTCTTTTAATTTCAGGCACAGAATCAGAATAAAGAGAGCTGCAAGCCAACCAAAGACTAATATCCAGCAAATTCAAACTGAAATATATTATATAGCACAGGGAAGTATTACAATGATGTAAAATAATATCACAATTATGGAAGGACAACCAGATGAACAAACTAATAAGAACATTGCAATATTTTTGAAATGAAAGAAAGGTAATACACTTTGTACTGTAACAGTTGTTCTACTTGATGTATAACTATTGTCTTTAACTCAAAATTGTTCGTTTTAAAAAGATGAAAGCAGAGTTAGTGATGGGCAAGACAATGAATGAATACACATGGGACAACATTTACAGATTTTAACTTGGAACCATAAGCATTTTCTGTAAATATTTTGAAGCATATTTCTGTGCTCTAAAGAACTACAGATTTATTGAATTATGTACAGAATCTTTCTGAAGAGAAAATTATAATTTTTTTAAACAAATTAAAATAAATTTAAATTGTATTTTGAAAAGTGATCATATACTCTTAGTTTTGGTTATACTCTTCTGATTGAAAAAAATAATTTTAAAAGAGGAATATCCTTGCATTCTCAAAATACAGTTTAGTATCTGGAAAAATTAAATGAGTAATTGAAAAAAGAGCTGAAGGTGTCAGGCTGCCCATTACTAACATGTGTCAGAATTTGTTAGTTAAGTATGAAGCCATACGCATTTTAGAGTGAGAGCAATGAATACTCCGCCTGTTAGTGAGCCGCACACACACCCTAGGAAGCTAATTAGAGCCAAGCCGAGAAAGGCCACAACAGTTCTCAGCATAAATGAAACCCACTTTTCAACTCTAAGAAACTTACAGGAAGAGCAAAGTGAAATTCAGTCTTTTAAGTTAGTCTAGTCTACCATGCACTAAAAACAAAACAAAACAAAAAACCAAAACTGCAAGTAGTTTGCATTATTTTATGGTAATTTGTTTTACCTTTTGAGGAATGATATCATCAGAAGTCTCAGGCTGTTTACTTGGGATCTCAGACTGAAAACAGGGTATTAAGTATAAACACATCAGAAAAAAAAAAACCAACATAAAGAATAACATAAAAATGATTTTTTCTTGAAGATTGTGTGGAATAGGAACTGTACTCATAAAAAAGAAAATTAACACGACATCCTAGGCTGTTTGAAATAATCACAGAGCATCTTGTGATTATTTTCTCCATTATCAACAGTAGTTTTAGAATGAAATTAAAATACATTAATTCTCAAGGCTCCTCACTGAACAGGACATACATAAAGACCACACCAACACTACTTCAACTCAGGCTGGCTTTGGCATGAATGATTTATAGGCAACTCTTCATGGCTTGAAAAGGAAAAATACTAGAAAATAGAACTTTTGCTAGCTTTTGTCTTTCACCTACCTTTCACTGGCTCACTCCCTATTCCCCAGATCTGTTTTGTAATAGGAGCAACTGATTTAAATGATTATCTGCACTACCCCTGAACCAAAGAAATCACTAAGTGTTTGGTATTTAAAAACATCCTCTCATAAAAGTCCAAGGCCTTTTCTTCCTTCACCACCTTACAGCTATAAACCCATAAAGGCTGAGAGCAGAAGGCATACTGGATGTCAGCCTCCACCAAAAGTTTCTGTAAAAAGTACTTTGAAAGAATTAGGTACAGATGGAAGGGTTTAGGGGGCCAGGTCTGGGTGGAGGAGGATTAAGGGGGGGGGGGGGGGGGGGCATAGGGACATCTGTAATAGTGTCAACAATTTTAAAAGATGAATCAAGTGGCTCCTTTATATTTTATTCTCAGAATAAAATCCTGATGGACAGAAGGAAATTTCTAGTTGAGCTGTAGTGTGTGCCTTATGCAGGTAAACACACATATACCTACAGACAGACAATAAGGCACTCAAGAACTACTTCCAATTAATCTTCCTTTTCCCGGCTGATAACTGAAGATGACTCCCAGTATTTTTCCCTACGGTAAGCATGAGTGGGCAAAATGCTTTCACAGATGTTTGCTTCCCTAGACAAATCAAGTGTGGGGCTACTGGACATGCTTTCAAATACTTCATGTGGTTTTAGTAAACCTTTATTTTCAAAACAAACTTTTAAACTCATACCTTATATTTAAGAATAATCTTTAAATTATACATGCATGTTCTCTATCTTGATAAGAGTTTGGGTTACATATGTATATTACGCATTTTAAAAAATTCATGGAATGGTACAATTAAGATTTGTATGTTTCAATGTGTGTAACATTTATGTCAATAAAAACAGAATTATGAACAAGGACTGAACTCTATTGACATGCATGTGGAAGTGCATAGGGATGAAGGGCACTGATTCTGCAATCACTGAAATTCCTAGAAAAGCAAGGTAAATGTTGGATGGATGTGTGAGAAACCAATATAGCAAAACGGACCAATGACTACTGTCAAACCCGACTCTGATATCCACCTGTCAGACCCCTCAACTGGACTATGGGCAGGGCCTGACAGGTACACTCTTATATTGTCTCTGCAGCATATGGTGTAGTGCTGCTGTTTCAATACATATGCTCACTGATCCACGAACTAAAGTTCTTATTTTATTAAGTGGTAGTAAAGAATTCAATAGCTAAGATATATATTATAACAATATTTTTAGTAATACCTCAGCTCTCCTTTAAAATTTTAATATATTATTGTAATTATGTTCATATGGAAATCTCAATTTCTCAAAGTCAAAATTCCTAGAAAATATTTTTTTAGTCCATTTACTTTAAATTTTCCTATAATGCTGGCAATAGAATTTCTAGAACGAGTTGCTCAGTTTCTGAGTCCTGGGAGGTCTATATATTACATAATAATATATGTGGAGGCAGTTATGAGAGACTCCCGTAATTGGAAAAGGATCCTATCAGTAAATTTACCCTTCCACACTATTAATGTTGGTAGACACTGAGGTTTTTGGAGTAAAAACCTCAGTGTCTACCAACATTAATAGGTAGACACTGAGGTTTTTACTCCAACGATATTTGCAAAGAATGTTATATTTTGTTTGAGATTATTATTCTGTTAAAATAAGGGATTACAAAATTAAAACCTGGAATTCATGGTTAAATATTTTAAAATAGCAAATATGTAATCTTGTTTCCTTTAATAGGATTCAAGGTAATTAAACAAATTTCTTAAAAACAAACAGATTTTATATTTTATAGTACCCTAAGCTAATATTTTTAAATTATCTATAACTAATATTACCACTTAAAATATAGAATTATATTGCAATTTAGCTTAGCTTTTTTTTAAGTTATGAAAATTATCCCCCAAGGAAAGTCCTTGGGCAGAGATAATTATTTTCATGAAAGAATACAAAAATTTTTCACATATACCAATTTCCTCAGGATATAATTATAGTTATTATTGCTTTTATGAAAATAATTTTAGTTAAGCAATTTTGAAAACTTTTGAGTCTATGGCAAAACACTAAAATACATCCTATATTTTATAAATAAACATCAATTTAAAAATCAAGAAATAAAAGTTCAAAACTTAGAATAGGTGTTATTTTTATACAATATGTAATATTATCCAGGTTTAAGAAAACTTAAATGACTAAGATAAATCACTTGATTCATTTATAACACATCAAGAATTTTAAAACTATAAAACAACTTTTTAATCATCACTACTTTTTCAGCTTAAGCAACAGGACTACTGAAGTCAGTGTTACTTAGAAACAATAATCATTCTTAATCAATAAGGCAATTAACCAAACCATATGCCCTCATTCCAGGTAAAGCCTGCTAACCTATTAAAAGGCTTGAAAAGCAATTTTTAGGTTGGCAAATACCTGTTATTGCATAAAGGACTGACTATATATTATAAAGACTCACACTAGGAGGGCAACACATTTATAAGAGTTAAAAGAGAAGAAAGATTGAGCTCTACCTCTGGTAGGTGATAGTTAATATAGTTCAGGGCAGAGGTGGATTTACTATGAGGTTAAGAAAGATTAAACTGCAACCGCCTTTACTTCCCATGAGCTCCTTTCAAAAGACTGGAAGAGGGGCTGGCCCTAGTAATTTTGTATACATAATTTGGTACCCTTTTTCTTATTTCTCATCCCTCCCCCCCAAGTATTATAAACCTCAGATCCCATAAAATCTGGGTCTAGCCCTTTTTAGTGGAAAATTTTCAGAATTAGGGAAATTCTAGAGAATGTATAGGAAACAATGGATAAAATCCATAAGTTAGGAAAAGAGAATGCTGTTTGTCAATTCAATGAAAATCTATCAAGTTCTAGGTACTTAGCATTAGAAAGACAAAACCTATGGTCTCTGTCTGAAAGAAATTCACTATTTACAGATAATGTCACAAAACCAAATAATAGCAGAATCTTTTCCTTTTCAAAAGTGATTCAATTTCTGTCAACATTACACATGGTTCTATCACTTGGTAGCTGTGACCTAGAAAGAGTTCCTTAACTTTCCTAGGTTTCTAGTCCTCATCTGTAAAACTGGAATAATAAGAATGACACTTCAAGGGTTGCTAGACATATAAATGAAACTGCATTTGTCAACTCTGCAGAGTGCTTACAAGTATTCACTCTTCTCTCCTTTGGTTTCACAATAAAAGTTGAGGGATAACAGTTGCTTCTAGGTTTTGGATTTTCTTTGCTGTCACCACTGCCAGATTGCATATTCCATAGAACAAAAGTGGATATTCAATGGCATTTGAGATCTACAGAAAATTGTGAACTGGCAAACTCAAAATATTCTTTCAGATTTCATCATAGCAAATTAACTTAGACTTGTGCATGGGTCTGCATTCTATAATCATCTCCTCTATCCAGAGTGTCTCCTATTTTGAAATGTATCTTCAAATTTCTTGACTCAGTTGTATTTTGCAACATGTACCCCATTTGATTAAAAAATAAGTTCCATATGGTATATACCTATTTCTGAGAGTATCTGTTTAGATTTCACAGGCAGGTGAATTCCTTTGCTTAGGTAAAATGCTAATGATATTAAGGTTGTACGTATAAACTCTAAATAGGTTATTTTGTTTTATCTGATATAGAGAAGTAAATATACTTCTGTAAAATAAATGACACTATTATAAAGAAGGAAAGGATTAAGATAAAACAAAATATTATGGTTATGTAACTCTGAAATAAAAATAGTAAGTCACATATTCAAGAGAATTTATTTATCTTACACAGACAGGATGGAGCAAAAGTACGTTTACAGTTGTTCATATAGAAAATACAATAATTAATAAATAATGATACAAAAATAAACTGTTTTCCATACTCACAACTGTAAACCCACTCTGTATTTTAGTACTTTAAAATGGATTCCATTTAAATGAGTATTGATTCAATAAAAAATATTTTATCAAATCAGGTTTAAATTCTTAATTATTTATTTGGGGGGTAAGATTAAGAATGAGAGAGTGTATTGCTGGTTTGCTCTGACAAAAGTAGGTGCTAGTAAAAGGCTGCAAAAATACGGTAGATTAACTTTCTTACACAATGCCCTGGTATTAGAAATTATGGCATTTTAAGGTACACCTGTGCCAAAAATGGAGTTCTTAATAGCACTGAATAGCTTGGAAAACAGTAGACCTTGGGGAGCTATCTTGATAAATTTTAAGTAACTATATATTAGCAGGTCTACAACCTACATTCTAAGTAGCTTCAGGACAGAGGTGGAACCCATGAGTACAAGTATATGAAACCAGGGATTTGCCAGAAGAAGAAAAAAAAAAAAGGAGGATTAGAACAATACAAATTGCCTCCCAATATATGATCTGAACTATTTATTAGAAGACCCATGTTCCAAATCTCCTTTATAAATCTTAGTTTTAAAGTAAAGTTTTTAATAAAATACAATAAATCCTCTATACTGGGCAAGCAGTTGGACTTTATAAGCTCTCAGGTCTTAAAATCCTATTAACCAAATATCTCAGAAGAACAAACCCAATATGTTTGTCAGTGGATGATTCTTTGTAGTGATATGACTTTCTAATTGGATATGAGTTTCACTAGATTTATTTAGAGCACCTCATTTTGAGGCAGCTAAAATATAGGGTGTGACAAAATATGAAATACATCCCCTAGTAACCTTTCTATCCAGTGATAAATTAAGCATAAGGTGGTCAGATTCTTGGGGAAGGAGAGAATTTTAAAATATGCTTTTCCAGGCGACCTTTTTAAAGTCAAAATAACTCCACTGAAAATTTAAATGATAATAAAGAAAGACATGAAAGTCTTACTCATTAATAAGCTATACTGAGTTTTTTTAAAATCATGAAACAATAATCTAAAAGTCAGGGGTTTTCTAGGGCTGCCCATGCATCACAGTACTTAAGCTGCACATGTGGCTCCTGAGCCTCGAAAAGTGGTTAGTCTGGACTGAGATGTGCTTTTAAGTATGAAATGTACATTGCATTTCGAAGACAAAGTACAAAACAGTAAAACACTTCATAAATAATGTTTTCATAGCTGATTACACATTGACATAATAGTAGTAGGAAACGGCATGAAATTATCTGTGAAAACCTCTTTCAATTCCCAAAGCTGTGATTCCATGACAAAATTGCATTTCTAAGGAGGAAATCACTATTCATTTTGTAGGCAAGGAGTTATTTTTAAGACACTGAAGAGCTAAATTACTATTTAGAAATGCTATGAGCACTTTCAGACTTAAATTCAGTGGATGTTATACTCCTGTGATTTTTCTTCTTAAATTGGTAGTGACTTTACTGGGAAAGACTCTATTTTCCCAGATGTAAGTACGCACTTCCCCAATCATTATCAGTTTAGACAAGATTGCTTTTAGTCTTGTGAAAAATCCTGAACAAAGGCTTTGGGGAGGGTAACTTGTCTGTATAAAAAGGAAGTTAAGGGGAAATGTTTGTTTAAACCCATGGAGTTGGTGATGAAGCTTCTTAACATGAATGGAAAGATCTACATGTTCAGGCAATTGTTCTTTGTTCTTTTTACATTTCTTCAAGGGGCATTGCTTAGTGCCAGTGCTCATTTTGTTTACTTAACACTCACTCATACAGGGCTTATTTTGTGCTGGACACTATTCTAGGTACATTACTAATTTCAACTAACTTAATTTTTATAACAGCTGTGTGGGGTGAAACCATTATTCTTTCCATTTTAGGCATAAGGAAACAGAAACTCAAGCAGGTTTAATGAAGGGTACTAAGTCACCCAGCAGTAGAGGAGCAGAGGCAGGCCGTAATCCAGGCAGTCTGGCTCGAATCTGTGGCTGAAACCACTTCACTACAATGTCTCCCCGCCTCACTGCTGCAGCCTTTTATTCCACTGCCACTTTTTATTACCAATTTAATACAGCATACTGAATTTTCAAAGTCAGACATTTTAGGTAATTGACCTAATAAGGAAAGATGCTTAAAAAAAAGAAAAAAACTTCAAGGCACCATTACAAACATGTAATTCTGTATACTCACCGCCACACTTGCCTCTTGTTCGGTGTCTGGCACATAAGGGTAATGGTTATAAAACATATCATTTCGCACCATTTTCTTTCTCATTCTGCAGGGCCCTTCTGTCATCTCCAGCATCCATTTATCTAGGTGGGAGCCGATGGGGGGACCCCACAACCCTCGCTCCCGCAGCAGTTCATACTCGATTTGGCACCACTCCTCAGTCACATACTTCAAGGCATTTTGCTGACGCTGTGGGGAAGGAGTTCAGGTTGGTTTTTGAGCAAAAGTAAGAGTAACAATGAAAAATCTACAAATACCTTAAAACAAGTTAATATCTGGAAACAAATATTGCTAACACAGTAGAAAACGGATAAGCTTTGTAACATTTCCAAAGATTTTAAAAAAAGAATATAAATATGCAGCTCTGAGAGGGAACTTTACATATACATAAAATGTTTTAACAGTAGATGGTTACAAATAACTTATTTATTTAATGATTCATTGAATATATGAATACAACCTAAGTCTAAGAATAAAGATCTCTTTATAGAACCAATAGTAAAACTTACTGAATGAATAATCATAAAATCACATGAAATCATAGTAGCACTTATGTGTTCAGGGAGTAGCAGAATTCCCTAAAATAACTAGTCTAGTGTTATGACCACAAAATATTAGCAGTTTAGCATTCAGCAATCTTTAATAGACTTCAAAACAGCTGCTTGGGAAATAAAATATTTAGGATAAGCTCTAGAGTAATAATAAATTCACAAAGAAGCTTTCATTGAGTTTACTTTTTACTGTCAATCACCAAGCAACTGTAATAAATAACCTTATTTTTAGTCTTTATGTGTTTAGAATTTCAAGAGACTTCTCAGAAACTTTGATGCATATTTTCACAATCTCCTAGATAAGTCTGAATGACAGGGATCTGTATATTATTGAATGTTAACAGGATTCAGGTGTGATGATTTCAAGTTTATTAATTTTTTAATGCAGTTTGCCTTTAGGAAATTCAAAATTTTGATCTTAAAACCAATAACCACTGTAACTATTGGAGGAGTAATTAAAATAATCTAATGATGAACACAGTTCAACAACTTAGCCTTAAAATGGGTAGGGACAGAGTCCTTTCCCACTTAAGAAATGCAAAACACCATTCTACTCGCTTAGTGGAGAGGAGATTAAAAATGTCAACCAAGTAAGTGGATGCTATATGGACACACTCCCAGGACCAAACTGGAATTACAACTGAAATACAGAAAAACTTCCTGAATAATCAACGTAAGATTTGCTGGACAGAACCCTGATACATGAGGACCAAAAGTGAAGCTGTATAGAAACTGGTAGGAGGAATGGAGCATAATAGGAATGATCAGGTGCCCACAGTTGGCAACTGAAGTCCAGGAGAGATATCTCAGCTGTGGGGAGTTGCTACCGAGAACTCTTGAGGTCTAATCCCTAAGCTGGGCCCTCCAGCAGAAAGAAAGCACCACAACTGAGAAGGGTACCCACATAACATCTAGCTGTGAAAAGCAATGGGGTGGCTGTCTGCCAGGGAAATATGGCTGGAAATTCAGGCACTCTCTTAAAGGACCAATGCACAAAATTCCCTGAGGAGCCACACACCTTGTGCTCCAGCAGAGGGAGGGCAAAGTGGACTGAAGCTGTGTGAGAAGAAGGCAGGGTTTGGGACTCTGGGGTTAAAGCTCAGAAGGCAGACACCCCATTTCCTGTGCTTGGTGATTCCCTCATGCAGTGGAGGACATCTTCCCCCTACACACATTTGGTATATAGGAGGACTTGCCTGGGGGGAACACAGCTGACGCCACTCTATTGGAAAATGCCTCGCCCTGAGGCCACTTAAGAGTCAAAAATTAAAAATTAGCCTCTAGGCATAAGCAATTGCCAAATCCTGTTGAAAAAACTCTCCCCACAACTCAGGACAATTGCCTAGGTGCAATTCAAGTCAGAGTCCTATCAGTCTGTAGGGAGAGGCAGTCTCTGGAGGGCTTTGAGTCTTTGCCTGACCTAATTAGTCAGAAATAGTATTTGACACTGTCCTGCATTAGAGATTGAAAGGTGTGGAGGATTAACTAATAGTTACAAAGAGGCAGCCAAAAAGAGGAGACAAAGAAAAGATATAATAACTATGAAAACAGAAATAAAGAATGACATAGCACAAATAAAGAACACATTAGAAGGAATACATAGCCTATTTGGGGAAGCTGAGGATTGAATCAGTGAATCTGAAGCCAGGACTGAAAAAAATCAGAGAACCAGAAATGGGGGGGGGGGGGACAATTAAAAAACAGAAGGACAGCTTAAGGGAGGTGTGGGACACATTAAATGTAACAGTATTAGAATAACAGGTGTGTCAGAGAGTCATAAAGGAAGAATGGGATAGAGAATGTAACTGAAGAAATAATGGAAGAAAACTTCCCTAACCTGCTGAAAGAAAAACTCGCACAAGTTTAAGAGGCACAGAGAACCCCAAGCAAGAAGAACCCAAACAGGCCCACGCCCAGATACATCATAATTAAAATGCCAAAAATTAAAGACAAAGAGAGGATCTTAAAGGCAACAAACTGTTACCTACAAAGCAGTTCCCATAAGGCTGACAAGTGATTTCTCATCAGAAACCCTACAGGCCAGAAGGAAATGGCATGAAGTACTCAAGGTAATGGAAAGCAAGAATCTGAAACCAAGATTACTATATCCAGCAAGGCTATCATTAAAAATAGACGGTCAAATAAAGAGTTTCCTGGAAAAAAAAAAAAAAGGCTAAAGAAGTTCCTCACCACCAAGCCAGCATTACACAAAATGCGAAAGGGACTGCTATAATGAGAAGAAACAGGGAGAAACATAGGCTACAGAATTAAAATAGAAATAAATACCTATAATACTAACCCTAAGTGTAAATAGGTTAAATGCTCTAATAAAAGGCATAAGGTAGCTGACTGGATACAAAAACATGACCCAACTATAGGCTGCCTGTAAGAGACACACACAGGATGAGTGAAGTGATGAAAAAGAAAAAATAGCTGGAGTAGCAATACTCATATCCAACAAAACAGACTTCAAAATGAAGGCCATCATAAGAGACAACAAAGGACACTACAGAAATGCAAAACATACCAAGATTATGATTATGGACTCTTACCTCCTGATGTTCCTTATATTGTGTGTCTACTAAGTCACGAACAACAGCGATATGTGTAAACATCCACTGAGAAATCTCCTGACGATAGACAGAAAAAGAAGTTTAATATTTCATGTATTTCCTGGAAAAAATGAGTTAACTAGTCTTGAAATTTATGCTGAACAATTAGTTAAAATTCAGTTAAAGTAATCACTACAGATAGGCTCAACAAACTCTGAAAGATGACTTATGTGATGAAATTAATGGAGGAATGTGTGTTGAACACAAAAAAAACCCTTCCCTGCCCCACCCCAATGCCCCAACAGAGGCTTGCTCCTGAGCTTCTGGGAATGCTGTTGCTACCTTCAGGGATCACTTCAGCTGCAGAGAGCCGTCTGTGCACCCCATACCCAATGACTGATTGATTTGGGGGTCAGACATTTCCGCTCAGAACCAGTCAACTCCGATAGGCTATTTTGGCCCCTGAAGGTCTACTTAGGGTGGCTGAGTATGTCACAGGACCTGCACTATAGCCTGGCATTTTCCTGTGACCAATCCTGCTTCCTTCTTTCATAGGTAAACCTCAAGGGAACCCTAATCAACATCACACACATGAAACTGCTTCTCAGACTGTGCTTCCTTGGAACCCCAGCTGCCACTTGGAATGATAAATACACACAGTTCCTCTCAGATCCATTCCCACTGAGACTGGGGGATGACAGAAAAAATATGATGAGGAAGAAATTAATACTGGAAATAGATGAATTTTAAAAAAATAAGTCACAGGCATACATATATATGCATATATATATATGATTTATTTTAAAAAGCCATTTTGATCTATTACTTTAAAATATCAGTAACAAAATTATCAAAAGTTCATAAAAATCATCCATAGTTTGATCACATATCAATATGTGAATCTCATCTTATGTCCAGTTATGAAATGGATGTAAACACATAGCACTCATAATGCAAGTCTATCATAATAAAACAAGACATTACCGCAATCTAGTTATTTCTTTTATTTTTAACAAATGATTGCTATGTGTTTATTTTTTATTGCATATATTTTTATTGATTTCAAAGAGGAAAGGAGAGGAGAGAGATAGAAACATCAAAGATGAGAGAGAATCATTGATTCGCTGCCTCCTACACATCCCCCACTGAAGTTTGAACCCACAACCTGGGCATGTGCCCATGAACGGAATAGAACCCGGGACCCCAGTCCACAGGCCAATGCTCTATCCACTGAGCCAAACCAGCCAGAGCTAGAGTTATTTCTATCTCTCTTTTAAAACAAAAATGTGGAAAAGTTCCATTTCAAGACATGTGCGTGTACATGTTAAGTGCGTGATATAAACCTCCACAATTAAACCCTGAAATAGAAATTTCTAATCATCTCATGAATTAAACCAAACAGTGTACCTGGGTAGAAAGGCTGTGTTTACTGAGACCACTCTCCTTCCGATTCCTTCTTGATCCTGTTAACTTGGAGAGACCGAAGCCACTGCTCACGCGGGACAGCTTGGACTGAGAGGTGGGCACTAACGCCTCTCCGCGACTGATGCATTTCTTCTCATGGGCTGTGAAATTAAACTCAGGTTACCTTAGAATTTCTCCATCTATTTATCAGTCTTACTTTCAGTTCTCTAGCATCATGGTGACAAACCACAATTCTGTAGTCATCAGAAGCAGTTTACACTACAGACATATTCTCTTAGGTGTGCACTCTTTTTGATTGGTGATCTCGGATAAGGATAGGTGCCTGACAATTATTACACTGGTTGAATTTACCTTTCATTGAAACTTCACGCTCTGCAGTAATATGCAAATTTAATGAAATTGGTTTCTATGTTAATAGCAATTTACAATTCCCTATCTAAAATCTTTGATGCTGGGCATACTTTGGAATTTAAAATGTTCTGAATTTTAAAAAGGTAATACAGTACATAAACTAAATTTCATTATATAACACTACCATAGGGCCTATGGTGATAAACCATATTTTAACACATTAATATTTCTGTGTAAAATGTATAAATATTCATTCCAAGAAGGATAAATTTAGGTTAGATTTGCTACCAAGTGAATTTTGGGACCAAATTAATGAAAAAACCTTGGGTTTTCAGGGATTTTTGAACTTCTGAATTAAAGACAAGGAATTGTGGATTCATAGCCATGATGGTGACCATACTAAAGCTATAAGCAATATATTACTTTCCAAACTCATAGAATCCTGATGTATAACACACCTGAGATTTTTTAATCTGAGAAGAAAAGCCAAATCTCAGCATAATCTAGAAGGATTATTCTAGAATTGGTTATACTGTATTGATTTTTATTTCTACTATTGTCATAATATCCTTTCGGGAAAGTTTTAATTACGAATCTAAAGTGCACACATATTTAACACCCATGTGTAAATCTCCTGGTCTCAGGGTCTCTGCAGACTTTCTTACCCAAATGATTCTGCCAGCACTTCAAACCAGCTTCTTCAATGAGCGGCCTTGCTACTGCTATGTCCACGTGGCCCCTTTCATTCACAGGGAGAGTGACTTTGAAAAGCTCCTCTAAGGCTTGTTTCTTACTATGTATCAATTCAGTCCAAACTCTATTGACAGCTTTTATGAGAAGTTGTCGCCCTAGGAAATGAAAAAAAGAAACAGATAAAAAACAACATAAAATTAATATTTTTCTCCATGAATTACATTTAAGAATTTCAACCATAGTCCTTATGGTAAAAAAAAAAAAAAAAAAAATGCTTTATATCCTATCCAGATCAGTAAAAAAAGATTATTCAGATAACCAAAAATGTGGCTGGTTAATTGGAAAACATAAAAAAACAAAACAAAAAACAAACAAAACAAAAACAAACAAAACAAAACCCCACAAAACCCCACAAAAGACAACACACAACTTTATGTTCATGTAAAAAACTACATTTTTATTTTTATTTATAAAATTGGAGATCATATACATATTTCATTATCTAGCTTCTTCTAAATAAGAAAAAATCATATCCCTCATGAAAATTTTGAGATCTCAATATTTTAGGTAAGCCCAAAATTAAGTTGTTCTCAAATATTTTGCAAAAGAAATAAACAAAGATATTTTTAAGTGTTTACTATTGAATTTCTTATTGCTCTGCATTCATAATTTTTTTAACTCTTGCTCTAGAACAGTCAATCTTAGCAAGTGCCAGAATCACCTGGAGGTCTGCTGACTGCTGGTCAGAGTTTCTGACTCAGTAGATCTGAGAGAGGACAATCTGCTTTCTAACAAGTTCCCTAATGATGGGGATGTTGCGAGTCTAAGAACCTTGCATTGAGAATCAATGTTCTTAACTGTCAGGTCCTTGAGGGGAAGAGGGAAGTGGGTGAAAACAATCATTGGGCCCTCAGTTTCTGGGGGTTCAAGAACTTTTGGTGAAAGGAGAGAATAAGTTAATGCTTAAATGACTGAAAGACTGAGTGAGTGCTGGACTTCTAAAGGATAAAATCATATGCAAAACTACCACACTATATTGCTCTGGAGACAAACACTACTATAATGATCTAATTTTTTAATTAATTAATTGATTAATTAATTAATTAATTTTACTAAACAATGTGGAAATAAATCAATCCACCCAAAGCCCTTCAGGCATAATACTTAACTAATTAACCAAGAAAACTAAATTAAAAATAGAGAGACAACAGAAAGAGAAAAATGGTGGTACTGACAATCCATGTCAGGCAATATTTGCCTCTATCGTGATATGTATGCCGTCTACCAACAGGCAGCTCCTCTTTATGGTAAGTGCCAAGTTAGTATTTGCACTAGTAATTGTAAACTGAAATATCATTGAGACACTCATTGTTACTACAAAATGTTAAGGTCTAGAAATATCAGTGGTTATGGTTTTCCCATCTTGGCATAAGGACATGTGCAGCTACCATGTCAGTATATATTGGTGGGCATATCAGTGTATTTACAGGTATGTCCCCTGGGAATCTGGTGTGTCAATTAATGAGTGGGAAGGAAAGGGGAAAAACTGAGGTACTCACCTTCACTAATATCTTGGCTGTATCCACCATCTGGCTCAATGTCAGAGGGGATCATAATGTGCCAGGTAGTCATGCGGGCTTCTGCTTCCAGTCCAAATCCATCCACATTGCTGAAAAATGTGTCAGTTTAAATTATATGAAGGAAATGATTACAGCTAAAAAACTCTAATAACTAAGTATTTTCTGCAGACACAAGTAAATGTTGGCCTATTAACGTGATTCCAAAGTGCCACGATTGACAGACCACACTCAGCAGATGCACAAAACAGAATGACTAGTTTATAATAAAAATGCCATTTAAAGGGGTGGTCTCACAAATCCACTTGGATAAATGTAATTACACCACACTACAGCATTGAGATGAACATCTTAATATTTAAGACACTTTTTGATGAACATTTTACCTAAAAATTACAAAAAGTTCATTGAGAACATTTTCCTCATATGCCCATGTCCCCGTCCCCTCTCCAGTCTTAATCACAGCACTCTTTCCCCCAGCAGCAGTGAAGTACTTGCAGTTTCCCAAATGTGTCATATGTTTTTTTCCCCCCTCTGTGCAATTACACAGATGGTTCTTCCTACATCTCTCTTCCTCCACCTCTTTGAAGGGTTAACCTCTTCCTCAACCAGGTTCAAGATGAAACTTAGCAGGTGTTTCTTCCAGGTAAGTGACACCGAGTACATGTTTCCAAAGCACCTTGCTTCTAGCACTCAGCACACCTGACTGGTCTTGCTTAGTTACCTGTCCTCCCTCCTACATTGCATACTCCAAGGCCCTGCGACAGGGTCTTTCTTGCTCACATCCCAGTCTTTAATTCAATGCCTGGACCCAGCAGTTACTATAGAAATATCTGACAAAGCAATCAATGGAAAAATACTAATTTCACCCATTTACCTTACACCATTGTATATATTCACTGTATTCCTTTCTTTTTATTCCTCTCAACTTCCAACAATGTATACTTTATTTACTTTAAAATAAATCTTTTTAAAATTATATACATAGGGTGATTAGTGAAAAGTTTAAAGATACAGAAAATTAAAAAAATACACATGTCATTGAAAAAACAACAACAGTTGGCTTTTACCTTTTGCAGTAAGTTTTAGATAAAACTGAGATTAAAGGAAAAATAATTATTACTATCAATAAAAATAAAACCAAAAGTTTTGGTGTAATAACATCCAAGACAAATTCAAGGTGGCAAACTGAACCTAAAGGAGTTACCTTCCAACATGCAGATTTATAAGGCAGTGAGCCAGGCAGCTGATGAATTCCTGGTCATGGTTCCCAGGCCCCAGGATCAAGTTCCTGTTCACAGTCAGGAGCCGGAGGGAATCAAGGAGAGCTACTTGCTGTGGAACAGTTTTGTGTGCCCGTGAGAACTGGTACAGGATCGTCCTATTGAGGCAGTGATAGACCGCATCCAGGGACAGTCCCTGGGATCTTCTCTTTGACTAAGGATATGAAAGATACTTTATTTAGTAAGATGGGCAAAATAAAAGATCTGCTTTTATAATTCAATTATGAACATTTACTACATTTATTATGTACCAGATGACATGCTAAGTACTGCGTTGCTAAGTTAAAAAATATAAAGCTCTTGCTATTACTGGGTTCAGAATCCAAAAGACACATAATGGAATTGAATGAGATGAGTGCTATGTAAAAATACATCTGCCAAGAACATGAGGAAGTGCCATCTGAGTAGTCTCCTACTGCACAAACTCTTAGTGTCTCTACTCCAAACTACAAAGAAGAAAATTATCTAAAATTTTTAGTTAAAAACTTTTAATATTCTAGTATTAGGTCTAGTAACATTTCTCTTTGCTTTAAATACAAATTTAGTTCTCAAGTAATTCTTAGATGACAAGAAAGAACCCATGCACCATATGCTAATAAAATATGATAACAGTATTTCCTACTTTCTACATAATATGTTAAATAATAATCACTCATGCTAAACCAGGCAAATTTTCCTTAGGCAAAGGCACCACCAGCATATGCCAAAATAACATCTTCAAAGGAACACAGACTACTGTGGACTTTGTAAAGATTCAATTACAAGAAGAGAATAATCTTTTGATATCAACTCTTCATGCCCTGTTAGCCTTTACACTCAATGAATCATACTGTAAAAAAGTATCAAATTAATTAACTTAAATTATTTAAATTAAAAGGAAACTAGTTATCTGTGCAGCAAACGGCAATACCCTTGGGGAGACAAGAGCTCACAGCCTGAGAGAACCAGATAACCTCACAAGGGACACACTGGCACTGGATATGGGTAAGGGGGAAAAAGGGTTACAAGCCTACATTTTTTATTCACTTTTAATAAGCTGAGGTTTATGTTAAATCTTAACATTTATTATCTTATTAGTTACACTTATTTCTAACAACTTTGACACTTTAGGAAAAGTTTTTCAATTGGAAAACATGTATTCTACAAGTAACAGTGACAATGGATTACCTGTGCAATTAGTTGAATTATAAAATCTATAAGAAGTTTAGATTCTTTGTTGAACATGCCTTGCCAAAGTTTGTCCACCACACGTTGTGTGAAATAAAACACATTGTTCACCAATACCTGGTAGCTTCCTCCACTGGTAATAGGTAGAGATGCATCTTCCCCTAAATTCCAGCAGGAAAAAGATGTCTAAGAAAATTGGTATCCATCAGCATAAGACCAGATCCTCACACAGATCAGGCTAAGGCAAAATGAGCACATCTAAGGAAATCAGACCAATAGCTCTTAGGTACTTCTTTAAGAAAATGATGTTCATGGCTAGAAATCATGATAAATGTTGAAAGAAACGACTTCTGCAGGATAAAAACGTAACAGACTGAGACTGTGAAGTCTCTTATTGCCTTAAGACAGTCTGTGGTAAGCAAACTGTTCTTCAACTCAAACAGCCAGTGACAGATGATCTCTGTTTCAGAGAAAAGTCAACAGATTTTAAGCTGTAAACTAATAAAGGGAAAAATAAACCATTAAACAAAACTCTCAATTTTGGAGTAAATCTTTAATAGTGACAAAGCAATATAGGCAGAAGAGAGGTTCAGAAGAATTGTGAAAAATTAAGTATAACCAGGGTGGTGGTGTCATCCCCTAATGACTGCCACAAGCGCCGTCTGGCTTATAAAAGCTGCCCAGTGTCTGCTATGCGCATACTGCCTCAGCACTAATTCTCCCAGCTGCTCTTCATCGGCGTGCCCCCGAAGCCTGTCCTTTCTAGAAATCCTAGAGCCTCTGCTGACTGTGATTATTTGCGCCCAACTCTAAATTACTCCATTACGCAAAACTCCTCATTTTGTTTCTCGATGTAGTACGATAGTACAACATAGACAGTATCACAAGTGATAAAAACAAAGGTCTGATTTCATACCATGCTTTGAGAGTTGCATGTTAAGTCAATACCAAAGATTTCTTGGCAAATTACAATACTTTGCAAAATTATGGTAATTTAAGAACAGGGAGATTCTATGAATAATATTACCAGGAATACAAGTAGCAAATATACTAACTCATTATTTTTCCTTCACCTTTAAATTGGATCACTGTTTCACATATAAATGTTAGCTCCACTGTAAATGTACAAATTTTGTATTTTTATTGTAATTAGATAGACATACAGAAAACATTTTAATGTGTCTTGAATTTATGTCCTAGAAGCCATCCTAATGAATAACATATGCATACCTATCACCTGAAAATTCCACTCATAGGTATATACTCAGCAGATATGCATAAATATTGTACATAGAAGGTACATGCAGCAAAAAGTAGGTTTACAGTTATTTGTATAGAAATAATACAAGAATAAACTGTTTCACATACTCACAACTGAAAACCTTTTATCTCTCCCTGTATATGTGACCCATATGAACCAGAATGTTTATAGCAGCTTTATTTTTATTGTCTCAAACTAAAAACCAACAAATGCCCAACAACAGCAAATGGACACGTTTAGATATTCATCTGATAGAGTACTACATAGTAATGAACTCCTGCTATATCCAACCTGAATAAATCTCACAAATACACTGTTGAATGTAAGAAACTAGACTAAAAATAATACATACTGTATGAGTCCATTTATATTGAGTTCAAAAGCAGAGAAAAGGAATCTGTTGTTTTAGAAGTTGAAACAATGACTTATTGAATCATATCTGGGTCACAGTAGAAGGGGAATTTCTGGAGTACTGGCAATGCATTTCTGAGATGTTTTATACAGGCGTAGTGTCTGGGAGAGAATTCATGGAGTTCCACATTTATAAATATTACAATGAAAAAGTTAATGTAAAAGTATTGATATTCATAAAAATATAGTAATTCATGTACTTTTTTTTCTCTTTCCTTGTCCTCTTCCTGCTACCCCACGTACATAAATATGAACAACCACTGTAAGGACTTCCCTGCTGCTGATCTTTATCCCAGACTCAAAGGAAAGAGCTGAGGGCCTTTTCTTCATTATAGGAAAACTAGAGGCCCAGTGTATGAAATTTGTGCACTGGAGGGGGAGGGTGTCCCTCAGCCCTGCCTGAGCCCTCTTGCATTCTGGGACCCCTCTGGGGATGTCTGCCTGCCAGCTTAGGCCTGATTCCCCCTCCCCCCTGGGACATTCCTCTCGCAGTCCAGGACCCCTCATTCCTTACTGCCTGCCTGCTTGCTGCTCCTTAGCACTTGGCTCACTGTTCCTTAGCGAAGGCGGGAGAGACTCCTGCCACTGCTGTGCTTCTGGCAGAATGGTGCTCCCCCTGTGGGAGTGCAATGCCCACTAGGGGGCAGCTCTTGAGTTGACTGTCTACCCCCTGGTGGTCAGTGTGCATCATGGCGACCAATAATTCCCTTCCACTGGTCATTCTGCATATTAGGATTGTGTTATATAGGATATCAACAAGAGGGGGAAATGAACAGAAAAGAGGAAAGACGAATTTAAAAAGGAGATATACTTGGGGTATATAGAAAGAAGAAGAGTGATTATAGATACCTTTAAAGTGATTATAGATACCTTTAAAGTGAAAATAAAACAGTATTACCTAGTAACACATCAGCTGCAAGCAAATGGTCCATCACGCTATCCAAAATGTAAGTTTGAAATTCTTTTTGCTGAGTTCTTGTAGATCTTTCAGGGGAAGCCTAGTCAATAAAATGAAGAATTAGAAACAGAACCAACTAAACAAAGATAAGGGCTCAACCATAATTATATTACTAAATGTACCAAATAATTTGCTTGTAAATAATATAACTTGAGATTTTATATATTCTTATACTTCTGACCAAAGAATTTTAAAACAATGAGGCAAAGGTGAAACATCTTCTTTTGAATCAATTCCTCCAAAAATAGTATCCTAAACAGCACAAATATTTAATAACTGTCTGATAATCTATACTTATACCTCACTTACAAGAGCTCTAGCATTTTATTTTGAGATACAGATAAAAACTTATAAATCTACTCTAGATCATAATCAGCTCAAGGGGTAAGTAGTAATGAGTAGGTTTTAACAATTCTTAACTAGACAAAATTTTGAAGTCTGCAAAATAGAGGGATCATAGAACATAGAGAAGTAGCTTGATCAATCGACAATGTCTATTTTTACTTGATTAAAAGCATTTGTTTATATTTTACAGGATTTTCAGAGAGCTCAAACACCAAAGGACATTTAATCTGTTTTCCTCTCACTGAAGTTGTTACATGAGTGACAGTGACCAGAATTTACACTTGTTATTGGCTCTAAGTGCTGTGTTCAAATGTTCTTGCTGAGATTTATAACAGCCCAATTTTTAAAGGACTTAAAATGTTATGAATGTATGCATAATTGTCTCAAAGGCACCTGTTCATTTTTAAATAATTCATTGGACTATTATTATATACCAAACATAGTGCTTTGTTTTATGTATCTTATCTCAAACTGTAAAATATCTCTTTGAAGTAGATACTATCATCCCCATTTTAGATATATAATAATTGAGGTTCAGAAAGGTTAACTCATGTGGTCAAGTCACAAATATTTTCTTTTCCTTTTTAAAAAAAGCACATATCCTAGTCTTCATTTATTATTATTTTTGAAATATTTTTTATTTGATTTTGAAAGAGAGAAGGAAGAGGGAGAAACATTGATGTGAGAGCGTAATATAGATCGGCTACCTCCTGCACACTCCCTACTGGGGTTGAGCCTGCAACCCAGGCATGTGCCCTGACTAGGAAACAAACCAGCAATGCTTCAGTGCCTGGTTCAATGACCAACCAACTGGCCAGGGCTAACCTATTTTTTGTTTCCAAAAAAATGTTCATGACCTCCCCTGCCGTGCCATACTCTCTACCTCTACTAAAAATCTCCATTGTAAAGTTAACAAATGCACAAGAGCAATTCTGAACCTGGCTAGCCCAACAGACAACAGGATGAGTTCAGAGCAGAAGGAAGACATGGTAAGCACTGTGATCTGCTCCCACCTCTGACAGTCAGATCTGTCTTCTTGTGAAAACAGTGAAGCCAGTCAACAACATCAGTCTGCAAAGAATCACAGCATTCTTTGAGAGGCCTGGGGATACTTCGAAGGAACTCCTGTGCACAGGCCACACAGCCCGGGATGTCCTCTGCCCACGGTGAGAGCAGTGTGGCTGGGAGGAAGGCTCTTTGCTATTCCGCTGTCTCTGGGATGGGCAGAAGCCTTTAAGAGGGGGGGGTTGGAGCTTTTTCATTCTGACTGCAGTGTCCCCCCGACTGCTCTCTTCTGTTCCTTTCTAGTGCCCTCTCTGCCCACCTCCCCACTTTCTTTTGGCTTGTTTATTGCCTGCCCCGCAGTCAGACAGGGTGGGTTTCACTCCTATGAGTGGGGGTGAGAAGACAACTGAATAGAGTAGCAAGCTCTTCAGGCTATAGAAAATCGCTTATAGTATCCGACAGACACACACTCCAACTCGGCCCTCTTAGTTTGTCATTCCTTCAGGAAACTATACGCAAATACTTTGTGATTCTTTCTGCTATCTGACGTGCAGCAAATCCATTTGACTCTCCTAAAGATGCCAGGTGGTGACAGCAGAGGACGATGAGGACCAGAAGCTAATTCAGGCACCTGGTGTGTAGGTCTCATATGCCAGGCTCTGTGTTATCGATATTAAATGTATTATCTTAATTCAATTCTCCCAGTAGCCCTCAGAGACAGGGTGAATTTTTATGCCATTTTAAAGATGGACAAACCAGAAGTGGTGAAGAGAACTGAAGCTGGCCAAGGTCACACAGCTATAATCAGCACACATTTATGTTCTCAAAATAGTTTTTACTGGGTGATTTATGTTTCTTCCTTTCTCTCTTCCTTTTCTTCCTTTCCCTACATCCTTTCCTTCATTTATTTGAGAATTTTTCCCATTGATTTTTTTAGAGAGAGTGGAAGGGAAGGGGAGAAACAGAGAAACATTGATGTGCGAGACACATCAATTGGTTGCCTCCTGCACACACCAGGGATCGAGCCTACAACTGAGATACATGCCCTTGACTGGAATTGAACCCAGGACCCTTTAGTCTGCAGGCCTATGTTCTATCTACTGAGCCAAACAGACCTGGGTGGTTTACGTATACTTAACTTTTATAACAACCATGTAGAAGATACAGTATATAATATTCCCCAGAAAATGAATTTAGCTCAGTGAGATGAAAATACTTACATAATACACAGGTCAGATTTCAAACCACATATCTTTCACTTCAGAACACCACAGTGCTTCCCTTGTATCTGGCCTCAATACCACACTGAAGCCACTATATGAATGGGAATCTTTATTTATTTTTAATTGATTTCAGAGAGGAATGAAGAGGGAGAGAGAGATAGAAACATTGATGATGAGAGAGAATCATTGATCGGCTGCCTCCTGCATGGCCCCTATTGGGGATCAAGGCTGCAAGCCAGGCATGTGCCCTTGACTGGAACTGAACCCAGGACGTTTCAGTCCGCAGGCAGATGCTCTAACCCTTAAGACAAATCAACCAGAGAAATCTTTTATTTTTATAGACCACTAATAAAGAAAATTTCACATACTTTTTTGTAGATATACTATTGTAGTAAGCAAGTAAGTAAATACTCTAATGACAAAATTTCAACAATCATAAGACTGAAGATGGCCTAGCTCAAGTGTATCAGACTGAAAATCAGTCAGTTCAAAACCCTTCCTTCATGCAGGTAAATGGCATATACAGAATAAGAGAGTTCTCTTCTTTAATTTCTTCAGCGAGAAAGACTTTATAATCATAACTTTTGAAATCATAAGCTTGTAATTTATTTTTTTACACCATAAGAAGACTCAAAGTGAATACTATTTTCACAAAATATTTTTGTATATATATTCTATATGGGTGTTTTAGATTTAAATTTCCTCAAAGTATTAAGTTTAATTTTTAAAAGCAAATTTGTACCTCTCTTATTATCTGGTATCATAACTTCCTGTTTTGGAATTGCTAAGGATGTTATTATAGTTCAATATCAATAATTTATAAAGAACATGCCAAGGCACTGTGAATTTTGTGGTGAGAAACAGGACACATGAAAGTTGGTCCCTAGCTTTAAGGAATTTACAGCCTAGCTGGTAGTATCCATCTTGACAGTCTTCTTCTGCCTGAAAGGTAACTACCACCCAATTCCTAAAAACAATCAGACAATTTATCAATGGGACAAGTTAGTGTTTACAACAACGAGAAGGATACCTCAAGGTTAATACACGTTGTCTCAAACTTTCCTTACTAACCACTCCAGAAAGTCAAAATAAAAGACAATGATATCGCTGAAAGTGGTTTGGCTCAATGGATAGAGCGTCGGCCTGGGGACTGAAAGGCCCAGGGTTTGATTCCAGTCAAGGGCATGTACCTTGGTTGTGAGCACATTCCCAGTAGGGGGTGTGCAAAAGGCAGCTGATTGATGATTCTCTCTCATCGATGTTTCTGACTCTCTCTCTCTCTCTCTGTAAAAAAATCAATAAAATATATACTTTAAAAAATATTAAAAAAAAAGACAATGATATAATTTATGCATAGTTGATAAAGGGTTATTAGGGTTCCTCTAAGACTGAAACTGTAATTACTGGCTCCATACACTCAGCTCATATGTGTGTATTTTATTTAGTAGCTCTGATATAGACTTTTATACATACCTCTTCTGAACTTTATTCTGTTATTTTCATTTTGTGCAGAATGCTTTAAATTCTTACCAGATGCACTGAGACACTGGCCACCTCTATTTTTATTTTTAAAGTTTCAAGGACAAGCTCTACCAGGTATCCTTTTAAATTCTACCATGTGGGTTACCGATGAACTTGACTATTTTTCTGACAATATTAAACACTGAGGTCCTGGTTAAAATGCTGAACATGACTGGAACCTAAATTACATTTTTATTTCTTTTAACTGACCAACCTGTTTTATGAATAAGATAAAACATCTACTGTGGTTTTAAGGTTCCAGTAAAAGGTTAACTGTGTTAACCACTAGAGGGAGCAAAGAAAGCGCAGCTTCAGCTGCCATACTGCTGAGAGCATGTAGGAAGTCCCTCAAAGAGAAAAGCAGTCTGCTGCACGGATTGAACCTTCAATAAAATGTGCTATTTTCAGACCCTGGATACACTAAAGCTATTGGGCCAAACCCAGCCTATGCCTGTTTCTGCAGATAAAGTTTCGTTAAATCACAGTTTATGCACTGTCTGGGGCTGCTCTCTAGCTCTAACAGCATACTTAAACAGTTGTGATAGAGACCTTGTAATCTGCAAAGCTTAAAATGTTTCCAATGTGGCCCTAAAAGAAGTTAGTCAGTTCCTGTTCTAGGGAAAGGATGTATAAGGGTGATAAAGGGACATGCTTGCAGAAATGAAAAGGAGAGAAATAAATTGATAGGATATATAGTATAGTACATCTGAACTAAAATATCCCCATAGTCCATAATATATTTTTGCTTATACAACCCAGAAGAATTAGAAAAATGAGTGTATTTTGGCATAAAATGTGCTTAGTTATTAACGTTCTAATTATAAAAACAATGAAAAACAGATGTGAATATATTTGTCTTTACCTCCAGCAAAAGATCAACTAGTGGCGTCTGCTTGCTCGCAGGGGTGAGACACAGGTTATCTATTATTAAAACCCGCATGAAGTCAAAAACAAACTTTTTAGCGGGGTGGTTGGTCAGATATGTCTTGACCCCCACGTTGCAGTACTCAGACTGGCTCCTGTTCATCCCTGTGTCGGCTGCAAAGGCTTTAAATTCTTCCGCTGGAGACCCAACTTCATCATCGAGGTCTGTCACCTAGCAAAACCAAGTGGAAAGAGAAGCTAGTTTCATTCAATTTTATTTTATTTTGTTTCCTAAAAACCAAATTGTAGTAGCACCAGTATTTTTCTTCAACTCTTACCTATTAAGCTACCCAATGCATTACTGCACTTTGCTTTACCTGGCCCCTCCTTTCAAGGCGGTAATCAGGTACTGTTTGTCACAGTTACTTAGCACATGCTCTTTCTAAGATTAAACCATGTATCTGTTGTATGCTGAATTTTATCTCTAAAATAATGTGTATAATTGCACTTAAATGAGATAAAATGAGAATAACTGTATTTGCATATTTAAAATATACCTCCTGTGAAGTCAAATGCCAGTTTCAGATAAAGACCAAGCAAAAACAAACAAAAAACAACCCAAATATATACATAAGACAAAACTAGTGCCAATTTCAAGCCAAAAGAAAAAGAAAAAAAAAAGGACTAGAAAACAGAGTATAAAATGCTGACAAAGAAAAGACACTGAAGTATTATAAAGGTCAACTTTTGATAAAAATGAGGTTTTTAGAATTATAAGTACCACAGTTTGAAGGTCATGTGCTGTGCTTGTGTCTATCCTAAAAAAATCCCTACAATTTTAGAATTAGCATTTACCTTTATGTGTGAAAAAAAATAAGTATGAAGAACTTAGGTGGAAATAAGAAGAAACATCATAATAGTCAGAAGTACTATGGAGGAATAACTGTCTTTTGGATTTGTTTTCAAGTACAAAAGAAGTATCTATACTATATATGTTTATAATCTAATATTTTTCTATTAATCTTAGTATAAAATATAAAAAATAAAAGTTGAAAGAAATAAGAAAAGTTGAATAAAAAGGATAATCATATTTCATTTTTTAAATAGCGACAACCAATGTTATATAATTAATTTGTAAAGATTAAATCTAGAGAATGCCTAGATTCTGAGATAAAGTAGAGGTGACTCTGATGTGACTAGAGTTCTGTGGCCTGGACAGAACACTTCACAGTTAACTACACAGTTATCAATCCCACAAAACAAGAAACGGATCCACGATGACTTGGAGAGGAAGTCACTAACAAGGAACTTACTAAAATACGGTAAATGAGAACAGGAAGCTGAGCTCACAGTTATTTTAGGGGAAAACAGAAGGAGAGTGGGGAGCCAGACACCAGGTAATGATGTAAGAGGTTAGAGAGAGAGCTATGAAACTGTATCATGGTGAGAAACTTAAAATTGCCAGCAGAAAAAAAATCAGCTACCCATTGGAGCAGACTAATCCCAGTTTGACACTGCCTCCCCTTTCCTACCATCTCCGAGTAAGGGCGGATGTTGAAGGGGAAGACGGTGGCTGCTAGTGCACACAGGAAGTCGGGGCTCATCCACATGGAGGCCAGGTCCGGGACGTTGTGATACAAGTATCTGAAGAACTGCATTAGGGTCACAGGATATTCTCGGAGCCAAGACCCCTCTTCTTCTGACTGCCATGGCTGTCACAGAGATAAGAAAAAAATATATTAGGAAAACTGACACTGCTATAAAGTACTTTACAAAAATGCAATACTCACTACTCTTCTAAAACCGGATATACCGATAGTCCAGAACTCTCATAAACCACACAAAAGAACAAATCCAGAAATAAACTAAAACAAAAACAATGCCCCTAGAAACTGACAGGATGCCTATCTCTTCCTCAGTGCTCACAGCTCAGTAATGAGTCAGTGGCTTTGATTATTCCACATTATGGACATGACTACAGCTGGTGCCCATGGTGGCTGAATTACCAACAAAGCTGCCCCATCCTCCATGGTGCCCTAGTGGGGGTGAGAAAAAGATGGGGAAGTTCAGTTACTTCACCTTTCTAATGTAAAATGACAAGAACAATGCTTTTAACTATTACGCATGTGAAACTGTGATTTATAATTATATATATTTGGTCTTTATTCTTGGCAGAACTCCTAAAACCCCTGGAATGTCCAAAGTGATGAGCCATAAAAGTGTCTTTTGTTAATCATAATAAGGCCTTTTCAACCATCCCTAAGTTCATGTTAATGAGATGACTTTGGGAAAGGTCCTGAGGACAGAGGCTTGCCAGGGGACCAACCACAGGATTAAAGGGTTGAGTTTCAGTCCTAGAGGCCCCTCCCACTCCCCCTCTCCCAACTTCCAGTTGGGGAGCAGAGGCTGGAGATAAAGTTCAATCACTGATGGCCAATTTACCCAATCGTGCTATAGGTAACAAAGCCTCCATGAAAACCCAGAAGGATGGCGTTCCCATTGGTCTTGGGTTGGTGCACAGACATATGGAGGTGTTGGGAGAGGGGCCAGGCGAGTACAGGCCAGGAGCTCCACTTTCCCTTCCCACATACCTCTCCACGCACCTCTGCCACCTGGTGGTTTCTGTGTCATAGCCTTATATAATAAATTGGTGATCTAGTCAGTAAAACGTTTTCTAAAGTCATGGGAACCTCCAATTTACAGCCAGTAAGTCAGAAGTGCAGGTAACATTGGACTTGCGATTGGTGTCTGAAGAATAGGGGTCGTCTTGTGGGACTGAGTTCTTACCCTGTGGGGCCTAATGCTCTCTCCAGGTAGGCAATGACAGACCTGAACTGAATTGTGGGATGGCAAGCTTCTGTGGCAAACCCCCCACCCCCACATATTTGGTGACTAGTGTCAGAAGTGAAGCTGTGCTATAGTAGAATATTCATAGTACAGAAGACATACAATAGGGTGGTTTTTCTTAACAACAATATAACAGCAGCAGCAATGATAATGATAAAACAGTGACAAACACAGAATACACCTGAACAATACCTATCTTTTGATACTTCCTCAAGTGTTTTTTTTTAAACTCAGATGTTTGTATTTGTTTATGAGTAGGAACCAAATATAAATTATAAAGCATTCTAAATTAATACATGTAAGGGCAATATTCTTTTCTTTTCTTTCTTTTTAAAAAAATATATTTTATTGATTTTGTACAGAGAGGAAGGGAGAGAGATAGAGAGTTTGGAACATCGATGAGAGAGAGTCATCGATCAGCTGCTTCTTGCACACCCCCTACTGGGGATATGCCCGCAACCAAGGTACATGCCCTTGACTGGAATCGAACCCGAGACCTTTCAGTCCCCAAGCCAATGCTCTATCCATTGAGCCAAACCGGTTTCGGCTCTTTTCTAAAATGACATAAGAATAGCTTGAGCACAATTAGATTTGTCATGTACTTGTAATCCAAAGATTCTCATTAATAATTCCTCTTATGATGTAATCCTAAATTGTGTAAAGAAATTAAGTTATTATTCACAGTACTCATATAAGATAGATAGGAACATATATTTTGTCATTTCCTCTTTATAGTCTTCATATCTAAGTTAAAAAATAATTAGGAAAAACAAATACAAACTAAAACTTACAATGATTGAAGCGATTACTATATACTAAGTACTCTTGTAAGAGCTTTGTGTATATACTAAATCATTATATCCTCACAACAACCCTAAGAGATATCTCCCATTAACACCAGCATTTTATACATAAGAAAATGGAGGCACATAGAGGTTAGTATGTCTTAAGTACCAGAGACGGGATTTGAACCCAGAGTCTGTGGTCTTAATAATTGCATGGTTCGTCCTTGTCCCACAGATAACAAGCCAAGGAGGCTGAGGTTCCATGCTGTAAGTACATACGTATGCTTTCAAAAGTTCCCTCTATTTTAAAAAAGAATCACGAAGAGGAAGTATCAGCAGGAGTTAGTGTCTCGTGAACTTACTGAGTTCAGCATGCTGCGGAGCATTCCCAGCAATAAGAAAGCAGCTTCAGTGCACACGTTATGAATGGAAGAGACCACAGTTCCACTGGAGGCAGGAACTCCGAAGATAAATGTCCAAATGGAATCTAAATCAAACTGCAGAGGGGAAAGTGAAGATGAGTCACTGGCAGTTTTTTCGAATAGAGAGACCCTCGTAACTTCTAATATTCTATAATTTCTTTGAAACCAGTTAGTTTTTTTCAAAGTGAAGAATGATGAAGAGACTCTTCCTACATTTTAAAACTCATTTTCACATTTATAAAGAAAGAGTGAATTTATGTATCTTCCTGTCTTAGGTACTTGTGTTAAAAACATTGCTTTTTTCTTTTTTCTCTAAAGAAAACAAATAAAATACATGCTAATTAGTCAGCAGATGAAATTTAGTATTGATGATTTTAAGCAGAATTTTTAAAAGATCTAATTCACTTTTAAATTATATACAGATAAGGTTTGACAAAATAAAAATCTGTTAGAGGAAATTTATTCCTAGCAGTTTATATAACACTTTATGGTGTCATGCTTATTTTGAAAAATTACATAACCAACCAAATTCTGCTAAGCATGACTCTTTATCTTGATTTAATGTAAGAGTATAGACTCAGTGGTTTCATTTAAGAGGTTTTGTCAACTACTAACATTTATTTGAATAGCCTTTGGCTTTATGATGCACACATAGCTGGGTTTAAAGCTGAATCTCTAAGTCTCTGCAGTGCCATCAACATAATCTATATATAGATATCCACAACAGTCTTCAATTAGAAATCAAGCAAAGCCTTACTGTTTTCCTAACACAGATGTTGTTACCATTAAGAAATTGAAAACTTTTTTATAATCAGACTGACTTGCACTAAGAATCCTGTCATTCCTACCCAATTTTGATACACATACATTCCCCTAATTTTTATTTTTTTTATTTAAAAAAATCCTTATTATTGAAAGTATTACATGTCCCCCTTTTTCCTCCATTCACTCCCCTCATTTTTAATTCTACAGAAATTGTATTTCTAGATAAAATCACGCAACTCAACAGAATTCTTTAGATCACTAATCAAATATCATCCAAAGTTTTTATGCATATACAATTTTTTAGAGTAACCATAAATAATAAAAGACCAAGTTAAGATAAATGATTTCTTTTTGTAAAAATTTTCGGTGCTACTCTCTGATTTTTCTGTCCCAAATCAAACCCTAGATGTGAGAAAGAGATGGAATCAGTGGTTTTACTCTGGTTCACCCATTATCCTATGGTGATTCAGGGGCATATATAATTACACTTACACCTTACTAGGTAATTCCTACCTGGCAACCCTGCTTACATCGGCTGCTGGTGACAGGCACACTGACCTGCAGGTTCTCTGGCAGCTCACTAACTGGCTGCTGCAGGAACAATGCCATGAGCAGGAAATAGAGGGCAGGGACATTAGTGTGCTTAGGAAGGAATGACTGAAGGACTGGAAAACCAGGAAAATGGCAAGCATCCCGGTTAATCTCTCTGACTGTTGACCTTCCACCAGCACTCCTGCCCACATTGAATCCTAAAAGAAGAGGAAATATAACAATAAGTACAAAATTAGTAGTCAATTACTGTGCTGTAATAACAAAGAAAGTAATTCAGTATATGTGACCTTTCCACCAGAATATTCATATTAATATAGGCAATTAACTGTTCAACTGTTGAATTCACCTTTCAGGCAAGTTTTACTTTACTATCTCTTTGACTTGAGCAAGCCTGCCTATTAGGATACAGGTCTTGAAACATAGCCGAGATAATCAGATACAAGAGGTAATAAAAATTGTGGTCATTAAAAGAATGACCTCGAAAGAGCTCTAACATTTCCTTAAGAACAAAGTAAAATTCAAGAGAGCCAAAACTTTAGGGTGCTACAAAAAATGTTACTTAAATATAACTGCTATACTATCCTATCTAATAAAAGAGTAATATGCAAATTGACCACCACTCCAACACACAAGATGGCCGCCCCCATGTAGTCAAAGATTGCTGCCTCCATGTGGACACAAGATAGTCTGCAGGGGAGGGCAGTTGCGGGTGACCAGGCTGGCAAGGGAGGATAGTTAGGGGTGACTAGGCTGGCAGGGGAGGCCAGTCAGGGGTAACCAGCCAGCAGGGGAGGGCAGTTAGGGGCAATTGGGCCTTCAGGGGAGAAGTTAGGCGTCAATCAGACTGGCAGGGGAGTGGTTAGGGGGCAATCCGGCTCACAGGCAGAAGCAGTTAGGGGCAATCAGACAGGCAGGCGAATGGTTGGGAGCCAACAGTCCTGGATTGTGAGACTAGGCCTAAACAGGCAGTTGGAAATCCCTTGAGGGGTCCTAGATTAGAGAGGGCGCAGGCTGGGCTAAGGGACACACACACACACACACACACACACACACACACACCCCTAATGCACAAATTTCGTGCACCAGGCCTCTAGTATTTAATATATTTCATCATGAAAACATCATAAACTACTTAATTTTAAATTATCTATGAATTTAAAGATAAGACTAAGCAAAATAATCTTTCCTTAAAACAGGTTCTGTAAGTCTGTAGGAAAGTTGACCAGCAGTGGGACAGCAAATCTGAGCATGCTGTGACTATGGCTATTTGAACATCCAGAGCCCTTTCTAGAAATAGAGCTCCACCAGAAGATGGTCATTGCTTATTAATGTAGCTCACAGCATCAGCCTTCCTATCAATCCTGTTTCTTTTGTTGTATAACTAATTTGAGGCTGCAACCAAAGCACTTCGTTCTTTTGCCACCCCTAACCCAGTATAGTGATCAGCACAGAATGAATATTGGCCAAAGGTTCAATGAACAACTTTTGTGAATAGTAACCAAGAGATGAAGGACTGATTTGTACTCTAAAGCAATCTCATTTAAATAAATAGCCAGCTTTGTTTTCCTAGGATTAAGTAAGCACATTACCTGCTCCTATTTAAGATTAAAAAAATAAAAATTGTGTCTAGGAGGCTTTTTAAATATCTCATCCCAATTGATGCTCAGTGTGATATGAATTAATCGTCTGAAGTATGCTTTTCTAATTAAGAAAAAATTGCACAGCAACTTACCAACCTCTTTAATACACCATTTCATTGCTCAAGCACAATGAACATTTAAGCTAGAATAAGCTATTATCCTTTTCATAACATGGAAGATATGCCATGTGCTCAAAGACATAAAGTTAATGAGTGGTGGCACTAGGACTTGGGAGCCTGATGCCGCTATTTTAGAACCTGTAAGTTATGCTGTTTCTCTAGGCCTTCTTAATGACATTGCCACATTTCTGAAAGATTGGCTGCCTTAGGACACTGGGTAAATTTTGATTATAGTAAATTCTAAATTAAATTACGAGTATAAAAAAGTCTTTAGCTTTAAGGAGCCAAAAGACATAAAGTGATATTTTTATACATTCAATAGGAAAATAAATTTAAAAAATATATATTTTTATTGATTTCAGAGAGGATGGGAAAAGGGAAAGAGAGCTAGAAATATCAATGATGAGAGAAAATCATTGATTGGCTGCCTTCTGCATGCCCTCCACTGGGGATCAAGCTGGCAACCCCAGGCATGTGTCCTTGGCTGGAATCGAACCCGGGACCCTTCAGTCCACAGGCTGACTCTCTATCCACTAAGCAAAATCAGCCAGGGCAGGAAAAATAAATTATTATTAAACTACATGTTCTAAATGAAAATACTAGCATTCATTTTTTTTTTTCTAATTCTCACACCCTGCTTTTCCCTATACTTAGTCTTAAGGACTAAATATGTTATTAACAATGAAGCTTCATTTAGGTTCAAGTTACAGCTATATGGAAGGCATTTTCATGAAGGAAAATTTGATATGTATGTATCAGATAGAAATTCAGGGAAAATTATATTAAGTTGAATCAAGTTTAAATTTTAATACCTAGTTTCCTTTTTAGAACCAGAGCAGCATACGTAATGTGTAAATAGTTATCAATGAAGGACATCTAAATTCTAACGCATAAAGTCAGGTGGGTCAGATATGGTATAAGCATCTTTTCCTGATTCTACTGAAGTGATATAGGACAGGAAGAAGGGCAGGACTAACAGTCAGGATCAGAGACTTAGACACTTTACTCAGGAACCTCCTGCAATTAACAGTCTTTCTCAAGTAGAGAAATTAATCCTTAATTCGTATTTATCAGGTTTATTTCCTATAAATTGTAACAGATATCATAAATTATATACCTGTCTCCAGAAACATAAAGGCCAAATGAGACGATACATGTTAAAGAATTCTTCAAACCATAATGTACTATATGAAACTTAGCTGTTATCACTACTGCAGTTTTTGGCCTTCAATGAGAAGCAGTGCTGTTGACTAGCATTTAAAACTCCCATTTACTTATTTTGTGCCTTTCATTATTTATTCTTAGTAGTTATTATTAAGGCCAATAAACTAAACTTCTTGCTACTAAACTATTCCTAACATCTGAAGCTATATCCCTTTTCCAGAGTCAGTGAAAAATAGTTATTATTTTTTAGATCATAAAAGTATCTACAATGATCATTTGAAATTCATACTGTAAACAAAAGTTTTCTCAAGATGCCATTTTACAATGAATTTCTTTCTTCATTTTCTACATCTAAAAAACAATGAAATAATCCTACATTGAAAGCTGTCTTCCTGTCATTTACTTTAATATTTGAGAAAGTAGTACAGGTAGCATAGCACCTAGCTATTTATACTTTTACATTTTTTAACAGGTAAATTACATATTAAATTCTGATTCCGAGAGTGGATATGGCTTGCTATGTCTGCATACACTGGGTTGCAACAATTTTTTCTTCTTGAATAAATCCTTTCTGGTGATGGAAAATAAATATATAAATTCTGATCCCTAAATTCCCATTGGACAAGGGTAAATTGATGCTTGTTGCAGAATACAAATGATTTTAAAATATAATGTTATAAAAACAAATATATTGTTTTAAAGTTTAGGAATTGAGTGATTATAATTGTGAATAAAAATGTTATCTTAAAATATATTTTCTAAAGATCTTTGACATAAACAGAAATATAACAGTTCAAATTATTCTAATATAGCAAACTATAACTTTCTAATATTACTTCAATGCTCACTTCAATGTTAAAAACAGCATACAACTGTAAGCAAAGAATAAGAAGCCTTGGCTGAAACTTTGAGCTTAAATCTTTATAAATAAATAAATAAATAAATATATATATATATATATATATATATATATATATATATATATATATATAAAATTGATTTCAGAGAGGAAGGGAGGAGAGATAGAAACATCAATGATGAGAGAGAACCATAGATCAGCTGCCTCCTGCACGCCTCACAGTGGGGATTGAGCACACAACCCAGGCATGTGCCCTTGACTGGAATCAAACCCAGGACCCCTCAGTCCGCAGACCGACACTCTATCCACTGACTAAAACCAGCCAGGGTGAGCTTTACTCTTTGATTGGCAATGTAACATAACTGTTAAAAGCATGGGCTTGGTTCTGAGTGACCTGGACTAAAAAATGTTGTCTATTGTTTATTGAACATGTGACTTTGCTCCTTTGTCTTGGCTTTCTCATCTGTAAAATGGATATGATAGTATTTACATCTCATAGGGTTACTGTGAAATAAAGTGTTTAGGAACTGGCACAGAATAAGCACTGAAAATATTATTATTATTAATTCAGTTCTGATCATTTGCTAGTTATGTACTTAATCATAAAGGGAATTAAGCAATAAAAAGATCATAAGGGATTCCCTTGGGTTTCCACATCTTAAAGTTGTCTATAACTTCATTTTAATTTGCCATTAAAAAGAGCCAAATTTGAAACTTTCTAAGCTTTTTATTCTATCAATAATTAAAATTTAGATTTTTAAAGGTTGTCATAATAAACTGAAGAGTATAAGCTTACATAAGATTTAAAACGAAACAAAACACAATAGCTTATTTTAAAGCAGTTGACTTCAAAAGTCCCATACCTAATACAGTTCCAATCTTATTTGTTAAGACCGAGTCTGTCTGTTCCAGCCACCCTCCACCACTGAGTCCTTCTTTAAACTTGATAAGAATAGACTGATTACTCAGCAGGACAACAAGAATCCTCATGGCTGCTGTGACTGTGGTGGGATGCAAGTGCTCTTCCATAAACATCATAATCCAGTCAAAACCCAGGGTCCTGACCAGTTCTTCACAGGCTCTATTCAAAGACAGATAGGTAAGAATGAAACACATTAATCAAATTATAAAAAAGAATAAGATTAGGTTTTGTTCTTAAGATATTCTAAATTTCAGGGCTTAAACAATATGTCATTAAAAATTCTTTTGTCTATTATGGATTAACTGGTACCATCAATTCTAAAAAGATTTTACTTACTGCAAATTAATGCTTGTCTTTTCTTTAGATGTGTAAATTAGTTTTAGCAAGATATCTAGAAGTCTGTTCCTCAAAAGTATAAGATTAGCAGACACAAGGCCTCCAAACTCTTCTTCAGTTCCTACAATGAAAATAAATACATTAAATTGCTTAGTGTTGGATAAAATATCCAACCCTGTTCTAGGAAAATTCACTGAAAAATGTATCTGTCAGAAAACATTTTTTTCTAGAAGTACTTTCCACTAAAATGAACCAAAAAAAGCTGTTAAAACATTTCTTTTAGAATCCTAAAATTTTTTTATTTACATTATCTAAATAAGTGATAAAAAGGCTGTGAACCCTTTTAAAAATATATATTTTTATTGACTGCAGAGAGGAAGGAAGGGGGAGAGACAGAAACATGAATGATGAGAAAAAATAATTGATTGGCTGCCTCCTGCACGCCCCGTACTACCCCTAACATTGGGGATGGAGCCCTCAACCCAGGCCTGTGCCCTGACCACAATGGAACCACAATCTCCTGGTTCATAGGTCGATACTCAACCACTGACCCACACAGGCTGGGCTGTGAGCCCTTTTTTACATTAATATTCCCCTCCCCTACTAACAGGGCAAAGTAACCAAATAAGGATTGAATAAAAATAACAATCCAAGCCCTAGCCAGTTTGGTTCAGTGCTTAGAGCACTGGACCATGGACCAAAGGGCCCCAGGTTAGATTCCGGTCAAGGCATGGACCTTGCTTGCAGGCTCCTCCCCGGCCCAGGCCCTCACATCAATGCTTTTCTCACACTGATGTTTACCTCTGTTCTCCCCGCCCCCCACACCGCTCCCCCTTTCTGAAGGATCAATGGAAAAATATCCTCAGATGAGGATTAACCAAAAAAGTAAAAATAAATAAGTAAAAAACAATAATCCAAATCCTTAATTTCCAGTTTCTTTTTGAAGAACATAGTTAAGTTTATGAGATTTAAACTTGACAAGAGGAAGCATACTCTTTTTAATAAACATGATACATCCAGAAAAGTTAGAAGTAAATAGCATAGAAAAGAGGCAAAGGCATACAAAAGCACAAGAAAAATTGGAAAAGAAAAAGGCAGAAAACAGAAAGCTTGTGCATCTCAATGGATGATGCTGGAGGCACACAGGACTGGGCATCAGTGGCCAGTGTTCCAGGTGCAGCTGGGCCACTAATGAGCGATGGGTTAGGAAGTCATAACCCACAGGATTGTCTTTATTCCAGACTTGCAGCTCAGGCTAGATTTACCATGGGTGTAGTATGCTTTTACTAGTTTGGGCAAGGGACTATTTGTCTCCTTAAACATTGTCTTTTTTTTTTTTTTAATATTTTATTGATTTTTTACAGAGAGGAAGGGAGAGAGATAGAGCGCTAGAAACATCGATGAGAGAGAAACATCGACCAGCTGCCTCTTGCACACCCCCTACCAGGGATGTGCCCGTAACCAAGGTATATGCCCTTGACTGGAATCGAACACGGGACCCTTCAGTCCGCAGACTGACACTCTACCACTGAGCCAAACCGATTTCGGCTAAACATTGTCTTTTTATGTTAACTTCGTGCTTAATCATTGGGTAGAGTACTTCAAGTTTACCTAGGAGAACTCAAGGTTCTCTCCTTCTTATCAGAAGCACAGGATTGGTAATTTACAAATTGTCCTATTGAGAGCATACCATAAGTTGATAACAGGATTTATTTCATTTCAATTATTTCTTTTCAATAAAATGACAATCCACACAGAAATTAACGATTCTCCTGAATTTTTACATCTAGTCTTTTCCTTGTCAGTTATGCTTCCCCTAATTTTCAAATATAGTTTAAAACAATGAACTCTGAATTTCCACACTAACTCTTCCCATTCAAACTGGTACTTTATTTATTCCAATGTACTGTCCTTTCATGCTATTTCTTTTGCAATGATTATTATATCCCCGTTAATCATTATTCAAGCCATTTTATTGAATAATGTGTAAACTACTTGAAAGAAAAAAGTATGCTTTAACTCCTTGGAACTTCATATTATACTTAACACAGTCTTTAGTCCACAGCAAATACACAATAAATGTCATATACGAACAAGACCAGTGATGTGCTTCCAGCATTCTCTATTACTTGAAATGGCAATGAAGTGATGAGAATACTAATCAACTTGACAAATCAACAGAAAAATTTGCTAATTTATACATCTCTACTACTGTCTTCTTGAAAAAACTTTTACATTAGTTATTATTGTTGAATACAACATGGAGACTAGAGAAATATTTCCCCCACATTTTTTAACTACTTGAAATAAATGTGTTACGTATTTCTAAAGATTTTAATAGTAACTTCACTTCAATTCCTATTTACTTGGCTTATATTATTTCTAAACTTAGAAATAATCCTGACATATGATAGAATAATACAGTGGTTAAAAAGTTTATAGTGTTGATTTGGACCAGCGGTCGCCAGCCTTTCAGACCTCACGGACCACCAGTTGGAGATCACTGATTTGGACTACCTGAGTTCAAATGCAGAAATATGATTCAGGTAACTTTCTTTTACTCAATCTTTCTGGGCCCCAGTTTTCTCCATTGTAAAATTTAGATAACAATAATACCTATTTTATAGGATTGTTATAAAGTTATATTAAAGATCTTAAATAGTACCTGGAGAAATAAAGGACTCAATAAGAGTTACCTATTGACTTGATTGTTTAAAAAAATTTTTTTTTTAAATCCTCAGGAAGAGAAGGAGAGAAAACGTCTGAGAGAGGGAGAAAAGGAGGGGGAGAAGAAGAATGAGAGAAGGGGGGAGGGAAAGGGAGGTGGAGATGGAGAGGGAGAGAGACATCTACATTGATTGGTTACCTATTTTCCTCCTGACTGTTGCTGAGTCAGGCACCTGTGCTCTTGACAGGGCATTGAACCCAGAGCCCTTAGGTGTGCAGTCAGATGCTCTAACCACTTAGTAACACCGGCAAGGGTGAATCCTCAACCTTTTGCTCCAACCAATTGAGCTGGAATTATTTTTATTTTATATGTACATAAATTTTTTTCTGGTAAAAAGTTATTTCCCTAAGTGACTACTAAATATTTAACAGGAAAATGAAAATAAAAGTTATAAAAGTAATATATATAAATAATTCACAGTAGCAAGTAACTGTGTTTCTGAAGAGATGTGCGTAAATTTTAAAAAATTCAAATAATGTTAAAATATCACCCTGAAAGAATCTGCTATTTAAAGGAATAATGTTACAAAGCCTCTAAACATGGGGAAAATTTTTGTTATTAGAGTAAAATTCACATCCTATTAAGTTCTGTGTAATTCTGAACTTGTGCATATTATACATGACTGATTTAAGACAAATACATCTGCACGAGACCAACAGATTAATGTAAGGAGAAAGCTGATAGGGCAGCATCCACCTAAGGCAGGCCTGACCTGTGCCAGAGAAGAGGGCAAAGGAATTAGTTCTCAAGCCCCAGAAACACTCACCAGTGTCAAGCTTCTCTTCATGGTTTATTTCCATAACGACAAATTTCTCACAAACTGCAAAGGTTGGTAAAGTAGAAGAAATAAACTGGCCAAACCTTTAAGTATAAGGAAAAAAGGTTTATGAGTTTTATTCTTTTTTTCTCTCCCCAAAACAAGTAACAAAATATAAAAAAAAAACAAAAAACTCAAAAACAAAGAAATGAAAAACAGTGTTAAGTAATCTTTTACAGACCTTCAGGTATTCGCATTTGGTTTACCTTTCCTAGGACCATCGCTATAGCCACTATATAGGGTGGGCAAAAGTAGCATTACAGTTGTGAGCTCGCCAGTTTATTCTTGTATCATTATTTATTATTCTATTATTTTTCATACGAACTGTAAACCTACTTTTGCCCATCCTGTATATGTTACAATGCTTTAGTTATACTTTTCCAGAATTATAATGCACTAACCTAAATGATTTCACTAATCAAATAGCATGATCCTAATTAAAATGTCCTACAGAAACCAGTTTGGCTCAGTGGATAGAGCATTGGTCTGTGGACTGAAAGGTCCCACGTTCGATTCTGGTCAAGGGCATGTACATTGGTTGCGGGCACATCCCCAGTAGGGAGTGTGCAGAAGGCAGCTGGTCAATGTTTCTCTCTCATCGACATTTCTAGTTCTCTATCCCTCTCCCTTCCTCTCTGTGAAAAATCAATTAAAAATATATTTTAAAAAATAAATAATTAAAATGTCCTAACATCTATATGTATCCACTGTAGTTAAGAACTTAGGTTTTGTAAACACAAGTAAAGTTAAAATCCTGGCTCTATCCCATTTTTTAAAAAAATATATATTTTATTGATGTTGTACAGAGAGGAAGGGAGAGAGATAGAGAGCTAGAAACATCGATGAGAGAGAGTCATCCATCAGCTGCCTCTTGCACAACCTCTACTGGGGATATGCCCGCAACCAAGGTACATGCCGTTGACCAGAATCGAACCCGGGACCCTTCAGTCCCCAAGCCGATGCTCTATCCATTGAGCCAAACTGGTTTTGGCTCTATCCCATTTTTAATCTTGTTACTTGAGGAAGTAGCTTAACATTCCTGAGCCTTAGTTTCTAAATTTTGTAAAGTAGAGAAAACAAATGTGAATAATTTACATGTTATACAGATGAGATTAGTTTATTGGGAATACTCTAATAAGTAGGTGTGATTTCACTTGTGTCTGGAAGATTACATGAAAAGTGTTGATCAAGACCAGTTTAAGTAATTTTCTATTTATTTATTATTGATTTTTTACAGAGAGGAAGAGAGGGACAGAGAGTTAGAAACATCAATGAGAGAGAATCATCGATCAGCCGCCCCCTGCACACCTCCCACTGGGGATGTGCCCGAAACCAAGGTACATGCCCTTGACCGGAATCAAATCTGGGACCTCCCAGTCTGCAGGCCAATGCCCTATCCACTGAGCCAAAACGGTTTTGACAGTAATTTTCTATTTAGAAAATACTTTGGTTAGGTAGTTTTTTCCCTTCTTTTTTCAGTTAAGATGTGAATTATTATATAAACATTAGAATATTCTACAGACCATAAGTAGGCATTAAACCATATTTCAGATTATAATAATACTCACATTGTATAAAAGATTAAAATATGCAAAATAAAACGGCATCATTTGTTTTGAATGATAAAGAATAAATATAAAGGAGAAAGCATGTTCACTGTGTGTGTGTGTGTGTGTGTGTGTGTGTGTGTGCACACGCATGCACACAGAGAAGTAAGGATCGAGAATCCCTACACGGTTATGTTCAGGAAAATCAATTACATTGGGCTCATTCCTATATCTTTGCTCAGCAATATTCTATTAGCGGCAACAATTGGCTTTGTTTACCAAGGTCAGATACAAGACATGCATGTAGTCAGTGCCTTACAAAAATCTTGAACTGGATTAACATTACAGGTTTTATACAGGCCTAAGAACCAATTACAATAATCTCATTCATTTTAACCTCAGTGATATTTTCAGTTAATAAATAGACAAATACAGAAGTTTTCACTACCTGAGCAGATCATAGCTGCTAGGAAAACCTTGCAGTAGGAAGCTCAGCACATTACTAATAGCAGCAATGGTAGGCAGGGATAAAGACATATCTCGAAGAGTCAGTAGCAGCTTTGGGATTAGCTGGAATTCCCTCATTAATTTGGCATTCTTGGAAGCTTCACTGTAAGAGAAAGAAGACTATGCATTGTACTATCATTTCTTCAATAACTAAACAACTAAGTATATAGATATTAATGAATACCTGGACTCTGTGAGCAGTTCAATGAAGTGTTCAAATAAGGAAAGATGAAGTTCATATGGTGCATGAAGCCATACCTACAATAAAAATAAAGAATGTGATATATAGGGTAAAAAATACCCCAAATGCCAATCCCACAAGCAGAAATGCAGATGTGAAACTTATTTCACTCATTAATTGAATATAACCAATTTATTACAACTTTTATTTGGTGAAATCCTGTAAAACTGCTTGTACATATGATTTCTGATTCTGTTTATAAAGGAATAGTTGCTATGGAAATTACACTATTAGAGGGATCGACCGAAAAGGCAAGATCTAGGGAAAGTTTCTCTGGAATCAATGACTGAATACTAAACACAAAAACAGAATATAATGAATACTGAATACTATATAGTGAATACAAAGGCTGAATGACTAGGAGCTTGTGTGGGGTCCGAAACGAATTAACCAGTGTAAAGTAGTATATCACACAGTTTCTGGAACTCACAAAGCTGGGACTGGTTTACACTCCCATCTCCCAGAGTGTGGAGAATTCGTAATACATGGGGAACTGGCAATCTCAGTGTGGGGCTAAATTAGCATTAGATTAAAGGTTTTTCTATGCTCACCCTCAAAAAGCTTAAAAGTATATCTTAAGAGGATCAAGATAACTGCAATGCCAGAACAAAGTTCAGTACTCTTAAAAGAAATATAAATTATTAAAATAACCCAGAAATGACAGTGATAATGAAATTATCAGTACCTTAAAAAAGCTAATTAAAAATGTGATCAATATGCTCAAGAATGTAACAAAAAATATATGATGAAACAGAAGATAACCAAAGATCCAAAATTAACTTCTGACGAAAAAGAAAGTATTTAAAATGAAAACTATAGTCTATGAAATTAATAGCAGATTAAACACTACAGAAAAAAATTCAGTGCACTTGAAGACATAAGAATACAAACTAATCAAAATGAAGCATGAGAGAAAAGGCTGAAACTAGACAGAGCATTGGAGACTTGTGGGACAACATCAAGCAACCTCAGATATGTATAACTGAAGTCCAGGAAAGATGGGGAAGGGCACCAGGAAAATAGTTGAAGTAATAACTAAAAATGTCCCAATTCTACAAAAATGACCAACTCACAGATCTAAGAAAAGCCAACATACCCCCTCCACCCCCACCCAAAGAAGAAACTAAAAATGACAATTGGGTGATTAAAATCATTTAAGTAGGGAAAAAAATATCAGTTACAATTGTAGTGTATGCAAAAATATTCTTCTAAAAATAAATAAAGGCTTTTTCAGACAGAAAATTTATAGTTAGCAGATGGGCACTGCAGGAAATGTTAAAGGAAGTTCTTTAGGCAGAAGAATTATACAAGATGGGAATCTAGATCTACACAAAGGAATAAAGAATGCCATGCTATGTAAGTGGGAAACTATATATTTTTTTTAAAAAAATGTAAGTATTGTGGAGATTCTAAACATAATAGAAGTAAATGTCTGATAACAATAGAACTAAGAATAGGAGGGAGAAATGAAAGGATATCTTCACAAAGCTTACACTACAGGTAAAGATATCTAGATAACACTGTTACATGTATATGTATATTATATTATAAATTCTAGAACAACCACTAAAAGAGAAAATGCTTGTGTACTATTACAATTATTACATTTATATTTATCAAGTGGATGTTCTAAAAAGAGAGTGAAATAAGTAGTTATTTTTTATCACAGTGGTTGGGATAATTAGAAGTGCTACATAAAGTGAGCAAGGTAATATAAACAAAGCCAACATTGGTAAAGCACCTAGTTTCTGACTTTTGTATATTAGATTTATTTATTTATTTATTTATTTATTTATTTTTATCGCTGCAAAAAAGGTGCTGAGGCTTGAAGAGCAGGTGCTACTGAGGTCTAAAGAGCTTGGAGTGGCAACTAATTAACTCTTGTGTCTTCAGGTCATGAACAGTACTCCATGCCAGTTCAAGAGGCAAAACAGGCCAATAGGAATGCAGCATCTCTTATTTATTTCTGTATATTAGATTTTAATCAGAAGTCTAAAACTAAAGATAATTCATGATTTACGTGTCAGCCACTAGATGAAAACAAAACTAAGATTGGTTAAGTAGGTCTCCTTAGTCCTCGCATATTCTTTCTGCAGACCTTCATCTCTGTGCTTTCACAAGTTTTTAATTGTTTATTGATCTGTTTTTCTCTTCTAATGGATGAAATGCCTTCAGGCATGAACTTTGTCTTTACTTTCACAGCTTTAGCCCTAATATAATGGCAGGTTCAAAGATGCTCAATAGACATTTGCTAAAAGAATGAGAGGTTTGTGTTTTAGAACTTGATAGGGTAGGAAGGGGAAATCAATGCAAGCTTTTATTATTATTTTTTATAACTGATATGACTATGCTTTAGAAAGAATGAGATAGGTAACACAGGATAGCCTGAGGAACGATATAGCTACAGAACATACCTAAGGTGAGTGGTAAGGAGAATTGATTAGGGCTTAGAATCTATAGAACTTAACATCGAACTGTTTATAAACAGGAAGGAAGAAACTGATTTTTTTCAATTTCAACCCTTGGCGGCTGCAGGAATGGTGCTGTTAATAACAGAAACCCAAATGAGAAGAAAGAACTAATTTGGGGAAGAATGTTGAGCTAAGGTGTTGCTGGAACATAAAAATGGAAATGTTGAGCAATAAGTTAGGAATAAGTCTAGCATTCAGATGTCAAGCTAGATATTTAGATTTGAGAATCAACTCTGTAGAAATGAGGCTGAAGAAATGGGTGAGAATCTAAAGTGGTATTCGGCAAACTCATTAGTCAACAGAGCCAAATATCAATAGTACAACGATTGAAATTTCTTTTGAGAGCCAAATTTTTTAAACTTAAACTTCTTCTAATGCCACTTCTTCAAAATAGACTCGCCCAGGCCATGGTATTTTGTGGAAGAGCCACACTCCAGGGGGGGCCAAATAGCCGCATGTGGCTTGCGTGCTGCTGTTTGCCAACTACGGATCTAAAGGAAAGAAAGCAACAAACAAAGGAAAAGATAATGAAAGTGGACACAATTGTCTAAAATAATGAAAATGTCAGGCCATAGAATTATGGGGAAAGTAGTGAGAAAATGTAAGAACCAGGAGTGCTACCTGAAAGGAAGCAAAAGAATGAGGCAATGCAAGAGGGGAAAAGACTGCATCACATGCTACTGAGAGTTGTGGGTACTGAGAATTGGTATCCTCCTAATATGCAAATTGACTGAACAGCAGAATGACCGGTCACTATGATGTGCATTGACCACTAGGGGGCAGATGTTCAATGCAGGAGCTGGCCCCTGGTGATCAGTGCGCTCCCACGGAGGGAGTTGCTGCTCAGCCAGAAGCAGGGCTCAAGGCTAGCAAGCACAGTGGTGGTGGCAGGAGCCTCTCTCACCTCCATGGCAGCGCTAAAGAGCAGTGAGCAGGCAGGCGGTAAGGAGTGAGGGGTCCCAGACTGTGAGAGGGCACAGGCCAGGCTGAGGCACCTCCCCTTCCCTCCCCCCACCAACCCTCAGTGCTCAAATTTCGTGCATCGGGTATGTAGTATTATATAGAGCATATAGACCAGGCTGCTAACAAGCTTTTAGAATAAAGTTTTAGCGAAGCAATTAGGACACAGAGCCTGTTTGTCAAGGATTTAGAAAATGCTTACAGTAACTATGGGGAAGAAGAGTTAAGGCACAGGCATTACAGTTAGCCAATATTAAGAGCTTGGCTCCATTCTGGGAGGTGGGAATACAAAGAAAAAGAAACTAGATATGATCTCTGCATATACAGAGCCTACCGTCTCACAGGAGGAGATATATACTAGTATACAGGGTGAGGCTGAAGTAGGTTCATGGTTGCTCATATAGGAAATAAGACAATAACTAATAAATAATAATACAAGAATAAACTGTGTTTCATATACTTACAACTGTAAGGCTAATTTTGCCCCATCCTGTACTTATAAAACATATAATGATGTGTGCACCAAGTACTGAGAACAAGAAGTTAATGGGCAAAGGATATACAAGATTAAGCATTGCCTTGAGAGGAGAGTAGAAGTGGTTTATCGTAATAGGACAGTAGAAATGAAAACTTGTTATTCTGACAAAATGAATGATATTTTACTATGAAGCTACTATTTAACCAAAATTCCATATCTAGCTTCTATTTATTGATGAAAAGTTCATACGCCTCACTTAATGCCAGAGGCAGCAGCAAATTAACTACAGTTAAGGCACAGGCATTGTATGATTTCACTTCTCTACTGTTCATAAAATTGAATACCCTTGGGGAGAAGGAACTCTATCATTACCCTATTAGTCGTATTTATGAATGAAATTAACATAAGCATGATTTAACTATAGGACATATCTAAGAAACAAAATTGTTTAATAGTTAACTCTATTGTTATACAGAGTAAGAAATGGATTCACTGATTACATATTACCAGTCAGAATTCATGTACATACTTCAAAATCACAAAGTAGATCCTGGAAAGCAGTTGAATTGGGAATAATGGAGGTCTCATGTCCACTGTCAACAGTTCCCACCAAGGAAAAAGTTAGATGGAGAATATGGCTATTAAGAAGGGAACGTTTCTTCTTAAGTAGCATTGCCAGCAACTAAAATAAAGCACACCAAATGCTTATTATTAATCATACTACACATACAAACATAGAAACACAGGTACACACACACACACACACACACACACACACACACAATGGAGAACCCTATGTGAATTTCCTGAGACTTCTAGGCTGATCTCCAAATTTTTATTATAACAATGTAACATTAGAGAAAAACCTAAAAACCAGGGTAATCCCATTCTTTATGAAAATTTCTTCTTTCACAAAAACTTTGAATTTACATATAAATTTTTAAATTGTTGCTATCATACATATACAATTTGCTATTCATTTTTCTCTACATAACATTTATTAAAAAGATTTTTTCCTCTTGTTACAACATAGTCTTGATAATTAGAACTGTAAAAGGTTGAATGATAATCTATGGAATGTTTACAGTATTATTAGTCATTCTCATGTTCTTGGAACATTTCGGTTGCTCCTATTTTTTCATGATCAACAACGCTGCTATGAATCAATGTAAGAGTTTTGTAAAGCAGTGTGATTAAGTCTAGAGAACAGTGTAGTGAATAGTTTATCCATGCCCAATCAAATATTGGCTAAAGCTAGAAAAGGCTTTGGTACTTCACATATACTGCAATAATTTTATCTTACTCCAAATACCTGCTTTTCTTAAAAGTAACTTTCTACCTAAATCTAGTAGATTGTGAATATATGAACGCTGCATATTTTTAATCCCACATAAGTTTTCAGAACTAGCAATGGTACACTTACTATACAGGTTTACTAGGTAAACAAGGGGAGGTATAAAAGATGACTGGGTGTGGAGGGGAGAGATAAGGAAAATGGGGAGAGCTCTGCATCTATTAATGATCTGTCAGTCTCTAGAGCAGTTAGCATAACCCTGTTTCATTTCACTCTTGTTTTGAAAAGAAAAATAGTAAACCACTGTTCTGAAAACATACTCAAATATATCAAAGCTATACTGAAAAAACTTAGCCTAATTCAAAGGTTGAGTGATATTTGATGAGATACAGGAGAACAATGATAAACCAAAATAAAGATAACAACTCATTCTCACTTGAAATGTGTTAGTTTTAATAAGAACTACTAACTTTTAAAGGTGACTTGTCAATATAATTCTTCCAGAGTTTGAGAAAAATGAGAATAAAAATTAGTTTTTCCTTTTATGCAAGTAAAGCGAGAGCAAAGCTTTATGGTTACAAACCTGGTAGCCCCTGATTCTTTCCATCTCTTTGCTGGCCAGTGGGTTACTCTTGACCACACAAACCAGGGCCTTGACTGCTGCATAGAGCCCCTCCACATCAGAAGCCATGGCCACCAGGCCCAGGATGGCTGCAGCTCCCCCAATGTACTGCAAAGTAGTGGCAACAGGCTTAGGGACAAATGTTCTTACTCCTGATTAAAAGACAGTGGAAAAAAATTAAAGTCCCCATGTAAACAAGAATTGAATAAATCATCCTAAGAAGATCTAATTAATTATACATGCTATTAAAAAAACAACAACAACCCTTTAATCTGAAAAATAAAATTCTAAAAATAACCTTGAAGGTAGAGAATTTGGGAGAAGACAATAAACACATTTTAATCAGTGGGAGGAGAGAGGAAGCAAAGTAGCGAGCAGAGAAGAGCTTGGTTTGAGAACAAACACAAATGTTTATGTGGCTTTGCGCACCATAAGACTCAAACGCATAGAGGCTTTGGGAATGCATTTCGAGGTGAGTGAGAATGCTTCACTGGAAATTGCTGGGGGTTAAACTTGGAGAGAGCAAAAGCACTTCAACTCTGGAACTAGGCAATGGGATGGAGAGGCCACTCTTGAAAGATGACGTATTCCCTACAGGTAAGCCATGCAGAGCACATTAATGCTCATTACTCCAAGCTTCTCCCAGTTATGCAATCTGAGTTACAGAACATCAGTGACCCCAGAAGAGGAAAATTACATGGAAACACAGTACTGGATCTAACTTTATGTCAATTAAATTAAATTCATAGCTTTATTTAAAAAAAAAAAAAAGCATTTTTTGAATTTTATTTGCCCACTGATCAAGATTCAGATTTTTAAAAATAAAACTCATATGCATCTTATATTTCTATGTCCTTTAAAGTATTCACAATACTTTCATACCTTATGACACTGGATTTTGAAAACTACCTTCTAATGTAAGTAGGGCTAGTATTACTAGTTTAAGGATGAGTAATTTTAGCTCAAGGATCTGGCACAATGCCACATCCTGACAGAGCAGGGGCTGGGACCTCAAGTTTAGGGTTGAGGTTAGAGGGTTAGGGTTAGTTCAATCTGAACTCCTCAGTTACCGCTCTTTGTACCATACCACAGCACTGCTGTATTTTTGCAAAACACAGCACAGTGCTCAGCAAGGATTTGCTAAACTGAATAAAGAAAAACTACCATGTGCCTCAACATAAAGAAAACTCTTTTATCAAAGCAATACACGATCAAAATAGAAAAACAGGCATGTGCACATCACCAGGACAATAAAAATTGCCAAAGATCGATAAACATGTGATAAACATGTAGGATTCTGACTAGAACAACAGTAACTTGTTAACTATTCTTGTTAATCTAAAAAGGAACCACCAATACCAATATTATTAATTGATTTACAAATTAAAATATATAACTACTGGCTCTGAATTTTGGGTGGTCTGGTTGGATGTCTCAAGACTAACCAAAAAACAACTCTTTTTAAGCAGATATCAGGTACAAAGCTGTGCAGAATGTCCACTAGTTCTGACTTTTATTAGAGTTGGACTTACACTGCTTACACTCTGAAACTCTTATTTCTAGCTCATTTCCAAATAATAGGCACGCTTGAGTGCCACCACTGCTGCACCAACCCTGTAATAGTCATCAGTTTTTCCAAATCTTTACATCTGTCCCTAAATGTACTGTGACATTTACCTTGAAACTACACAGGAGAAAATAGTTAAGAGCTCATCAGTGCTGACAAAAAAGGAAAAGTTAATGAAATTTTAATGCAGTTATAATTTTAAACATTAACTGGAATTTGAGATGATAACTTTAGTCTCTAAACATTCCAAGAACATTACAGGTTACTTCTATAACTGATGAACCACCCCTTACGTGAGGAAGTGAATGTATATGTGAAGGTAAATAAAGAAGATTGGAATATCAAAGATGATTTGACTCACCCAAGTATCCAATCAGAGTGGCCCCAATTGTCCGTGCAGGCCCATTGAGATGTCCTGCTGCATTGTGTATCAACTTCACAGGAGTGGCATTCTCGTGGGAGGAAATGCCTAACTGAAGAATAGGAAAGGAAAAAAAATGTAACTACAGAAGAACAGCCTGAATATTTTTCTTATTAAAGTATCATTGACATACACTATTATATCAGTTTCAAGTGTACAACATACTGATTCGACATTTCTATATCTTACAATGTGCTCACTACTCTAATAACCATGTGTCACTGTGAAAAATTACTCACTATTATTTATTATACTAGAGGCCTGGTACACGAATTTTGTGCACGATGTGTGTGTGTGTGTGTGTGTGTGTGTGTGTGTGTGTCTCAGCCCAGTCTGCACTCTCTTCAATCTGGGACTCCTTGAGGGATGTCCGACTGCCTGTTTAGACTCAATCCCACTGGTAAATATATTCACATACAAACCTCTGCACAATAGTTGTTAATACTTTCTGTTCCCAAGTCCTTTCCTTCAGTCTCTTGATTTCCTTCCCCTAGGGCTTTGCCTCCCCTCATCAACCAAAACAGCTTATCAAGCTCACTGAGGACGACCATCTTATGAAACCCAATGGTCATACTCTTAGTTTTCCTCCTTTCTTGCTGGCTGCTGCTCCTTAGACTTCTCAGCTGGCTCTGCTTCATCTCTCTAACTCCTAACACTGGACCATCCCAGGCTTCAGACTGAAAACTTTCCTCTTCTCTACTTACGTCTACACTTTGGTGAATGAACCTAGTTTCATGGCTTGCTTTTTTAAAGTTTTGTTTTGTTAATCCTTACCCAAGGATATTTTCCCCTTTGATTTTCAGAGAGTGGAATGGAGGGAGGAAAGAGGGAAGAAAGAGGGAAGGAGAGACATCGATGTGAGAGAGACTCATCAATTGGTTGCCTCCCATACATGCCAGGGACTGAACCCTTGATCCTTATGTGTGTGGGTGAAGCTCTAACCACTGAGAAAAATTGGCCAGGGTCCTAGTCTTATGCCTTTAAATACCATCTGTGACCACCGGGACAAGTAAACCTCTCCCCTCACTTCAGATTCCTATGTCCAATGGGCTCTGATAGCTTCAGTAGGATGTCTGATATGCTTCTCAAACATCTCCAAAACATAATTCTCAATACCCCTCGCCTCCAAAATATTACACTTCATGTAGTTTTCTCCAAATCAGAAAAAAATTGACTTCATTTTTCTTGTTCTTAGAGCAAAATCCTTGAAGTTATTGTTTTCTCACAATTCATAGCCAATCTGTCATCAAAAACTATTAGCTCAATCTTCAAAATATACCTCAAATCTGATCATCACTTCTCATCATAGCCACTGCTATCACCCCATTCTGTCCATCATCATCTCCCATATAAATTATTATTACACTGGCCTCAAAACTCATCACCCTGCTTCTAACTTTATATCCCTTCAATCTATTCTCAATGGGAAGCACAGTAATCCTGGTTAAAAAGTCATAATATTTCATTCCTTTGTCTAGAACCCTATAATACTTCCCATCTCACTCAGTTTAAGCCAACGCTTTTACAAATACCTATAAATTCTAAACAATATAGTCCCATTCCTCTCTGCATTCCTCTGCAGTCACTGTGCTCTCACTACATGTGCCTCTGCAGCAGGCACACACCTTCCTCATGGCTTTAGTGCTTGTATCCCGCAATACAAGACCCCCACCCTATACTGACAGCCCATCCATTCTCCATGTTCTCACTGTTTGCTGCCTCATCCCTTTCCAAGCCTGTTCAAATTTCACTTCAGTGGGGCCTCCTCTGGCTTTCCTATTCAAAACTATAATCTTATCTCTTTCCCCTTCCCTACTTTAGCACTCTTTCACCTTCTAACATACTCTATCATCAGGGTATTTGTTACTGTTGTCTGTCTCTTCCAAGAGAATGAAAGAACTATAAGGGCAGGGATTCTCTTTCCCATTGATGTGTGCTAAATAAAATGACGCACATAGAAAAAAGCCTTAAGTTGTAGTCTTAGAAAAAGCAATTGTCTTCTTTAGTTTTCTAAGCTCAATTTCTCAAATTGGTAATAAAAACCTAAGATTATAAAGCATCCACTTAGAAGGCATTTCTTACTTTTCCAAATTAAGCTAATATCTAAATAGGTTTTGGATTAAATCCAAAGGCAAAGAAACCAAATATAAATACACAAAAGGCACCATTTCAGCACCTGCTCAGACTTAGGCAGTGCTCATGACTAAGCTCTGAAACTTCTTTCCAGGAAGAATTCATCCCAGCTCACCGGGAAATCATTGTGCTCACCTGCTTAGCGATGGCTTTGCTGTCCAACTTGTTGTACACCTTCCGGATTCTTGCCACTGTCAGGGAAGACACGGAGAGTGCATAGAGGCCAAATGACACCTTTTCCTCTGGCACTAATAACACAGGAGATGGCACTATGCCTTCAGATTTTGCATCTTTACCTTCAAAAGAAAAATAATCCTTTCAAAATCATTATTCTAACAAGAATTTTAGTCTTCTTATCATTCTTAAATCAGCAAACTTGAAAATCTTTTAAAGTGGAACAAGAGAACTAAATTGAAAAACTTTTATTTAATTTTCAGCTCTTCATTTCTTTAATTAGGAAACAGGGAAATCACCTAGTCACAGAGCTTTTCATTCCAAGTTTCACTCTAAAAATATACTTAACATATAACATAATGCAAAAAGTTTTAATTATTATTAAATAAATCACAAAACCCATCCCCCAGGGTCAAAGAAAAAGAAAATGAAAATGAGTGAAATGTCCATGAGCTTTGGGCCCGAGCCTCCTCCCCAAGGAGTGCCCTCATCGCTGCTTCTCTGTACCCTTCTAAACAGCACAGCCGAGTATGTAAGATGGGTTAAGTTTGAATCTCTGCTACATCACTTAAAAGCTGTGTGAGCTATATATCCCTGTGCCCCAGTTTCCTCATCAGTAAAATGGGGATGAACAACTGTACCTAACTCCCAATATTCTGAGGAGATAAGACTCAGAGCAGCTATATCTTTCAGGAGAAATAACTTATTCAGCACTTAAGTGCTCAATAAGTGTTAGCTATTATGATACTATCTAAATCAAAACATGAGCAAAAGACAAATGACTTAGCCACAGGATTATCACCATGTACAATACTATATACTTGTCCTAACTTCTGAGTACCTTGGTAGATGAGAACAGGAGATGGAAGTCATTTGGAAAGAATTTGACTCTAAATTCTTTTTGGGAGAAAGGATAACAGAAAGTACACAGCAGCAGTAAAGTGATGAGAAAAATTGATGTTAACTGCTCTAACTTAAGGAATATATATGTGTGTTTTCTGGACCCATCATTCCTTCCTTTAACAAGAATAGACACACTTTAAATTACTTCATGTAATAGGAGAAATAACAGAAAGAGGAGAACTCTGAGGTTAGACTTTTAATGAGGATATACATCTATATCCTAGAGCCAGTAAGAGAAACAGGAAAATTAGTGATCAGGCATGAAGAAAAAATCAGGAAAGTACATTGTGATCAGTGGAGGAGAACACGGTGAAGAGGAGTGAGTTGTCAACAGTATCATTCTGAAGAAAAATAGAGAAGATCCCTCCCCCTTTTTTGATAAACTATGTGTAACCTATATACACACATGCACTTTATTCATGCATCTACACTTTAGTAGTTAAGTTTTATGAAACTTTAAGAAGAAAGAATAAGTTACTCACATGGCATACATACAGCCTGAAAACTTCCAACATAATCTGGTCCTAGTTCATAAATGGTAGTGACACTTGAAGGAGGTAAAACTTCTTCCAAAAAATGTATGGGTCCTAGTCGCCAAACCAGCGAAGCAACTTGGCGTTGGGCAGGTGGAGTACCAATGTATGCATAGACTGTGCTGACCACAGGAGGATTTACGGAACCTGAACCCCCAGGTGTACTGTGAACATAATGAAGCTGTAAAGAAACAAAAGTAAGTGTGTGAGCTAAGACACACACACACACAAACAACTTTTCCCAGGAAAATAAGCATTTTTGCTGTACATTTTCATTATCCCAAGTTCGTACAACCTTATAAACATACCAAAACTATTGGGTTGAGAAGCATAAGGGAAAGCCAAGATTTTGGACCCTAAAGTGAAAGTTGGAAATGAGTTATCCAACACCCAATACAGATACACAATCTAATGCTAAAAAGGCAATAACCTGGTTGGTTTACATATCAAATTAATTATGTGTCTATGACATTTTTGGGTTGATATAAAAAGTTTTCCAACTATTGAATTCAAATAGACTTAAATTAGCTGTTACCTTCAATGTGAGTGTTTTCATAAAATTATTCATGAAAAGTTTAATAATGGGTAAAGTGCTATTAAAATATTAGAAAAATGAATAGTCTATTATATGTTATAATTTATACAAACACACACTTTAATCTCAATAGAAAGTATTGTACATTCTCAGATTCAAAGTTCTACTACTGTTTACTGACATGTTGATCAAATTACCATTCAATTTGTTTATAATACATAGAATATAAGAGATAATGAAATAAAGTTGCATCTTATTGTGTGAGCAGCTTTCATCATTTCACAGAATGAGGTATATTTGTCCCAGTTTCAGATAACATCTATTACTCCACACGCTAAAGAACAGTTCTTGGTATTGTAAATAGTAGTATGAATGTGAAGACCAACACATGAACTATCGTTGGCTTCCAGGACTCTGGCTTCTCATAGGCACAACGATGATGATAATGTAGGTATATCAATAATGAATCTCCTCTTTCTCAATTTTAGAAGCTGAGGACATTCTTATGATATTAAAAATAATGAGGAGCAACCTACTAGAGAATCTACAAACCCATTTCAGATGTAGTAGTGTATACAAAAATAAAAAAGACTATTCTCACAGAGAGCATTTTAGCATTTATCCTCCTGACACATGATGCCAAAATAAAGTACCATGTAGGAAATATATTCAAGGAAGCTGCTGATTTCACTACCTTTTAAACATTAATTCACATTAAAAGACAAACTTTGCCTTTACTACTTCTTTCAGTTGATATCTCTACAAAAATGGGCATTAACTTTTAGAAATTAAAGAATTTTAAGTGTTTGCTAGTTGAGTTCTATAACGAGTATCTAGCAGTCTTTATTCTGATTCAAAAAAAGAAACTTCTGATTCTTTACTGGTTAACACACCTCTCTTGCCTCTCTCCTGGGACTAATCTGGGTGACCTGAAAATAAAGATGAATAAAAACAATTCCAGCTCTAAAGAATATAGAACCTACTGGCTGCATACAATAATAACAAAGATGTGACAAAAAAAAGTGTGCTCATAATTTATTTAGGCATCCTTCAATTGGTTTCTCTGTTGTGAAAAAGCACTCTGCAGTCTGGCTCAATCACTGACATATTCATTAATTCTTTATTTTGTAACCTCTCTTTTCCATTCTTCTTGAATGAAGTGATAGGAACTAGCCAGCCACATGACTCTAACATATTGTTCAAATACAAGTCCAATTTAAAATTAAGACAATTTAAAAAAAATAGTACCCCTGCAAACACACATACACACAGACACCCTAAACCAGGGGTCTTCAAACTTTTTAAAGTGGGGGGGGCCAGATCACGGTCCCTCAGAGAGCTGGAGGGCCGGACTATATGAACTACTAATTCCTACTGTAACACCTCGGCTGCGCTCACTGCCCAAAAAACCTGGCGGGACGGATCAGACTCCTCTGCGGGCCACATGTGGCCCACGGGCCGTAGTTTGAAGACGCCTGCGAGTCTAAACTATCTTGTAAAGCAGGTTGAGCTTTCCAAGTGCAGGGACACTCACCTTCACAGTGCTGACAAGCTGTCCATCGATGTAGAGGGCCACGGTGCTGTTCTTGAGCATGCCTTTGCTCATCACCAGAACCAGATGATGCCACTGCCCCTCGACTATTAGTTCTCCACATCGAAATCGAGCACAGCATGGGAGAATCTCATAAAAAGAGGATTCTTCACTAAAATCATCAACTAAGAAATTAAAAAAAAAACACTCAACATTATCCTCATTCTAACAATTATTCATATCTAGATCTTGACTGTTAAAATAATATGATGACAATGTAAATGAAAATATCCTATTTGTTCAGTAACTTTATCTGTAGTAAAAAACAAAACCTGAGATATACTTTGCTTTCTTCTCAAAATACATGTAGTTAAAACCAAAGTTATAATAACTAAGGAAATAAAAATAAATAAGATGAAAATGACAATAAAATACATTTATGATAGACAACAAAAAAAGACTAGCTATCTAAAGGCTCTTTATAAATTCTACCTTGACATACATTTGATTATAGCATTGGTTAGAAAAAAGACCAAGAAGATTTAAAATTATATTCTTGCTATAGGCTCTGCTCAGTGATGCAAGGGGGCAACTATCTGTTCTTCATTTGTGTGTGTACAGTCCTGACCCTGACCTGACAATAGCTGGTAGTAAGATAATTTATGGAATGGAAAAGTATTTGGTGATCCAAGTACTCTACTTCATTGGATAATTCTGGTGATTTGCTAACATTCTGCAATCACTTCCTGACTCTAACCTGGCTTCTCTCTGATACCCAAAATAACGCCAGATTGTACTAGAAAATAACATATTATTAATTTAACTGTAATGTTAATTGATATTAATATACAGTTCCTAACTATTCAAGAAGGGGAGGGAAACAACAGAAATCCAGATGTTAAAACCTTATTCCCCCCTCAATTTTTTTTTTTTTGTAAAAGAGCTAATCTGTAACCATGTAACTTAAAGCAGACCCACCATTTTTCAGTACAAGCAAAAGAGACCAGTAAATATACTGGAAGTTAAAACTTTAATATGCAGAAAGAACTATAAATAAAATGTTAATTTTTATTTTTAAATCTTAAAATATCTGCATATGCTGAAATGCCAGTTCAGAATATACATCTATTAATGAGTTAAGACTACTACAAAGACAGAATCTTCTCCACAGGTGACCTAATTTAGGAACAGAATTAAATAAACTAGGCGAAAAGCAGGGTCTAGATTTGAAAGGATGTGAAAAAAGAAAACCCAAAGTATAGGAAAAACCAGGAGCTTTCCCCTCTCCCTACCCTCATTTAATAGACTACATCTTCTTGGGGATTATAGAAAATACTGGAGGCCCCATGCACGAAACTTGTGCATGAGTGGGGTCCCTAGGCCTGGCCAGAGATCAGGGCCTATTGGGGCCATCTTGCCTAGTATTGATTGGGGCTGGGCTGACTGGGGCCTGCAGGAGTGGGGGGAGGGACAGGAGGGACCAGGGGAAATTGGCTGGCCATGGAAGTTGGCTGTGGGAGCTCACTAACCAACAGGGGCTGCTCCTGAGTTGAGCGTCTGCTCCCTGGTAGTCAGTGCATGCCATAGAGACTGGTCGATGGGTCATTCCCGTCATTTGGTCATAATGGTCGCTTAGGCTTTTCATATATATATATATATATATATATATAGACTAGAGGCCTGGTACACGATTTCATGCACAGGTGGGGTCCTTCTGGGTGACCTGCCAGGGATTGGGCCAAACCTGCAGTCCAACGCCACCTGCAGCTCCTACCTGCTGCTCCTGCTCATCCCAGTTCTACTGTGTCTGCCATGGGCTTGTGCCCAATCAGTCCCAATCGATCGAGAGGCTTGCACTGCTGCAGCAGTACTTGCCAGCCATAAGCTCTGCATCTGGCATCTTCCCAAGGGGAGTGGCCTATCGGATCAGGCTGAAACCCGCTCTCTGACATCCCCTGAGGGATCCCAGGTTGTGAGAGGGTGCAGTCCAGGCTGAGGGACGACACCAGAGTACGATTGGGCCAGGGAGGGACCGCAGGAGGGCTCCAGGGCATGTCCAGCCCATCTAGCTCAGTTCCGATGAGCCGGACCCCAGCAGCAAGCTAACCTACCGGTTGGTGCATCTGGCCCCTGGTAATCAGTGCACATCATAGCGACTGATCGACTGGTTAACTATCTGCCTCCTGGAGGTCAGTGCATGTCACAGTGAGCAGTTGAGCAGCCATAGCATATCATTAGCATATTATACTTTGATTGGTTGTTTGGTTATTCTGCTGTTTGGTCTATTTGCATATTACCCTTTTATCATATAGGAATACTTTTAAAATTTTTTGAGTTTCACATTCTGACTCAGGTTTAAACTAAGACATACCCAGTATTCAACAGTATCAGGATATCTTGGTGAGCCAACTGGTTTATGACAATTCTTAATTTCCTAGGCATCTTGTTGGGGTTTCAGATGTTCAGAAGATGAACCCTTGTAGTAGCAACATCATATGTATATGTTGATATAATTTCTAGTGATATATGAACTATAGTAGTCTTGCAAATTACATTTAGTGAAAATCAATAGAGTTAGAAAACACTTTTCTGGTTTACTGAAACATCCCTAGATCTACTCCTTAATTTTCCAATTAAATTCTACCCTCTTTCCAAATTCCTCATTCTCTTTCCTCATTGTTTCCCCTTCAAACCATTCATATTCCTTTTATTTTTCTTCTCACTCATTCTTTTGTATTTTTAAATAATACCTGTTGGCTTCCTATGTGCTAAGTGCTGCTTTAGGTAGCAGGCCACCTAGATTACCAAAATTGTAATGTTGTATATAGAAACTTAGAATTCTTGTAAGGTAGATAGAAAAAAACAAAGTAAATATTTAAAATTTATTACAGCCAGGTAAATATAGAATATTAAAGAAGGGCTATGGCAGTGGGCATAAGAAGGGAAAAAATTTCAAGAAATATTAAGGATACATAATACAGGAACACTTAGTGAAAGAGGTGGTATTTTCAAGGTAGACATGAGGGTTCTGTCTGGTAGTGGGGGTATCATTTCACAAGACAGGAGAATAGAAGGAGATGCATGTTTTATAAAACAGAAACATTACAGTGAGTTGTTTACAGGAAGGCTCTTCGTATGAAGATATCTAATATGCAGTTGAAATATAAAAATCCTAGGACACAGACATATAAAAATTTTACTCCCTGAGTCCCTGGGATAAAAAGACCTAAAGATTTAACACTAACTGAAATTGATGATTTTTTTTTCTCTCATGAAGAGCAGGTTGAATATGAAGACTAATGAGGAAACCTTGGGCAATACTCATCTTAAGGGAAAGATGGAAGAGAAAGCTGTTGAAGAACACTGCAAACGGGTCAGAGAAATAGTGAAAGAACAAGTATCCTAAATTACAAGACTGGACACAGTTTTAATTAAGATAAAACTATCAACAGGATCAAATGCCAAGAAAAAGGCAAATAAAGAGTCCTAATAAGAACTTTAAAGCAGTTACTGCAGTGATGCCTAACTCTGTACTAGTCATGATGAAAAATACTAAGTAAAACAAGAAGCCTTACAATCAAACTGAGAAGCTAACATTCATATTCAATTAATATTTGAACACCAACCACATGTGAAGCAATACGTGACATTTTATTTATTTAGTTAAGACCAAATTAGATGATAAAACAAGGTATATTTTTATACAAATGCTTATAATCACAGCAAAAAAAATTCAGTAAACTGAGATGCATATTTTATGTTATTTACATAATTTAGAAAGCTCTTCACGCATGTCTTGAGTTTGAAGTTCCTCTGTATAACAATGTACTGTTATGGCGTGTGGAAGGGAATTATGGAGTGGTATGTATTAAGTCTTGAAGGTAAGTGATGGATAAAGTAATTTAAGTGTTATTATGTCTAGCACAGTGACACATATGGTAGGCAGGTGCTCAATGAATAGTCATTAGTTAAGCAGAATTCACAGCCAATGAAGATCCTTACTAAAATATACCAGACAAGGAACCTGCTTTCCCTGCACAGGCTATGCTTTTCTTGGCAAGTAGAGATGAATCCTTATTTTAGGGACACTCTCCAATGCTTTCTAAATCTCTTTTAAAAGTGCCTTAAAATTTACAGGTAAACAATACATGCAAGACTTCATATATCCTGTTCTATTCTATAATAATCTAAATGGGAAAAAATTAATATTATAATAAACTTTAATACTTTTAATGATCACAAGAAGCATAAAGGAAAAGACAGATACTGACCATAGTTCTGGAGTAGCTCCTCTTTGGTGGAAACAATCAGAGATCGGTCTTTTGCTGACAAAACTATTGCAAGGCACACGTAATGCTGCTCAGAAGAATTTGCTCGGCGCACAACAGTCAGAAATCTGACAGGATGGTTATTTGGAGGAGAACTAAAATGTTCAACACAAAACCAGGTAGAGTAGCTTAAGCCAGAGGGAGGAGGAAAGAATCTTTCACCTACAGTAAAAATAGGAAAATAACAATAAAAGTTTATGTTGAATCATGTATACATAAAAAAAAATAGCAACAAACTCTAAATACAATATAATCTACTAAAAAAAGGACTCGTAAACAAAAGAAGTAATATTTACCAGAACCAATGCCGCTGACCACAGCCCCATCAGTAAGACCTGTTGTAACAGTACTGTTTGTAGGGGCATTATGAGGGGCCAAACTGGGCAGGAACAGGCAGCTATTAAAGAAAAGATGACATACATATTAGAGATCAACTTTTTCCTATGTTATCACTATGCACTCACCACTGTGAAATAAACTGCCATTTCTTAAGGGGTATGGAGGGATAAAAGATCGTGGAATAAATCTAGGTGCTTAACAAAGTTTTTCCCTTCTTTTAATTCTATGAGTATGGAAGGATATACTTTATAAATCTCATACAGTGCCCTGGTCAGGTGGCTCAGTTGGTTGGAGCATTATCTCCTACACCAAAAGGTGGCAGGTTTGATTCCCCTTCATGGCACATACATAGGTTGTAGGTTCAATCTACGGTTGGGGTGTGCATGGGAGACAATCAATCAATGTTTCTCTCTCTCTCTCTCTCTCTCTCTCTCTCTCTCTCTCTCTCTCAAAAAGCAACAAAAACATATTCTTGGGTGAGGATTAAAAAGAAACATAAAATCTTCAATAGCATCCTTTGACATTTTAATTTAAAAAAAATAAAAGTATACTATGCATATGGTAAATGTAACAACATATAACCCTGTTCAAGACCTTGGGACAATTTTATTACCATCAAAAAACTCTCTGTGCTTTGTCCACTGAGTCACTTTTCTATAACAACCATTCTGATTAGTTTTGTCTATTACCAAATGTGCTTGAATCCACTATTCAATAATAATCTATGACAATTTTCTTAAAATACAACTTATAGTTTTAGATCAACGTATAACAATCCCACAAATAACTTGTGTAGACGTAGATCTGTTCTATTAGCATCTGTGTCCATTTCAAGGCTGATGGACTTTATAAACTCTTCTAGATTCTCTATAGATTCTTTACTATTGCTTCTGCTACTACAACCTTTTCTGCCAATTGAAAAAATTTAAGAATATGATGTGATAGTCACTGAATATTTATAATGTATGAGATACTAAGATAGGTATTTTGAGGGAAAGGATAAAACTCAAAGAACTTTTAATCTTATTTTAATTTGCATATTATCCATAAATGTATTATGTTAAATTAGAGGCTAGTAAACATTTTCTGGAAAGGACTAGACCATAAAGATTTTACTCTCTGCAGACCAGATAGTCTCTTTCACAACTATTAAACTTCACCACTGCAGTATAAAAACAGCCACAGACAACATATAGATAAATGAGTGTGGCTGTGTTACAATAAAACTTTATTTACAACAAAACAAAATTTACAAAACATATTTAAACTTTGGACTGTAGTTTGATGACTCTAATACCATATAAAGTTATCCAGTATAACAAGTGATTTAAGGAGAAACCAAGATGGAGGCACAGGTAAACACCTGAAATTGCTGCCTCACACAACCACTTCAAAACTGAAACTAAAAGACAAAGTGGACATCATCCAGAACCACAGGAAGGCTGGCTGAGTGGAAATTCTACAATTCGAAGGAAAGAGAAAAGTACACTGAGACTCAGAGGAGGTGTGGAAATAAAGTGCAAAGGTATGGAGTTGCGCGCGTAGAAAGGGCTGGCAACTGAGGACACAGTTGTCTTTTGCAATTAGGAGGGAGACACATGCTCCCCACTGCTCTGAACTCCAGTTCCGGGTGAGACTCTGGGGACCCAACTCATACGGGGAGAAACTGGACTGTCTGGCAGCAGGCAAAACTCGAGGGCAGCTTTCTCTCAGAGGCGCTTGCAGTGATTACCTCTGGACACTGAGACCCAAGACCTCTTAAGGTTGAGCTGAGGATCAGCCACAGCTGTTTGCTCTCCCCTGTTAATTCCCTGAGACCCTATCCCACCCAAAGGTTTTTGCATATGAATGGCCTGGCCCTTTGCAATCTAAAATTACCTAACAAACTGCAGCTAGGTCAGACAGACTCAAAACATCCAAAAGAAGGGCCAAGGCCCCTCAGTAGCTTGCACTGCTTCACAGCTGAGTCTCATCTGGGTACCTCCAAACCCCAAACAAAGAAGAAGAATCTGAAGATCTCTCCATAACTCCTGCTAAATTAGCACTTCCAGAGATCCAACAGCCAATGTACCCAGTGGTCAAAGTGGGACCATCCAGATTACAACTCTTCAGATCCATAAGGTACACACTCAGGGGGCAGACTCAGTGAGCACTAAAGCCCCACTGAAGCAAGTCATATCCCATAAGGGTGTCTCCAGCACAGAAGTTCTCCCATCGTAGACACTGCTGATTCTCACAGCCAATTGGCCTAGAGGCCAATTCCTCACAGTGATACCAACAACAACAATCAAGGCTTAAGTACAAGACTGTGCACAAAGCCCACAAATGGGTGCACCAAGAGTGCCCACCTCAGGTAACTGGGGAAGCTGAGGCACTGGGCCCTATAGGACACCTAGCACACAAAGCCACTCTATCAACAAAGGGAAGCAGCCAAAATGCAGAGACAAAGAAACTGGTCCCAAATAAAAGAAATTGAGATAAGAAAATTACCAGATATAGAGTTCAAAACGATTATAAGATTTTTCAAGAATTTTCTAGAAAAGGCTGATAAATTTAGTGAGACCCTTGAGGATATGAAAAAGGACCAACTAGAAATTCAGTATACACTAACTCAAATAAAAAATAATATACAGAGATCCAACAGCAAATTAGAGGATCTGAAGAATCAAGTCAAAGATTTGAAATATGAAGAAGCAAAAAACACCCAACTGGAAAAGCAAAAGGAAGAAAGAATCCAAAAATATAAAAATAGTGCAAGGAGTCTTGGGGACAACTTCTAGCATACCAACATCCAAATTATGGGGGTGCCAAAAGAAGAGAGAGAGCAAGATATTGAAAACCTATTTGAATAATGACAGAAAACTTCCTCATCTGGTGAAAGAAAGAGACTTACAAGTCCAGGAAGCGAAGAGAACCCCAAGCAAGAGGAATCTAAAGAGGACCATGCCAAGACACATCATAATTAAAATGCCACGAGCAAAAGACAGAGAGAGAATATTAAAAGCAGCAAGAGAAAAACAGTAACCTAAAAGGGAGTATCCATTCGACTATCAGTTGATTTCTCAACAGAAACTATGCAGATCAGAAGGGAATGGCAAAAAATATTCAAAGTGATGAATAACAAGAAGCTACAACAAAGATTACTTTATCCAACAAAACTATCACTCAGAATTGAAGGGCAGATAAAGAGCTTCACAGGTAAGAAAAAACTAAAGGAGTTCATTAACACCAAACCAATATTATAGGAAATGTTGAAAGATATTCTTTAAGAAGAGGAAAAAGAAGAAAAAGGTAAAGATAAAAACTATGAACAACAAATACATATCAATCAACACGTGAATCTAAAAATCAAGTGAATAAAAAATCTGATGAACAGAATAAACTGGTGAATATAATAGAATCAGGGGCATAGATAGGGAGTGGATTGATAATTCTCAGGGGAAAAAGGGCGCAGGGGGATGGGGAGGAAGAGATTGGACAAAAATCATACACTTATGGATGAGGACAATGGGGGGGGGGGGTCGAGGCAGGGGTAAGGGCAGAGGGTGGGATGGGAACCTGGTGGAGAGGAACTATGGGGGGGATAAAAGAGGAACAACTATAATAATCTGGACAGTAAAGATTGACTTAAAAAAATAAGTAATATAAAATAATTTATAATAAGTAATTTGAAATAACAAATAATCAAGAAGGGCTGAACTAAATGAGCACTATGTTCTTTTCACAGGGCTTTACTCTTCCCTGATTCTCTAGCAATGGTCACTCCAATCCATCAAAACAAATACCTTATCACTGTGGCTAACAATACCAAATAAATTATAAAGCAAAAAACCAACAAAACTACTCTTAACATGATCAAGAACTCAATAATTTGAAACTGAACAGTATATAGTATATTTTAAATAGATTTAAAACCAAAGATCTATTTGTCAAAGGCAAGTATGAATCATAAAATACCTAACAAGGCTTGGCTACCTTGTAAATTCCTTACCCAAACCCTTCAAGGGATGTGTCAAATTCAACAAAAGCTGGAGTAACTGATGACCCATGAAGTCTGATGTCATGTGGAGTTGTCATGGAGACCAGACACTTTACCCTGGTCAGGGGTACAGTGCTTCCTTCTGCAGATTTTACCAGGCTCTTGCTAATCCGATAGTGGTTATCTTCATGTAAGCTGAAAACATTATCAGAACCCAGACCTTCCATAGACATGATTAGACTACCTGTAAGTCAAAGAAAATTTCTTTGCAAAAATATCGTGTAGTTTTCTAAAATAATGACTTTACAAGGCTGATTTATTTTTAAATACCTTCAGTTTTTATCGTTAATTAAAAATTTTATTATAAACATCAGTTTTAATGTACTACTTTATGTTCATTTTAAAACTTAAATAGCCCATGTTTCCTTCTTTTACATATTACTTAAGAAATAAACACATTGTATAAATGTTGGGCCAAAACTGGTTTGGCCTGTGGACTGAAGGGTCCCAGGTTTGACTCAGGTCAAGGGCATATAATTTGGCTGCAGGCACATCTCCAGTAGGGCATGTGCAAGAGGCAGCTGATTGATGATTCTCTCTCATCTCTGTTTCTAACTCTCTATCCCTCTCTCTTCCTCTCTGCAAAAAAAAAAAAAAAAAAAAATCAATAAAATATATTTTAAAAAATATATCCTATCTAATAAAGAGGGGATATGCTAATTGACCATCACAACAATGTTGGTGCCCACAGCCAATGAGGAGGGACTATACTAATTGACTGCCCTGCTCACAAAGATGGTGGCGCTCAGTCACAAGATGGTACTGCCAAGTTCCCTCAGCCCTGCTGGGGTGCCTGCCTTGGGAGTCCCCAAGTCCTCTCAGTCCCCCAGCCACCCAGGGCCAGCCTGAGGCACAGGGAAGCCTCAGATGGCAGCAGCCCAGCCACCCAAGGCTGCCCAAGGCTCAGGTAACCAGGGGTGGCCGAGGTTTGCACTTCCGGCAGTGGCAGCAGCAGAGGTGTGATGGGGCGTAGTCTTCCCCTGATCGCTGGGTTGTATCCTCCCCTGAGGGCTTCTGGACTGTAAGAGGGGGCAGGCTGAGCTGTTGGATGCCCCCTCCAGTGTTATGAATTTTCATGCACTGGGCCTCTAGTAATTTAATAATAAATTATGGTTAATGGTATTTATAAAAATCTGATATACTTTTATGTCAAAAAATTATTTATTACTGAGGCCCAGAGCACAAAAATTCATGCACTGGGGCGGGGGGTGGGAGTGAGGAGAGGGATCCCTCAGCCCAGCCTGCACCTTCTCACAGTCCAGGAGTCCTCAGGGAATGTCCTACTGAGAGGGCCTAAGCCACAGTATGGCCTCCCTCTGCAGGAGGCAACCTGGCTGAGCAGGGGACACCACAGCTGTCACCAGCCTTTCTCTGTGGGATTGGCTGGCACTACTCACATCACCCTGTTACCGCTAGCATCCCACTGTGGCCACACTGGTGGCCTCTCTCTGCGGAAGGCGACTGAGCAGGCCCCAATTGCCCCTCCACCACGGCTGGTCACCACCCCTTCCCCTGTTCCATTGCTGTTCTCTCCCTCTGCCTGCTGGGCAGTGCCTTGGCTGGCCTGGCACAGCCTGCTCGCTGGCCCAGTCCCCCACCAATTGGTTATTCTGCTGATTGGCCAATTTGCATATTATGTTTTTATTATACTGGATTTCTTTTTGAGAAAAAAAAAACACACACAAAATATTCTAGAAGCATTATATGAAAAAACACACACACACACACACACAACAAATCATCTTTCTTATGGAAAAAAAATCAGAGATAAATAGCAGAAATTTCTTCCATTTTCTCTTTATTTTTAATTCTTCTAACTATTAAAATTAATATGTGATCACAAAGTACTAAAATTAAGAAATTTCTATAGGCATGTAAATGATAATTTCAAGAATGAAAAGACAAACTTTAAACAAATTTCTATTTTTCAGAAATGGATTACAAATGTAACGAAGAAGATACTCCCTCTTGGGATAAACTACATGAATGTAACTGTTTCACGCATAAATGTGCTAAGCATTTAGGCTCAACCATAAACACAGTTCAATCTTCTCTAAGATAAACTATTTTTGTTTCTATTCTTTACAAAGGAAATCCCAACTCAATTCAAAGGAACAATGTAAAGTATAAAAACAACAATAATAAAAAATATACATACATCAAAGAGATGTCTATTAATTTATAAAAAAAAATTGCAATACTTTTTGTTTTTCAATAAAACTGTTGGAACTAAAAAAAATCTTAAAGTTTTCAAAATACAGTATTCACTAAAACTGGATAATAATTTGCAGGGGGAAAAAATTTCAAACTGAGCTGGAACTGATTTGGCTCAGTGGATAGAGCATCGGCCTGCAGACTCAAGGGTCCCAGGTTCGATTCCAGTCAAGGGCATGTACCTTGGTTGCGGGCACATTCCCAGGAGGGAGTGTGCAGGAGGCAACTGATTGATGTTTCTCTCTCATCAATGTTTCTAACTCTCTATCCCTCTCCCGTCCTCTCTGTAAAAAATCAATAAAATGTATTTAAAAAAAAAATTTTCAGACTAAAATAATGACTGAAGGTTGAATCTCGGTTTCACACCTGAATAAGAAGGGCTAAATTAAATGAGCACTATGTTCTTTCACAGCAGCCAGTCTGCTTTGCTAGGTTTTATTCTTCCCTGCCTCACTAGTAATGGTCACTCCAATCAATCAAAACAAATACCTTATCACTGTGGCTAACAATGACACCAAATAAATTATAAAGTAAAAAAACAACTAAACTACAGAATTAACATTGGAAGGAAATCCGGTGCAGCTGAGGTGCCTACTGAGAAAACCATCATAGCTTTTGAGTGGATGGAAATCTGTTGCTTCTCTATGTCAGGTGGGTAGGCAGGCCTACATTCTGCTAGCCCCCTCCATCACCATTCCATCCGCCTAATGCAAGAACTCCTCCTGATTGGAGGTTCATCACCAATATTACTGCCCTTCCTCTTTCCCTGCCCAAGAAACTGCCTTCTCCTAATGGCGGCATTTCATTCTCAGCCATCCTCTTCATACTGATTCTTGCAGTGCACTGAGGGATATCAAAGTCCATGTGAATAAACCATCTAGCACCTCACATTCAGTTTTATGAGACTCCTTTTCGTCCAATGAGCTTTACCTCTACTTCCCTCAGAGCAATTTGGGCACGGTCTTCTGTTTGTTTCACTGCTCTGATTTTGGCTGCCACTGTTCCACTCCATTCTTCCAGTTTTTTCATTCCATTTCTTTCACTATATTTGCTTTTTGGTTGAGCCATTATTCTCCAGACCAGTGGTCATCCTTTCCCCCCAGCCTATCACTCACTGCTTGGCTTCACATCATTCCCTATCTAGCCTACACTCCTTGGTATATCTCAACTACCATTATCAGTATTTTTAATTTCCTGTCCTTCATGTCCTCCTGTAGCAGCTGTCCTATTAATATTCCAATCAACATTCTTTAGTCCAGGCAAGAAAGGCTAATGAAGAAAGGCAAAGTAATTATGAATCCTTTGATAAATAAGTATTACCTCTGCCAAGCCAAGGATTATTCTGCAAGTAATTCAAAAATCTCCTCTAGATCTCACTTATATCAATGATTCCTCCCTAACCCTCTTCAGTCACTCAACCAGATTTTGTTTCTACATTTAAATAACAACAAAAACAACAACAAACTCTTCTCTTTCCTTCCTATCATAATCAAACTTTTTGAAATAATATTCATCCCCCACATAGTTTTCATTTATAAAAGAAAAAAAGAAACTTCCAAGTCAACTTACTTCTCATCTCTGGTTCATAACTCAGTGAACTTGGTTTGTGGACTCTATATTGTTTTAGCAGTTTTTTGTCCCAGGCACCACAATTTAATGGACTTGCCAAACGCAAAAACTCCCTAAAGAAAAAAACAAAAAGTTATTTCTTGACTGAGAATATTACATAAATTACAAACCAAACACACACAAAAGAGGAGTTACTGAATTATAACACATCAGTTAAAATACAAAAGCAGCCCTAGCCCGTTTGGCTCAGTGGATAAGAGCATAGCCTGCAGATTGAAGGGTCCCAGGTTCGATTCTGGTCAAGGGCACATGGCTGGGTGATGGCTCCATCCACAGTAGGGGGTATGCAGGAGGCAGCTGATCAATGATTCTCTCATCATTGATGTTTCTATCTCTCTCTTCCTTTCTGAAATCAATAAAGAATACATTTGAAAAAAATACAAAAGCAATGTTAATTTTACATTCAAATAGCAAGCACTTTAAAGTGCAGAGAAAACTGTGAAGGGTTAGGAAATGACATCTGAGGAACATGTTTTCCTGGAATGGGATATACCCTCTGTCCGTTTTTTAGTAGAGTGAGAGGACATGCAATTATAACCTGTAGCTTATCAGCACCTGGATGCCTGTACCTCTGAGAATTCATTACCTGGAAACTGATCATGTCGAAATGATTGATCTCCATTGCTTATCTGTTTATGCATCTAGGCAATATAAATTATTTAGTATTATAATAATATTGGGTATGAGATAATGAGATAGTCTCTCACATTCTCCCTTTCTCTCCTTTTAAAGTAGCAGATCACCAAGAAGGGTCAGGGGAAAATCCCCATGCTATTTTCAATATTTTAGGATTCTGAACACATCCATAAGATGATGGAAGGAGAGAGTGGGACAGTCTTGTTCATTTTGCTATCAACAAGGCCTCATATATGGTCAATTTCTTGCTTTTGATGTTGTGCTATAGTTACATAATATGTTACCACTGGGAGAAACCGGTTAAAGAGGACACAGAACCTCTTTGATCTAATTTTACAACTTCCTTTGAATTGGTATTTGAAAATAAAAAAGTTAAACAAGTATTTCTTAAAAGAGTCCTTACGTATAAAAAGTCCTGAAAGTATGGGCAAGTCATAAATATAGTATGACATTAAAGGAAAGTGAGTGTTTGCTGAATTCAAGGGGAAGAAATAACCAACAAACAGAAACATCTCTGTCTTTATTAAAAGCTAGATTTGTCTGTGTGTATGCGCTACACTTTAAGCATTTTGCCCATTTTTATTGTGCTTTGGATCTTCCCACAGATACTTGAATATATCTCAATTAAAGCAAGAGCTTTTGCACATAGACTCTAGGAACTCTAACTGTGAATTATTAAATGTGAAAGAGAGAACTACTGACCTCAGCACCATGGGCTCCAGAGCCTGGGAGGCCAATCGTTCAAACATCCGCTGGAGGGGTGGATGCAGCGCGTGGTCCTCGTCAGCCAGGGCGGCGCTGCACCGCTGCAGCAGGCGTGCGTGAAGTCCGGCCTCACACATGACCTGCTGGTTTCTCTCTGTGTGCACCAGGATTTGTAAAATATTCGCCACGGCAAGTTGGAGGTCCAAAGCATGCTAAAGTTAACAAAGAAATCCACACCACCAGGGCATTCTTAGTAAGACAGGTGATAGTTCTCTCCGCATGAAGTACACCTTTTCATTCGAGGTCTCAACATGCTGCGAATGTAAGTGACTGACTTAGTGACAGCAGCTCCAGAGGCTGGGCAAATGCTTGCCATCCTCATTTTGTTGGCATTCCCAGCTAGACTCCATTCTCTTCCAAGTCTTTTATATTACACTAGAGGCCCGGTGCACAAAATTCATGCACGGATAGGGTCCTGGGTCTGGCCAGCGATCAGGGCCAATTGGGGCCCTCTGGCTGCCAGCTGGTGACTCCCTTTCCGGGCTGCCGGCTGCTGGCTGCCCAGTGGGACCTTCCTTTTTTCTGCACTGCTCCCTGGTGGTCAGTGCATGCCATAGCAAGCAATAGAACTCCTGGCCTTCTGGTTGAACTCGCAGGGGGACACTTTGCATATTGCCTTTAATATATGTACAGTAGATGACTGTATAGCTAATAGTATTTTTATTTTTATAAAAATAGTGGCTGTGAAGTCTTTTCATGGTGGGTTAATAGCTTAAAGGAAGTCCTTTTATTTACATTTGTGACACTTTAGGTCTTAGAGGCCATACATTTAACAAGATTTGTCAACCAAACTCCAGCTCGTCCAAACTTTTGACTGCTACAAGTCAAAACAGATAAATGGTTGCAAAGTGGTATCTTTGGTTACTTTTCTTTCTGTACTACTTACTAACAATATCTATTGCTGAGCAGGATTTATAATGAAAAACAGTAATTTCGACACCTTGACTACATCTGTCAAATGAATTATATTCGAAAACATTCGTAGTGATCATTCATGAAGAAAACTAATCAAAGTTAACTTACAAATTGCTGAAAATTAATAGAAAACCCTGTATTTGTTCCTTTATCAACTTGGGTGTGTGATATGGAATGGTTTCACATCCCTTCCCACCTTTCTGACCCCACTCCCTTGCTCATGTTGGCACAACCACATCTTTTCGAAAACTCATTAAAGACAGAAGGAGCTGACAGCACCAAGCTTACTTCTGGCTGTGCCGCTGACCCCACAGAGGCCAGGAGGTCCAGCATGGCCAGCATGGCTCCCGGATGGATGATGACAGCGTCAGAACTCTGGAGAGAGGAAGTTGCCACATGTAGTTTCAGGTCATTTTTAGGAGGGTACACAGGGGTAGTTGAAACAGAATGGTATGCATGCCTATAAAAAAGAAAGAAGGGTAACTTGGTATTTTATTCCAGTCAGATTCTTTTCATTTCTTTTATCCATTAATAAGCAAAAAAATCCTTGTAATTCAAAGTTAGACTAAAAAACACCTTAACTTTGGGATATAAAAGGTGATTATCAATTCTTAATGTGTCACATATAGACAATTTAACTATCAATTCCTATAGATTCTTATGTGTCCTTACCATTTACAATTTGGATTGTTTCATTAAAGAATGGCACACTATGAATACAGTTAACACTATTCAATGATAATATTTAAAAGTGGCTAAGAGTGTAGACCCTAAAAGTTCTCATTACAAAAAACAACACTTTTTTATTTTTTTATTGTATAAATATGAGATAGATGTGACTAAACTTATTGCAATCATCATTTCACTATATCTGAGGTCATTATATTGTGCTCTATATCTATTATATTTCAACTAGTAGCCATGCACACAAATCCATGTGCCAGTAGCTCTCCGCAGGGCCTGGCCACTCTGCACCCGCTGCCCACTCTCCACAGCCCAGAGGCCCAGCTATGATTGGGCGTGGAACACTTGCCTTGTTGTTGGGGCGATGATGCAAGTGTTTCACACCCTGGCCTGGCCAGAGGCCCATCTGTGGCCGGGCGCAAAACACTTGCCTTGTCACCAGGGTGACGATGCAAGCGTTCCCTCCCTCCCTGCCCTCGCCACTCCATGCCTGCTGCCCAGAGCCCCTACGCAGCCGCGGTGGAACGCTTGCCTTGTTGCCATGGCAATGAAGCAAGCATTCTGCCAGGCTGCTCACGCTGCCCACTCTCAGCGACCACTCCACCTGGGATTGGGGGACTCCGGTGGGAATGAGAGGACTGGCTGGCGCCATCTTTGTGATGGAGTGATAGTTAATTTGCATATAACCCTTTTATTAGATAAGACCAGAGGCCTGATACATGAAATTCGTGTAAGGAGCTTGGCCCCTGCCATCATGATGGCTGCCTCTGTCTTGACCCCTGTCACCATGGCAGTCGCCTCTGCCTCTGCCTCTCTTTGGCTCCGCTGCCACCACTTCATCTGGAAGGTCGTCCGGAAGGACCTTCAGTCTATCGTAATTAGCATATTATGCCCTTATTACTATAGAGAAAACTGAAAGCGGAGAGGGGAAGAATGACACCTGTACCAAAAGATATAAGTAGGTGAAACCACAGTGCTGGGAAAGGTGACGGTTCTGATAATATGCGATGCAGAGTGCAAGCTAATTAAATCCCTCAATAAAACTTTTCTTTTAAAATTACATGTGTGTTTTTAGCTTTGCTTTGAGCCATAGATACCAGAATCAAGAACTAGCAAGACCAAAGTGGCTTACTCTATATAACTGGTTCAATGGACTCTGGGTTGGCTCAGAATCGTCAAGGGAGTTTTCTTTTAGCTTATTTGGAACTACACTCACTTTCTTTTACATTTTTCCCCACCCCTGAAAATATTCCACACAATTGTTACAAAGTTAGAAGGCATATTTTACATAACAAGCTTCTATGAGTTAGGAAGTCTAGTCATGTCCTGAATATACATTTCTTCTCATCAATGATCTCCACTTTCTACTTCATACTCTTCTATAATTCATGAGCTTTGCACATTTTGCATCTTGGCTCTAGAAAACAGATGCTGTGGCTTTAGCCTATGGGAGCTCTTTGTTCCGGTGCCTCAGCATCACTGGTCTAATGCTGGGCTCTGTCTCCGAGAGCAGTACAGTCTCAGCTCTCTGGCACAAGAGCAGCTTGGGAAACAGATGCTTAAAGTCAGTGACTTAGAAGCAAAGAATTGGCACTGCCAGGTTTGTTTTTTTAAGTTCCATTCTCTTTTTAACAGGCAACAAAAATATTCAGCTTCACTTATAAAAAAAAAGAACAGGGTCTCTCTTAGTTTATTTAAAGTCAGCTTATCCTACACCCACTCATTTTTTTTCAACTCCCTGTTTATCTGCTGATTTTCTTCAGAAAGATTTAATTTCTAAACCTAAGACATTTGTAAATGCTGTAACCATTAGCTAGTTTTCTCTTAAGCTATTCCCTTTAGTCTTTAAAATATTTAGACCCATGCAGAAAAGATTCCTAATTCCTCAATAGTATAATATGAATCCCCAACCACTAAGAAATTTCATAAAAACTGTTTTCATTACACACATGAAAATAACCCAAATTTTAGGATAAACATATATTCTAATTATATATTTTAGTTATAGATCTTCCAAAATTATTTCTGAATTTCCAGATTGCATATAGTTTTGAACGTGAACTGTGGATATACCTAAGTATATAACTATTATAGTAGTAAACTTTTTTAACCTTACACAAGAAAACAATATTCTGATATAAAAATCACATTCATTCTTCTCAAACTAGGAATATATTTCAAACAATGTAGAACACTAAACTATGGTATTTCTTAATTAAAATTAGGTCTATTTTTATAAGCATTATACAACACTAATTCTTACTAAGTCACTTAGGTATCACCACAGGCATACCACTTTTTAAATGTAGCGATTACACTAAACATACTCAATGCATAATTCCTTAGCAAAACCTAACCATTTGCAAAGAGAGGATAAAATACATTTCAAAAGTTAGTTAATTTTTATGTTGTACTTTTAAAACTTACAGAAATTGCTATTTTCATATTTCAATTAAGCTGCCAGAATACATATATATGAAACATACCAACATCTTTGGATATATTATATATGCTCAAATATTTAAATTCAGAATTTGTTCTACCTTAGGTATCATCAAGTGTGCAGAGGCACTAAGTAATGGATGCCACGTTTGAATGATAACTAGTAATTGCCACCCTTTTCTCCATTGCAGATATATTCTGGAGTGTCTTGGTTATTATTTTGTATTTTGTTTTCACTCCCTCCAACTCTGATTAAACATCGCTCAGCTATAATCATATCCCATTATTCCTCTGGATCAGTGTTTCTGTTTCCCAAAGTGTGGTACGCGTACCCCCAGGGGTATGGGAAGAGTTTGGTGGGGGTACGCATTGCACCAGAGTTTGGTGGGGATATGCACTGCACTGTGCTTAGCTGCACCTAATTCTACATTCTCATGAGTACGAGGGGTACTCAGCGTTACGAAAATTATAGAAGTTTGTCAAAAGTTTGGGAAACACTGCTCTAGATAATTAATAATTAAAAAGTTAGTTTTAATTTTCAAAATATGAAATTTCTTAGTTCTTTTCCCTCTAATTCTTAAACTAGAGAAGGATCTCTAAGATTTTATATACCTGAGAAGATTCACAAGTACAAAATTTCCTTAACACCTGAATACAAGCCATAAAAACGAATACAATCTTGGTTTCTCCTTTTGCCAACAAAAACATGTTTTGCAGCAAGAAAAAGATGCCCATGAGCTGATGTAATTTATGTTCTCAAGCTGTTCTAATTTTGAAAGTTACTATATTGCATGTGTAAAATAAAAACATTGTATTTCTTATTAGCTTATGATTATTATCACTGAGTAAAATGTATATAACTAGTCAGAATGACAACCTTAAAATGCCAGCACTGGTCTTAGTATTATCATGAGATTCCTTGAGATGACACCAGCCTGTAAACTGGATTAGAATTCCAATGGATAAGTAAGATTCACTCAACCAGGATGTAGATTCAGGGATAGTTTCCCCTTATATCAAAGACATGGCATCCTTACAGGTAGCTATGTTGCAAATGAAGACAAACTATTTCTGATCTAAGGCTTTAAATAACTCTTCATGATATAAAATAAAATTCTGTTTAAATAAGTAGTAAGTTCTAATGGATTTCTCTTTTTAATGGGATCCTTTAATCTGTAAATTTCTAGTAAAAGTATTTTACAGTTCTAGTTAATAGTTAAAAAGGGTTACATATTTTTAAATATAGTACTTTTTAAGCCTTTACATTTATGACAGAATTATAAAGGTGATTTTAAAAAATAATTATAACTAGTTAGTCATTGAAACTAATTTTCTAATATCCCATAGCAGTTCTGTATAATAGTGAGAACACATAAATCTTCAAACTAAAAGAATACTTTTTGTCTTACTCATTTTAAAATAGCAGCTTACAAAAAGCACTAGGTTCTCAAATTAATGTTACAATCTCTTGAATTAAGAAGTTTGGCTCAGTGGTTAGAGCGGCAGCCCACAACGGAAAGGTCCCAGGGCCATGCTGGAAGTAACCAATCTATGTGCTTCTCTCACATCGGTGTTTTTTTCTATCTCTCCCCCTCCCTTCCACCCACACTAAAAATCAATGAGAAATATCATCAGGTGAGGATTAACCTGATGCTCTTAAAAAAAGTAGTGGTTTTCAATACAAACATATTAAAACACTACATTCATTTAAAAATATTCTGAACTATGCCATGATGTACTGGAAGAAAATGAGCTATAAGCCCCAGTGTAAATTAAGAAAAAAGGGAAACATAAGTCCATATACCTAATGAATATTATTATTGAAATACATTAAAATACAGTCTGTGACAAATACTTTTGATATTGAAACTCCAATTACACTGAAGTTTCAAAATCAGAATAGAAATAAAATTAAACAACAAAGAGGGATTCATTTTTAAAAAGCCGCAGTGGAAGATCAACACAGGCTTAAGGACTTGTACTTGGTCGTAAGGAAAACCAGGGAAGTAAGAGTATTTGGTTCCAAGTGCACAGAATATGGTCATGGATCATAATTATGGAATATGAATGGATCTTAACTGTACTCTTGCCAACTAACTGCTGGTTCTTTATAGTCCACTAGAGGCCCAGTACACGAAATTCATATGGGGGGTGGGGGAGGAGAAGAAGGGGACCCTCAATCTGATCTGCACCCTCTCTAATCTGGGACCCTGTCACAATCCAGGACTGCTGGCTCCTAACTGCCTCTGCCTGCCTGCCTGATGCTCCTAACTGCTCTCCCCTGCCGGCTTGATTGCCCCTAACCGTTCTTCCCTGCTAGCCCAATTGCCCCTAACAACCTCTGCCTGCCTGCCTGATCACTCCTAACTGCTCTCCCCTGCCGGTCTGATGGCCCTTAACTGCCTCTGCCTCAGCCCCCTCAACTGTGGCTTTGCCAGGAAGATGTCTGGTCTATCTGCTCTAATTAGCGTATTATCCTTTTATTACTATAGATAAGCTTTCTATACAAGGTAGATTAGTTTGGTTTAGGAAGGGATTTACACAGAACCCATGAAAGCAAGAGCTGGGGTAGGTTTTTCATTCATCATTTCAAAGGTTAGCTGTGACACCTCACAGCATCACATTTAAACTGGTTGAACCCTATTGAGAAAGCACATACTTCTTTGCCAGTGCTGTGATGCTCATTTGAAAGCAGTAGGAGAAACCAAAATATTGATCCCCAGGCACATTTAAAGTAAAAAGAAAAATCAGGAAAGTACTTCATTTAAAGAGGCACTAAGTCCTCATTTCTGCATTAATTTTAATAAAACATATGCTGCTCTAAAGCAAAATGCGTACTTTAGGTTAAATAATAGAGTTGAATAACACATGTCTTTTCTATCTTCATAGCATCAACACATTTTACTCTTATAAATATACTCAGAAGTTGACTATTTTAAAACATATAAAATATATATACACACAAAGCCAAAAAAAAAAAAATTGAAGATACAAAGCACAACGACCACATTAACACATAATAAAGCACAAAAGAAAAACCCCCACGCAAACAAAGATCGACTGTTATAAAATCAGTACCTTTTCCTGGACAGAGCTGGTGTGCCCCAGGGAGAGGGGAGAGAAGACTCACTTGTCAGGCAAGGAGGGATCTGTTCTGCACGACTACAGACAACAAAACAGACAGGGTGGTTTAGGGGGATTAGCAGAGAGTTGGTTAGTTTTACAAGAAATACCAGTAAAAGTTTAATAAGACATGTCCTCCATACTCAGCAGGAACAAGGAACAAGACTGTAAGACATGCACTGAGGGAAACAGGAAAGCATGCTTACAGCTGATGCTTATCTGTGAATGTTAACATTTAACACATTTGTTAAACAGAGTGCTGTAAGCCCTGTTTTTGACAAAGCCAACTAAAAATGAGTCCTACTAACGAGGAAAAGTAGAAACCAAGGGGAAAAAAGGTGAATCCAAAATTTAAAAATTCCTATATTAAACTGCTTATTCCATGAATACAAAACTACCCCATGTTTCCTATGAGCTAATAATATAACATGCATTTTTATTTTCAAGATGTATTTTCTTATCTGAATATTAAGGTAAAAAAAATATTAAGAAGCAAGAAACATTTCAATAGATATTTCAAAGTAGATATTCAATAATGAAGGGTATAAAATCTAATAGAAGTTCTACCCAACACAGTTAGTTGTTTAATTTGTGGGGACAATATAAAAATAATTCTTTTATTTTATGAAATAAAACAATGGTAACAGTCAAGTGATAATGATTGGGACAAACTTGCAGCATGATCACTCTGACACTATTTTTAGTTACAACTTAATTGAAAGCACCGTTTAAAAATTGAAAGTAAGTTATGCAGGTGAGTGACACTCCTATGATGTCCCTTCGCTCTCCTGATTTCCCTCATCAGAGATTTTTATCGTGATATAGTGTAACTGTTTATTTACATGTCTGTATTTAAGCTAAAGCAGTAGTTCTCAACCTTTCTAATGCCGCGACCCTTTAATACAGTTCCTCACGTTGTGGTGACCCCCAACCATAAAATTATTTTCCTTGCTACTTCATAACTGTAATTTTGCTACTGTTATGAATCTTAATGTAAGTATCTGTGTTTGTTTTCCGATGGTCTTAGGCAACCTTGCTAGGGGTTTGTGACCCACTGGTTGAGAAGTGCTGCTGTAGAACCTAACACCATTGGAAAACACCAAATTTACATTACAATTCATTAACAGTAGCAAAATTACAGTTATAAAGTAGCAATAAAAATAATTTTATGGTTGGGGGTCACCACAACATGAGGAACTGTTTTAAAGGGTCGCAGCATTAGAAAGGTTGAGAACCACTGAGCTGAAGAATGGCCATGACCTAGATCATCTGGTGCTGAGTTGACTGCTGAACTGAACCCATAATGCCTAGTATAGTGACTTGGCACTCATTTAATGGAGAATGAGTAAACAAGTCTGAATTATCTCTTGTTAGAGAGTTCAATCATTTTTTGAGGATTATGTTGAGGATATATCATGTGTCTGGAAATAAATACGATCATAACCATGTTCTCCTATGATAACTAATATCATTAAGTCCAGATGTATCTAACATTGTAGAGAATAAAGAAAAAAGAGAACAATAGTAAACATCATTCCATTAACATAAACTTCTTAGAAATTGCTTCAAGAGTAGCCCTAGCCAGTTTAGCTCAGTGGATAGAGTGTTGGTCTGTGGACTGAAGGATCCCGGGTTCAATTCTGGTCAAGGGCACAGGCCCAGATTGCAGGCTTGATCCCTAGTAGGGGGTGAGCAGAAGGCAGCCAATCAATGATTCTCTCTCATCACTGATGTTTCTATCTCTCCCTTCCTCTCTGAAATCAATAAAAATAAAATAAAAAAAAAAAAGTTATCTGATCCTTGATTTACAAATAATACACAGATGTCTATGTTGAAAAACTTAACATCAAAGCAATAGTAATATTCATAGATAAAGTGATAGATAAGTAATTGAGAGAAGATTCATTTGTTTCCATTTTCCTTCAGGTTAACTTATAATTTAAGTCTTAATGTTGAAGTCATACGCAGTATGCCCTTTTAATTCAGAGCTTTTGACAGAGCAGAACCATACCTGTCAAAAGAATCTGTGGCTACTTTGTAGAGATAAATAAAGAGTTTACTGCAGTGCTGTAAAGTGGGTGACACAGAGTCCATCGAAGTTATGTCTTCCTCTAAAAGTCTCTGAAATGGCTGTGTATTTGAGGGAAAGACATTCATGGGGCTTATTTTCCTTAGGTCTGAGAAGCAGCCAAGAAATCGAACAGCATCTGCCAATTTCTCATACTGAATCTCTGTTTTGAAGAAATGAGAGTTGGCTGGCTCATAGCGCATTGCTGCAGTCAAGGTGCAGAACACAGTGTGGAGAAGTTCAAATACTTGGTTCTGGTTCACTTTCTCCCAGCCATTCTTCGGTGGCGAGCTCAAAGATCTTTCCATAGCAACAAGCAAGGATGTTATATACACAAACCCTCCAACTTTCCTAAAAACTGTTCTTGACCGATGGCTTTCTCGAAGAACTGACAGGAGGGCCTATGGGGGACAAGAAAATAAACTTGTATTTCAAATAAAATAAAGTAAAAACATACAGGAGATGTCCAAAGTCTATACCACCAATCTGTGAACATCTGAAATTAATGTTTTTGTCATTTATAAAAAAAAAAACAACAGTCCAGTAAAGCATATCAAATATTTTGCTAATTAAAAAATGCCAAAGAAGCAGAAGATAATTTTAGGAAATGCTATCACATATTCCTTTTGATAGAATAAGGCTATATCCAAATCCTGGCTGAAAAGATTTTCCTATGTCTTTGATAAATAATGATATCAATGAATTCAGTAACTTTTACAATGTAATGTTTTTATTAAATAAGTAAAACACATAATCTAGTATAATTTTACACAATCACAAGAACTTATGACTGTATGTATATAGGGTTATCCTCAAAAAATGTATACATACTTTGAATAATTACTAATTTCCATGGTTTAAATCTGAAAAGAAAAAAACATCAATTGAGCTATCAGAAAAAAAAGTATACATTTTTTGGGGACACCCTGTATATAAATTGGTTTAGTTATAAAGGATGAGACAGATAGTCAGGGTAGCCAAGACATGAACTATTTCAATTGCTATAAAGTCACCATATATAGATGCTTTGGAAAGAGGCTTTACCTACATATATGTTATAAATCCAATTAAAAAAGGAACCAAGGAAAGAGGAAAATGTATGTTAAAAATAATGGCAACCAAAACACCTTTTGAAGGTACTTGTTTTTTTCCAATGATCCCTTCAAATATACAAATTTTCCCCAGTGCTGATAGGCATGTAGACTTCCTTCTTGTCTAAGAGATAAATTATGGTCAAGTCAATATTGCTTTTAAAACAAAATACATACTCAAAAGTGTCATTATACTCAATCAAAATAGGATGAAATATACAATAGTATAAAAAAGGCAAACATCTCAATATTTACAAGAAAGTAACTGAATAAAGCAAATGTTAAAAGAAATATGATTCTAGAAAGTAGCTATTATTTCTGTGATGTCTGTGGCAAGAATGGAGCAAAGATACTAGGAGAGAAAATCAGGGGGGAAGAAGACATATCCCTAGAGCAGTGGTCAGCAAACTCATTAGTTAACAGAGCCCAATATCAGTAGTACAATGAGTGAAATTTCTTTTGAGAGTCCAATTTTTTAAACTTAAACTTCTAATGCCACTTCTTCAAAATAGACTCGCCCAGGCCGTGGTATTCTGTGGAAGAGCCACACTCAAGGGGCCAAAGAGTTACATGCGGCTCCTGAGTCACAGTTTGCCTACCTCAGCCCCAGGGTCTTGGGCCAGGTTAAAGACACTGCCTTTTCTTCTATTACTATTTTAATGTAATTTTAGAAAATGGCAAGAATAGTTCAAAATAGTTATAAGACAGTTAAAAATAACTTCAGATTTTAGTCATAAAAGAGTAGTATCGCAGGCTCTTACCCTTAAAATGTCAGTCTTCAACTGCAGTTCTGTGGGTGGGGCTGAATGCATTAACCCCAGAAGCGTGCCCATGTCATCATCCCCATTTGGAGAGAGCACCAGCTGCTGGATAATCATCAGGGCATGCTGCCGGCATTGGGGGTACCTCACTATATTATGTGCACATCTTGCACCTCCAAATTCTCGGAAAATTCCTTGAAGGGAGAAAAATTTGATCTTTTTGTATGAAGAGTAGCTCAATATAATGCAAATAAGACCTACACACCTATTTCACCTTTTAAATTACAATACAAAATTGCACTGTAGGGTGCCAGCAAAGATATGCAAATTTTTTCTAAATTTCCTTCAATGCAAGATTAATGTCCAGATATGTTCACATCTGAATTATCCAAATCTAAACATTCAAAAATTTCTTAGGTAGAAACCAAAGAGTCCCAATATTTTTAAGTCAAGTCTTTAACTGAATAATACTTGAAATCAATTTATGTAACCCTATCCAGGTGTCTCAGTTGGTTAGATCATGGTTTCAATACGGCAAGGTTACATACAGGTTTGATCCCTGGTCAGGACACATACGAGAATCAACTGAAGAATATATAAATAAGTGGAACATCAAATCAATGCTCCATTCTCTCTCCCCACCCCTTCGTCTTCTCTCTCTATAAAAGTCAATGTATGCAAAAAGCTTTTAGACAATGAGATTTAAACAAAACAAGGCTTCCAAAATAGTTAAGAAAAAGATAAAATAAAATTATTCTCCAATGAAAAAATTACAAGGTCTCAATCAAAAAGAACTGTTCCAAATGAATTATTCAGTTGATTTATTTAACCCGACCCCCTATTGTAAGGATCAGGAGATGAGGCATAAAGAGTTGAGTGATGTGGCCAAGGCCACACAGCTGACAAAGGGTAGAGTAGGATTTATGCCTAGATAGCCCAGCTCTATAGATTGTGCTCCAGCCCACAATTGATATTGTTCTCACATCAAATACCATATTCAATATTAAAAAATGGACCAAGTGACCTAAATCACGAATTAGTATTTCCTCAAAACTAAATATTCTCTCCTTTGCACTTTTATAATACCTTGTATATGCCACTATTATAGTACTTTATATCGAAGTCTTAGTATTGTTTATATATTTGCCCCCCCACTAAACTTTAATTTCCTTCTGGTGTGTGTTTCAATAAGTATTACCTGAGAGAATAAGTGTTAAGAGTATTTTGCTGTAGTAACCACTGCCTTCTCTAATTTTCTAATTATTAACTTTTAAAGAATTATATGACCTTGAAATGAGTGTAAATCATGTGGTTGCAATTTAGCACATGGAAGACCATGTTTACTTCGTGGCTGCATTAGTTCCCATGAGGTAATCATTATTACTAATATTTCTTGAATAGTTCTATGAGCAAAGCACTATTTTAAGTGCCTGAAATCACAGGGTTAGTAATATCTTTCTTAACAAAGAGAAGCCAGTTGATGAGAAAAGAATTTTGTAAGAATGTGTGCCAGTCTGAAAGTGATTTCCAGTAATAGAGAGTAAGCTCATAGATTAGAACTGTTCCTTTCCTCCCTATGGGTCATGCCACCAAAAAATGTGTCAAAGAATTCTTGTAAGTATACTACCCTATAATGTTTCAAACTATCTCAGTCAACTAAACCTAGTTTGTAGAAATAAGGAGATTATACATTATATCATGAACAACCTTTTGAATTACCTACTTAAATTCATTCAATTCTGTCTTGGCATTTGCCCAAAATGCATTTAAATAATTACTTATACAGTTACATTTTCCATTAGGTTGTAATTCCTTTGGGAAAAGAATGATCTTATGTTTGCATCTCTAACACCTGGCATTGTGCACAAGACACACAATATAGTTTATTTTTTTAAATACAGATTTTTTGTTTCAATTTTTTTATTTTGTTAAAAGTATTACAAATAGTAGTACACATGTCTCCTTTATTCCCCATTGATCCCCCCCCCCCCCCCCCCCCGCCTCAGCTACCCCCTGACACATACCCTCACCACCCCCCTCCCAATGTCTTGTGTCCATTGGTTTTGTTTATATGCATGCATACAAATCCTTTGGTTGAGCTCTTACGCCCCCTACCCCCAACCCTGTATGTTGAATTTTGAGTTCTTCATTGAGATGAATAGACATGCATTTGTGCCTTTGCTAGTTCATTCAGTCATTTGTTTGTTCATGGCATCCTGTAACAAAATTTTTATTTCATGTTTTAAATCTTTATTGTTGAAAATATTACATATGTTCCCCATTTTTCCCCATTGACACCTTCTAGCCTCCCCTACCCTAGGTCTTCACCACTCTACGGTCTGTGTCCATGGATTACGCATATATACATAAAAGCTCTTTGGTTGATCTCTCCCCTCCTCACCCAGCATTCCCTCTAAGATTTGACAATTATAGCACTGAAAATGCAATTCAAATTCCTCAGCATGGTCTAAAAAACTCTATAAGATCTGTGCACAATCCACTCATCTGAACTCACCTCCCTATTACTTTCTTCTCTCTCAAGTTGTATTCACATTGTTCCTGAGAGGTTTCTGATTTGGCTAAAATTTCAAGTATCTTTTTTAAAAGCAAGAGTGATATTTTATAAATACAGATGGACTGGTTAATGACAGGTAGAAAAGGACTGAAGAGAAGTTGAGATTTAATGAATCCAATTTACCTGGGAGAGGCAAGCTTTATTAGGGAATCATTTTTCAATATTTCCCTAAGATTGTAACATTATAATACTCAAACTTGAATTGCTAAACAAGAAAACTGTCGTATAAAGCAGATATTTTGGAAAATATTTAAATAAATAAATTTATTAGACTCAAACCTGTATTATGTAAGTAAAAAAAATAGAAAAAATAATACTTTAAACATAAGGCACACAATGAAATATAAGAACATATTCTGAAATAACACTGTTAAATATTTTGTCATTAATATATTGGTAAAGATTGAAAGTATTACATTTCTAGAGATATGATAGTACCATCACTGACTCAATAGTTTTTTCTCTTAAGTGATGAGTATTTCAGAAGCAAGAATCATTAGAGAAGCCATAACCAGAAGTAATTTTCTCCTAAAGCATTTTCTAGAAGCTTTTCTAATTACCTGCATTTGTGTTAGATCCTTGAAGAAGCAATGTCAAGGTCTCCATAACCAATAAAGCTAGGTGTTTTTGGTCTTCAATTGAACTATTATTTCTTGAGTCCCCTAGGAAAAAGGATCAGAAGTCCAAATCACAAAAGTAATAAGCTTATTTTTTAATTCAATTTCTTTTAATAATTTAAGAAGTATTTCTTTAATAATCACACTCACTACTAATACAACAGTTATAATATAACCTTTAAAAATGATACACATGTCTACCAGCTACCAAAAATCTATGTTTACAGATTTTCTTTTGGTGAGGCTTGAAAGTTAGATATCTAACAAATATTGAAAAGGAAAAATGCCAAGGTTAAATATATTCTTCTCACAAGTGTTTTCTTGTGAAGGAGGTCGATAGGAGAATGCTAGATTATAATGCACCAAAGAGAAACATTTATGAACTGTGCTATTTAACTTGTATTATTTAATTCAACACACTTAATACTTAAAGTGCCATATACTTCCACGCTTTCATCTGATTGATCAGAAAAGGTGAAAATATAAGATTTAAGATACAAAATGATTCTAGATGTGTGTATACATAACATTACTGAAGAGATATAACTATTTGTTCTCTACAGTAAAAAAGACATTTGAAGGCACCTAAACATCCCAACTGCTTCTAGCTTTTAAAAATCCTTCTAGAAAGATAGTAGTAGACACAAGTCATGTGAACCATAAATATTTTCCTCAGCTTTTACCTTAAATTTTCTTCCTCCACAATGACATATTTCTGGGTCCGACCCACTCCTTCCCCAACTCCCGAGCAGAGGCAGGCAGAATGAACAAGTTAACTCCGGTAAATACTCCCAAAGATGTCCCAATAATGTACATCAGAAAGTCATTCAAGTCAATAACCAAATGAAAGGCAAACCATGAGCAGAACAACTTGTCCCAAGACCTCTGTTCAATAAAATAAAATAATGGAAAATGCTTTACCTTGTTCATTTAGTGCCTGAGTTGGATCCTTCAAGAGGGCAGCATACTTGTGCAAAAGGGTCACCATGACCTCCAGAAGGCCCACCTCCCTGAACACATCTTTAAATATGTAGTCGTGTCGTGTAAACTTCAGGAGCGTTTTCATTGCAATAATGCTACAGTGGTAAGAAGAGCTAGATTTTAAGAGAATGCTAACACTAATAAGTTCTTTACAAGGGATATAATTTAAGCTAAAAACAACAAACTCTAACATCTCAAAGTATTTGCTTTGCACTTCTGGGAGTTTAGAAATCTTCTCTGCAAACTGTGACAATGTGTGCTGTGACTCGAGGATGAAATAATTGGCATTGTCGGCCATGTAAATATTTGTGATGGCATCAAGGATGATCTGGGCAAGGAAGTTGGTTTTTGCTTTTAAAAATGCATTCTGAAGAACTGCAAAGGCTTGGACATTTCTCACACTGTGACCTACAACAGAAAATAAGAACACAAAAGTAGGTCTATGTGATATTTTGATCATGGCAAGCTTGTCTATTTAAATATCGCAAATGGTAACATTTATCAACTGTTCACCAAAAACACCCTGCTTTTATGATAGGTTTTAATTTTTTCCATCAGGTTCAGCCATTTAATTTAAAATAAATAACACCAATTAAACTTGTAATGCAATATTGACAATAATATGATTCAAGAATAGTGTATGTTGAAACATTAGACTATTTTAGAGAATAAAGCATCTTATATAGATTGAGGCTTCAGAGTTTGAAAATAAGAAGGGCTGTTACTTTTTAGTATCTGTAACCTTGACCTTGACTATAAGAAGTTACCTCTCATACTTTCATGCTAAAGAAGTAACAGATTTGAGAATAGCAAGAATGGCAGCAGGAAAATAGGAAGGGAAAATGTCTCCAGTTTCCAGTTTTCCCTTTAAACATTAGAATTTTAATTTAGAGATTTCTTTTGTTTTCAAGTTAACAGTGCAATTTCTTTACATATGTTTGTTGAAGCAATTCACGGCCAACTACTAGCTATATTTTTATTTTTATTTGTTTTACTAACTATACTTTTAAACACCTGATTTTCAAACACACCAACTGGAAAAAAAACAAAAATTTGTATCCATGGCTTGTATGAGGTGAATTAGTGACAATAATTATAAAGAAATTAAAACAAAAAGTATTTGAGGCAAATAAAAACAAGTGCTTGCCTCTAAAAGCTATCCACAGGTTCAAATCTAGAGCAATATGAGGCACTTACAGGAGTGACAAAAAAATTAACATAGAGCCTTACTGAATAAGCTGGATTTTAGAAGGAGGACAAATAGACTATGAAAAATATAAAATGGGTTAGAAAGACCACTGAGAGTCCCTAGCTTGGGCATTATCTGAAAAGTGCAAAGATTAAAAAAATTTCAGTCTATACATGATTTCAATTTTGTTTATTTACAACAAATTTATCCTATATGTGGCAAATACCAAAGATTTATATTTACTTCTAACTCCTCCTTAATATCGGGTCTAGTAATAATTAATGTCGTTTTTTAACATTCGTTTAAAATCTTGCTTGGCGTTGACTTGTATTGACATAACCTTCAAACACGTGGCATCTACAGAACGTATTAAGTGCAATTAACAAGTTTTGCTTGAAAAAGTTTGTGTTTGGTTTGGTTTTTGTTGCAAAACTAGGGCTAAGAAGATGGCGGATGAAGAGCATATTCGGCACTGCATGTTTTACGAGTTCCAATTAGGAAGAAAAGCAAGTGAGGCTGCAAAAAACATCTGTAGTGCTCTTGGTCAAGATGCAGTTAGTGCCAGAAAATGCCAGCGTTGGTTTGAGAAATTTCGCAAGGGAAATTTTTCGTTAGATGACAAGAGTGGTCGAGGCCGTGTGTCCAATTTTGATCAAGAAGCTCTTCAAGCTCTTTTGGTGCAAAATCCTCAAATTACCCAACAAGAGCTTGCGACAACTTTAAATTGTTCACAAAAAACAATTTCCAATCAATTGCGTGCACTTGGCAAAGTCCAAAAGTTTGGAAAATGGGTTCCTCATGAGTTGACCGACAACAACCGTAATCAAGAGTCACAATTTGCAGTTCGCTCCTCTCTCGTCAAAACCGTTTGCCGTTTTTAGAACAAATTGTTACCAGAGATGAACAATGGGTGCTGTATGTTAATTTGAAAAGGCAGCCTCAATGGTTGGACAAAAATGAGGCTCCGCAGCCCACGCCAAAACCTGACTTGCATGCGAAAAAAGTGATGTTGTGTGTTTGGTGGAATTTTAAAGGAATTCTTCATTATGAACTTTTACCATCTAACCAAACCATTACAAGTGCAGTGTACAGTGCCCAATTGGAAAGGTTAGCCCAAGCTTTAAGAGAAAAAGAACCCACGCTGATTAATCGGAAGGGCGTAATTCTTCACCACGATAACGCATGACCGCATACTGCAAGAATCACTGCTGAAAAACTGCGCCAGTTGGAATGGGAAGTTCTCCCTCAACCTGCATATTCTCCTGATATTGCCCCTTCCGATTACCATTTGTTTCGTTCTTTGCAAAACTTTCTTCTTGGAAAAAAATTTAATAATGAAGAATGCCTCAAAAATGCACTGACCGAATTTTTTGCATCAAAATCACAAGAATTTTACAACAGAGGGATTAAAATGCTTCCTGAGCGTTGGGCACAAGTAGTAGAAAACAACGGCAACTATATTGTTGATTAAATTTTGTTGTATTGTTTAAATAAATTCGATTTAAAAAAGTATTAGAAAACGACATTAATTATTACTAGACCTAATAGTATGCTTGTTTTTTTGTGTGTGTGTTTGTTTTTAGGACATCTCCACTTTCTTACTACCAGCAGGTGATAAACATAAGCATAGCCTGGCCAGTGTGGCTCTGGCCAAGCACTGACCTGTGAATCAGTAGGTTGAGGTTCAATTCCTGGTCATGGAATACTAGGTATACCCTTTAATAATAGCGGATTTTGTAATCAAAGAAAACACGATAATTTCAAGAGAAACATTGAAAGTGCTTTATTCAAAGTAATGTCCATTGCTAGCTACACATTTCCCCATCTTTCAGGTAATTTGTGGATAACGTCCAAATAGAACTTTACTAGTTTTGAGGCAAACCATTCAGAGACTCAATTTTCCACTTCTTCGTACGTTTTGAAGTGCTGCTCGGCAAGTGTGAGTGCCATCGATCAGAACAAGTGATAATCTGAAGGAGCAAGGTCTGGGGGGTTGTTTAATACTTCCCAAGCAAGACCTTTTAACCTGTCTTTAGTTGGTTTTGAAGTGTGTGATGGTGCATCATCATGAAGCAAAATTACTTTGACTTGTCTTCTGAAACATTCTGGCCATTTAACGATCAAAACATGGTTCAAATTGATTATTTGTTGGTAGTGATCAGTATTAATGATTTCACCTGGTTTTAGAAGCTCATAATACACCACATCTTCCTGATCCACTAATTGCAGAGCATTCTTCTTTCCAAAGCAATTTGGCCTTATAGTAGATGTTGATGGTTGACCTGGATCAACCCATGATTTTGTGCATTTGGGATTCTCAAAATAAATCCACTTTTCATCATCAGTCACAATTCGATGCAAAAAAGACTTTCTTTTGTGCTGCTAAAGCAACATTTTACTGATGACTTTTCAGTTTTCCATTTGTCTTATGTTCAGTTGATGTGGCACCCATTTTCCTTCCTTTAAAATATTTCCCATTGCTTGTAAACAATCGGAAATTGTTTGCTGAGCAATGTTTAATCCTTCTGCAAGTTGTTTTTGAGTTTGACATGCATTATCCAATGATGCTTGTAATTGTTGTTCTTCAAACTTTTTCGGTTGACCTGGACATCTTTGTCTTTCACATCGAAATCATCACTTTTAAAGCGTTTAAACCAGCGTTCACAAGTATCTTGAGATGGAGCATGTTCACCAGAGGCTTCCCGAAGTATTCAGCAGCACTTTTCTTCAAAATAAAGTAATGAATTAAAACTTCCCGTAAATGCTCTTTTTTGGGGTCACGAAATTCAATATTTTTAAGCGTAAAAATATCCATGATGTTAACACCTTCAGGAAATATGACATATGAAGTTTTGAAGCTTGCTGTCAATACAACAAAATAGCATACATATCAAATTGCATATATATCAACATGTGTAACTCTATTAAAAAAAAATCCGCATTAATAATAGTACACCTAGTATGCATAGGTTGCAGGCTCTTTCCCCAGTGGGGGAATATAGGAGGCATGTGATCAATGATTCTCTCTCATCATTAGTGTTTCTATCTCTCTCTCCCTCTTCCTTCCTCTCTATTATATATATATATATATATATATATATATATATATATATATATATATATATATTTAACCTTGATAAAAATAAGTTTAGACAGACTGATGGACATGCAAATGTAAAAGTCTGACTATATGTGACAAAAAGGTGACAAAGTAAAGAATAACTCTAGTCCTCGCTGGTTTGACTCAATGGATAGAGTATTGGCCTACGACCTGAAGAGTCCCAGGTTCAATTCACGCCAAGGACACATGCCTGGGTTGCAGACTTGATCCCAGTAGGGGGCGTGCAGGAAGCAGCCAATCAATTATTCACTCTTGTCATTGATGTTTCTATCTCTCTCCCTCCCTTCCTCTCTAAAATCAATAAAATATATTTTAATAAAAAGACCTCTAACCTATATTTTGCATCTTTTTACTTAGTGACATTATCTAGTCTCATTATAAGAAAAAGAGTTAAAAAGAGATGAGTTTAGGGTACTAAGAGAAAATTTGGATTTTCCTAAGTTTCATCTTCATTACTGGTTTCAAGTGATGTCACTGACAAAAAATAAGGCATATTAATAACCAACCCAAGAACAAGCTGTCCATCACAAAGAGCTGAAATGAACACAATGTGTACACATACGCATACACACAATTAAATCAAATGTAAGATGTTATAATCTTGCATACAAAGATAACACTTGAAATGCAATAGTCGGCAGAACATTTGCCTCTTAGTAATTTCTTTTTAGTTACAGTAATAAATCTGTCCTGATCCACCCTTAATCTTACTTGTTATCAAATTCATGTAGTGGCTATGAACACAATATAGTTAAAATAGGTTGATATATAAATGACCAAGGAACTAGAGACTGTTAATCTCCACCACAGGCTTCAAGAACAGAGCATTTAAACTAATTCAATAACTAATCAGTCTTATTGTTCAAAAACTCAATCATTTCCTGTGACTAATCCAGAAAAAAGAAATTTTCTATTTGTAATATCATTTTCAAATTTAGTAGACCTTATATGATAAACAAATTTGAACATTTGGCTTTTTATCAGAAAAAAGTATCTAAAGGAATAGTTGAAAAATAACACCAAGATAAGTATTATATAAATTTGAAGTATATATATATATTTAAAATATATTTTTATTGATTTCAGAGTGGAAGGAAG